TAATTCTCTATCATTTGACTGTATTTCGATTTTATTTGATTGTGTTTTAATAAAGTTATGAGAGAAAACAAGTGTCCAATTACTTATGGCGCACCCTGTAGACTTACGCAGTATTAATTTTTAATCTATCATTAGCAGTACCGTATCTCCTCTAAAATAGCCTCCCCCCCCTATAAAACTAAACAAAAATTCTGGGGCGAAAGTGTGAGATGTTAATAAAAATAGAGATAATTTAAAAAATTACTAAATATTTTACGAAGAGTATACATAAATAAACAATTAATTATTAATGTGTTCGAATGTGATTTGAGTATTTATTTAAAAAATTTCTGTTTAATCCTTTTTTGGATTTAAAGAAGGTTAATTCTTCTTGTATTTCTCTTCCATATAGCTCTTCTCTGTTGAAACCAACTCATAACTTGTGAGCCAGTAAGTCCAGTTTTTATAGCCATATCATCTCTATCAATTGAATTGAGATATCTTTGTTCAGAAAATTTTTGTACCAATATTCTTTTCTTTAAAAATTCAAAAATATTTTTTAAATCAAACTATGTAAATGTCGATTTAATGGCTCTACTCCAGTTTATGCGTCCAATCGACTTCTATGCGTCCAATCAAAAAACAATTGGATTTTTCTTAGTATTTCAAAATTGGAGTATGGTTCCAAAACATTTATTTATGTTCGGGATCTACGCCCACTGGGTCTGGGACCGTTTCTTACCCTCTCCCTCAAAATTTCGAAAAGTTATAGCCAATTTTAAAAATTTCAAAAAACGATTGTAACTTTCCGAAATTTCGAGGGATAGGGCAAGGAATGGTCACAGACACAGTGGGCGTAGGTCCCGAACATGAAGAAATGCTTTGGAACCATACCCCAACTTTATCTTTTACCTGAATTTCAGTAAATCTTCTTGCTTCTTTAACTTTTTTGATGGTTGGAGAATATAAAATTTATTTTTATTAAAAATAAAATATATTCAAGTTTTAATTAATTACTATAAATTTATATCAAAATTTAAAATAAAACTAAGCCAAACCCCTTTTTATACTCAATAGATTTTTGAAAAGCCTGGCCTGTTCCTGGACTCTGGATTTGATTTATTGACCTGATCTTGAGCCTGTAGTCCAGGAAAACCCCAGAAGGGTCAAATAATGCTTGGGCCTGGACTCTGGGTACAGGAAAAATCCAGAAAAAATCCAGGTCCAGAATCAGAAAGAAAATAAAAAAACAAAATCCAGAAAAAATCCAGGTCCAGCTCGATCTCTAATACTCAATATATAACCCAATTTATTCTCGATTTTAAATTAATTTTCTACCATATTTTTCCCCAAAATCATGGGTTTCTTCTAACAAGCGAAAAGCAAAATCTTTGTTGTTAATTTTAAATTTATTCCATTCCTTGCTTAATATAAACGTTGATCTATTAGTAGAAAAATAATTGAAGCAAGCCTTAAATGCAAGTAAATAGTTAATAAAATATGAAAAAAACAAATTCTGATTTCTTAGCTAGTTGCACATTCATTGTGAATAGTGTCCGGTAAAATGGGTTTTCCGGATCCGGCATACGGATTTATAACATGAGACCGAATCCGGCGGATTTTTCCGAATTAAATCAGTACGGATTAAAACAGTTAAAAAAGATGAAAATTATCCCCTTTCTCCCCCCCCCCCCATCTTCCCCCTCACAATCTTTTATATTTAATAAATACAATTTTATAAATTCATTTTCAACCTTTTCAAGTTTTAAAAGACTATAAAGTTCAGCATAGTTGCATCGATCACTAAAGTTTGCAGCATCTTTTTTAAGAAAGAAAAATTATTTAAAACTTGTATATTTCTACTAGAGTTAAGCGCTACCAGTATTCCAAGGAGAATAGGTATTTTGGAATTACCCCTATTTGGAATGGTTCGGCTCGGGATCGATATCGGGATCTATCTTTCAGTATCAGCAAAATCGGTAGCGGGGTTTAAAGAGACCACCCGATATCGCTTGACCAGTGTTTGGAATTTTGAAAATTGCTCGTACTCATACTTGTCAATTTTTTTCTCGTACTCGTAGACAGGTACGAGTAGTGTTAGGCACGGTTAGGTACTACCGCGGTACTACCGTCAGTACCGGACCGGTACTTTTCGGTACTACCGGTAACGGAAAAATCCATTTGCCTAACACCAGGTACGAGTACTAATTTTGGTACAAACTTCCAAACATCCTAATTTTCTTAATCCTAATTTTCTACCAATATTTGCAGCCATGTAATTTTCACATAATTCCATTAATTGTTTTACTTCGTATTTATGTGCTATAGCAAATAAATCTTCGGAATATTTTTCAAATGTTTCTTTAAAAATTTTTGTGGAATTAAAAAATGAATTTTTAAATTACTTTTATCAATTTCTCCACTATAAAAATATTCCAGCATAATTTTAAAACATTCTGGAGAAGTATCAACAATTTTAATTTTACCCTTAAAATTAATTTAATTAAACTTTAAATTAATTTTATTATATTTACACTTTTAGCTTCTTTCATATTTTTTTGTTCAAACATTTTTTGAAAGACGATACTGTAGTTTGCCAAAATACATTTGTGAGCATTTATTTTTTCATCTCCAATTTAGAAAAATATTTTTTATTAAAATTCTCGTCAAGACAGCAAAATTTGCTTTGATCTCGATTAATGTTGGATCCGGGTATCGGGAATGAAATAAGGACCGGAGTTGCAAGGATTTCTGTCTCTATAATGATTCGGGCACAGTCTAAAAACTCGTTCTGCCTTATGGATCGACTGGATCAGATTGTCTGAAAGAAAATTGTGTTGACATTTTTCCGATTGGTTCCTCATCCCCGTTTCAGAAGGTTCCCTATCCTCAGTTTTAACAAAATTTCTACTGTCTCATGGTCCCACAGCTCCAGTTCAATGAATTATTTTAGGAACTGCAATCTTATCTTTTTGTCTGTATAAGGTAATTAAAATGGTTTGACTTCACCAGGGTTTTTGTTTCTAGACCAAGTTTAACAAGCGTTGTGCCTTTCAAAAGGCTCTGAAAATTCAGTTTTCGACCCCAAAATTCAGCCTGGTCCCCCTATGATTTTTCTATTTTTATAAGTCTGTAATCGGCCTCTAAACTAGAGTTGCGCGAGATCGATATCTCGACCGAGACCGAGACGAGAATCTCGGTCATTTTCCAATCTCGGTCTCGGTTTTGCCGAGACGAGACCAGCTAACCGAGACGAGATTCTCGGCACTTAATCTCGCCGAGATCCGAGATCAGTATACACCCCTAAAGATTGACATTCTTGAGTTTTATTTGGACAAAATATTTAAAATTTCGCTATTTGCATATTGTTGGGCTCACTTTAATTTAGTTTTCTAAAGAGCGGAGCAGGACAAATAGGCGCTGCCGAATACACATCAACCTTCCCGATGGTTAGAGAGTAAAGTCTGCGCTGCCGTTAACTGTCTGCTCTTCCCACTGCTCTTAGTTGTAATGCTCGCGCCGCAGCAAATCGGCGCAAGGTTACCAGGTTCTTTACCAGATTCTCTCATTTTTGGGGGGAAGAAAGAACCAGGTTCTCCTACCCGCTTTTTTGAATACCACCCCAGGTTGTGCCGAAACAGATTTTATCATGAAAGGCGAAAAGGCGAAAATCAAGTTAAAATCCTTCGATATTTTTCCAAATCCTATCCTTCGATATCGGCCAAATTCAATTTGGACAAGAATGTAATTTGGACGGTGACATATATACACCGTATTTCTTCTAATAGTGCGACTGTCTCTAATAGACGGACCCCTTCTAATAAACCGACCCAGTAGAGGAAGGTTGAAAAATAAACCGACTGTCTCTATCAGACCGAACCCTTCTAATGAACAAGTGTCCCCTACGCTTTATACTTAAGTCTTTCTGGAGAAATGGTGGAAAAAATTCTAGTTGTAAAGGCAAATATGGATAAACTGTTGCTTGTTCCAACAACTGAAATTGATTCTGATGAAACAGATGATTTTGATGATGAGGTTTTGGTGGATAAAAAGTTTTGAAAAATCTCGGTTTATCTCGGATCTCGATATCGGTCTCGGGTCAAATTTTGCATCTCGGTCTCGGTCTCGGTCATGCGAGTCTCGGTCAATCTCGGTCTCGGATTTTTTCTAAAATCTCGATCTCGCGCAACTCTACTCTAAACTAAGTATAAGTCATAATACTCGAGTACTTTTGTCCCCCAATCAAACAGTCTTGTGTTTCAAAATGAATTTTAAAAAGTCGGACCCCTAGCGATAGATTAAGGGATTTAATAGATAATCAAGCCAAATATTCTTAAAAAAACTTATCTCAAAAACGCAATCAGTAAGTATTCCATGTTTAAAAATTTCCATAAATGAATTTTTTGGTGTTGAATAATCAACAAATTCATTTTCCAATTTTATTTTATAGGGCACAAATTCAACTTCACAAAAAATTATCAAGGGACCTAAATAAATTAAAACTTTCTGAAAATTTAAATCCGAAAATATGTACTGTTAGGCACTGTTCGTCTGCGAATTTCATATTTATCTGATTCTATTTGGTTTTTAAAACTGAATGTATTGCCACTAAAATTTTAGATAATATTAATTATGTGTCGGAGGGACTTTAACAATCTTGTTAATGACCCTGGATAGGTAATACTTTGGCTGATATCCCCCTCCTTTTTTTTCCAGCTTCTCTGACCATTTTGTCTTTTTTGATATTATACATCATTCCAAAGAGCTCTTCAATCTGGGTCGAATGATACTAATATCGGTTGAATTTGATGATTCTGAGCAAACTTAAGCTTTATCGTCAATCTTTATCCAATCAAGTCATCTATCGTTGATATCAGTTCATTCGACTCAGATCGAAGGGCTGAGTCGAATGATATAATTTTCCATGAAATTGTGAAAAAAATAGAAAAAGGGGGAGGTGTCAACCAAAGTATTACCCCCGGCTTTTTCTCAATCTTTAAGCTTTATATGTAAAAATTAACTCACAGGCTACAAAACACTTTTTCTCCTTTATTATCCAATGTATAAATATAAAATTGAGCTTTAAGTGAATCATCCGAATTTTCGAGACCCACTTGAACTAGTGAAATTAAACTGCGTGGGTCCTCTAATAAATTTAAATTTTCTTTTAGCATAAATATCGGCTTCGGTTATAAAAACACTTTAAGGGATTAGTGAATATGTCCAAGGGGAGCAGGCCAGTGTACCGCAAGCCCAATGTACCTCCGAGCTATAACTTTTTTCGAAATTGTCGAATCCGTGGCGCCCTAATATGGTTCGATTCAGCTGGTCGAGTCGCATCGAACCATACGAGGGCGCCACGGATTCGACAATTTTGAACAGAGTTATAGCTCGGCGGTACATTGGTCTCGCGGTACATCGGGGTGTAAACATGTCCAAGATAATACATTGATATCTGTAAATGTCCCCCTCGGCTGCCTATATATCCGTTAAAGGGTGTTATCACGTTTGTGCCGAGTGCATCGGCGCCGCTTCTTTGGAGGGATTAAATGGGGTAAAAGTATTAAAGGAGGAGGTTTAAAATACCGATGATTACGTAAGAGGAGGAATTAAGGGAGATATCGATAGATTTATAAGAATTAAGTATTAGGTTTGTAAGGTCAATAAGGTCTATCCCTGCTTATTCAAAAAAAAATTCGGCGATACAATAAACACAGGAATGCCTTTTGAGAATTCGTGTAAAGATGATTCACCTAGAGCATTTAAAACGCTTAGGCGGGGGTTAAAAAAAGAGAGCATTAGTCTATGCCCCGTTAGCTCAGTGTTAGAGTCCAGTTGTATATGGTGAGCGAAAGCGCCTAGCAATAACTGTCAGGTGGTCGCAGGTTTAATTCCTGCCCGGTGGCTAAGCTTTTGCAAACTCTTTCCTTTTGCGGACATATGGGCAGCGAGATGGACATTTACCATTGATACTAGAGATGTGCGAGACTCTTGGTCTTGGTCTTGGAACCAAGACTTTTCTTGGTTTTTTTTCGGTCTTGGTCTTGGTCTTGGGGTGTTTGTCTTGGTCTTGTCTTGGTTTTATTTTTTGGTCTTGATTTTTTGGCCTCTTTGGATCTACTGATTGGCCTTCCAAAATCCTCAAAATTTTCGCCTGCGGCGCTGAAAAAGTGAATTTTTTTGGCCTACCGCCTTCTAAAATTCATAAAATTTTCGCCTGCGGCTGCAGGAAAAGGAAGATTTTTGGCTTCTTGGCCTTAATAATTCCCAAAATTTTCGCCTGCGGCGCTAGAAAAGGAAGAATTCTGGCTTCTTAGCCTTCCAACATTTTCGAAATTTTCGCCTGCTAATATCCCCCTTAACTATAATCCCATTAATCCACCCAAATCCTCTGAAATAATATACATAACTCATTGATTTTCCACCCGGATAAATTCACCAAAATTCTTTGAATTTCGGATAAATTCTTTGAATTTCGCATAGATTTTTCGAAATTATAGGTAATTGTGCTGAAGTTGACTGTGATCGTGTCAAAATAACAAAAAATAAACCAAAAATTTGACCTATGGCAACTAAAAATTGTCTCGAGTTTTGTATTATTTTTGGTCTTGAGTCTTGGAGTTTTGGTCTTGGTCTTGAGTCTTGATCTTGGAAAAATTTTTGTCTTGGGTCTTGAGTCTTGGAAAAATTTCGGTCTCGCACATCTCTAATTGATACCTCCTCGTATTTTATGGGAAATCTCCTTTTAAACAATTGAGCTGTTTATCTAAAACGCCCCTTAAACGATGTCTTTATAACCGAAATAGGCCAAGTACAAAAATATACCAGGATTATTATTCGGGTAAATACGTAATTCCCATTTAATAGAAGGACATTTTGGATTGTAAAATTGCTTGCCTGAATTTTGGATTAAATTTTTTGATTAAAAAAAAATTACAAACTCGTTAAAAATTGACCATTTTCCATAAAAGTTTCGTGTTTATAAAAATCATATAATTTCCATTCTATTTCACAATTAAGTATCTCAACCTAAAATAATTCATTTAAAATAAATTTAGGCTAAAGTGCACTTTAACAACCCGAAGTAGATTTTTATAAATAATTTTAACCTCAAAAATGTGCTTATTCCCCTCTTATGGTTTTTAACTTTTCAAGGGTATGTAGCAGTGATGGAACGGAACCCCCAGACTTTTCCGAAACCCCAGACACTTTTCCCTCCCGAAACCTGATCCGAAAATTGTTTCAAAGCACGACCCGACTTTTTCTCTTTTAATCCCCCTAACTAAGTGATCCGCCCTAATCAAGGCAACTCCGGACTTCCCCCCCCCCCCGAAACCAGGTCCCAAGGAGGTTTTGAATACCCTTTCTTCTCATCCCTCCCATCCCTGATATGTTGTTTCCGCATGCTAATCTTGCTGTTATTCGACTCATCTTTCCAAGGACCTCTCAAATAGATAATAAAACTATTCGGGTTGTTAAAGTGCAGTTAAGTTACAAATATTTACTTCTGTCACATCCGAAAACATGTGTAAATTTGGATGAATATTTAATTTTAATTGACAAAAATATTTTTTATAAGAATATGTACACTAGACACTTTAATTTGAAAAAATTGTCAATTTATCAATGCTATTGATAAAAATTTGTATTCATTAGAAAGAGCATACCCTAAGCTATCATCTCAAAAAAAATTAGACTTCTAACTTAAAGACTTCTTAGGTTATACTGTATCGAAAAAAATATTTTTCAAGTGTGCATAAAATTTTGACCACAGTGTAGGTGCAAAAATAAATATATGGATTATTAAAAAGCGAAGCAAAGTCCAGTTTTATCTAAGTACATGTCTCTCATGTCCAATTTTCTAAAACTCTCTCCCTCTAACCTTCAACGAAGAAAATACAAAATTAGGGGGCCACCCAACATTAGTTAACATAGCAAGCCCATTTCTCATTTTTCTAGGTCAAAACCTCAATGTCCACCATCGACCCCCGATAAAACCCAGCAAACAACCCAAATAGGGATCTGGCCCTAGGACCTTTAAACTTGATTTAGTTATCTCTATGAAGATTTTTTGGAAAAAACTTATTTAAATTTTCCCTCTGTTGGTTGATTGAATTTCGTTATTTTTATCTCCCATGAATAAAATTTGAATTTAACTCAACAAATTATATTGAAAGAGACTATTAATTATATGTAGTACAAGTAGAAATCAAAGTAGAGTCGTAAAAAATAAAAAATAAATAAACCCCCTAAATAAAACCCCCCAAAATATGCATGCAAACAAAATTGAATAAAATTTTATAAAAGCTTGAATTTAAGCTATATTTTTAGTTTCTTTTAGAATCGGGAACTTTTAAATTTCAGAACTCTTGGAAGAAGCTCTTAGAAAATTGTTTTTAACGTGATTGTTTATAATTATATTAAAATTAAAAAAACGAAAAAACAAACTTTCTCTCTAAAAAATAAAAATTTTAAACAATTTTTCTTCTTTTAATTTTTAATTCATCTTCATTTTTTATTTCATTTTCTACAAAATTTTCTTCTATTTCTTTTCCCATTTGTTTATTTTTATCAAAAATATATTTACACGGAAGAATTATTCTTGCACAATACATGTTTTTTCTTGTAGAAACTTTTCGGTTGAAGAATAATTCCTAAAAAATTTGATAAAATTATAGCATATGTTTCTTTTTATACACAAAATTTCCTCCGATCACTAAAAGATATGGGGGAAAATTGGAAGAAGGATTATCGAAAAAGTGAAATTTTTCGAATTAAAAAATTAAAAAAATTTGATATTTTTTTGATTAAATAAAAATAGTATAGGTTCAGAAAAATTTGCCGCCAAAGTAAACGCAAAATTTTGACGTACATCCACTATTAGGAAATTCGACTCAAATTTAAAAATCCCAAATCACCAATTAATTTGTACTATAATTCAATAATCGTCCTAAACCCAGTAATCTCTAAGATGCCAGGGAACGTAACCGCAGATTAATTATTTGATCCAAGAGCTTTGCGGAGGAATATCAACGGAGGAAAATTCCACCCAGAAAAATTTTTTATTTTTTAAATTTAAAAAGGAAACCTTAATTTCCACATCTTCCATCCCCATCTTTTCACAAACAATCCTTTTTGCTTCTTTATCATACCAACTCATCGGAACGTCATCGTGCCCTTTCACAAAGAAATGGCAATGAACCAAAATTGAAAATAAATTATTTTCGAATAGGGGTCTATAAAAATTAAAAAATTTTAAGGGAATTTTAAAAAATTAAAAAAACCTAATTTCCTCAAATTTTGAAAGAAACCCACAAAAATAGGGCAAATGTTCAGCAGAATATCCAGGTAAATTCATCACAACATGAAATACAAATTTTGTCAATTTTTCTTCTTTTTCCAATTCTTTACAATGAAAATAAATTTTTTCTGGAATTATTTTTTTAATAAATTCAGCTCCAGTGAAAACAAATCCTTCAATTTTGTCTTCAGAAATCTTTAAAAGAAGAAAAAAATTTTAAATAAACTCAATTATAGTAATTAGTAATAAATTTCTAAAATTATAAAACATTTTCCGAAATAACAACCTCAAAATTATTTTTCAGAAAAATGAGATTAAAAAAATAATAAGGGAGGAATTCTAGAACCCTTCAGGAAAATAATTATGAAATTACGAAAAATATAAATCCTATTGAATAACAACCAGGGACATGGACTAGAAGTGTCGTACGAAAATTGTGCATGATATCACGAAAAATATCCTCTAAATACCAGTTTCTTCGAGCTCTCGTATTTTGTCCGATCTCTAATAAAAAATGAATGTTTCCGAAATAATATAGAAATGTGAAACCGAGAGTATATTTACCAGGGTGGTGCTAGTACCACAAAATACGAGAACGAAATATAAGACCTCTAAAAGACAAGAGGTTTCACTAGATACGAGACGAGTGCCACCCCGGATATGTTTACCCCTTCAAACCGGCTAGAAAAAAATCTTTAACCCAAAAATATTTAATAATAAAATTAAAAAAACCTTATTCAATTTAGCATTTTGTTTCAAAAAATCAATTGCAGAAGGGTTTAAATCATTTCCATAAGCTTTTATAACATTTTTGATTTTTACAGCAGGCAAAATGAAAGGGCCAATTCCACAAAAAACATCAAAAACAACTGAATTTTGATCAAATTGTTCGACTGTTTTTGAATGGACTGTGATTAGTCTACTATTCCAAAATACCTTTAAAAATTTAAAAATTAATGGAAAAATTAAAAGTTTTTCTTAATGAGGAATTTTTTAAATAAAAAAAGCAAAAATTAGAAACGAGCAGGAATTGAACTGCTACAATATTGTGTTATATATTTCTAGTGAATTTTTCTACTGACCAGAAGTGGGTCGGAACAGTCAGAGGTGCGGAAATCGAAAGAGCCGGAAATCGGAACTGGCAGTAGCCTCAAAAAACTTTTTTTTCGGAATTCAGATCCAACTCTACTACTGACACAGATTCACTATTGACTTTCAATAAATCTCACCGCTTATGCTTACTTCTATATACTAGCTAGCCGAATTTCCCATTCATAACTAGAATTTATTTAAAAAATCTCCCCAAACCTTAGAATAATCAAGCTTGTAACGAATTCCATTTTCTGTCACTTCAGTTGCATAATCAGCATCACCAGCCAACAATTCAACATCCATTATTCGATAATCATGAGTTAGAGAGTCTAATTTGTTAATTACTGTTCTGAAAATATTTAACATGAAAAAATCCTCGAAAAATATTTTCCAAATTCAGCTCCAAATTTAGCAAAAGAACAGGACCGAATTTGGTGAAAAAACCCCGGTCCGGTACGGAGCAGTTCAGGCGAGTTTGGCTCTATAACTCATGAAGAGATGGTCATTTCTTAATGTTAATGGTATCAAGTTATAGGAATTCGGACTCAATTTAGGCACACCAGGTTCAGCAATAATCTGGGGATCATAAAAAATAGGGTAGGACAAAGCCGGTTAACCACTAGTTAATTTTCCTTGTGGCGGGGCAAAAAGAGAAGAGAAAATAATAAGAGAAAAAAGACCTGCTAAAGAGAAAAATTAACCGGGCGGTTAACCGGCCTTGTCCTACCCTAATAGAAACCTCGGATTCCGAAATCGGAAAAATGAAAAAAAATTTTTATTTTAATAAATTTAAAAAAGCACTTTAATTCTTTTAATACCCTTTATCTTCCAAAAACCCTTAAAATAACCCCAAAAACCTTTAAAAAACCTTGTCCTTTGAATTTTATCCAACAAAATCCTTCCAATAACAAAACGAAAAGGTAACAATTTTTCCCTCAAATTTAAATGTATAATATGTCCACACTGTTCAAATCCACTAAATTCAACATTTTCAGGCAAAATAGCTTTTAAACAATTTTTAGTAGTCCAATCTTCATATTCCATTAAATAACAAAACTTTTCAAATTCAACTTTCAAATTAATTTGTTTCTCAATTTGTCCAATTATTTCTTCTTTTTCTTCTTCTCCAACTTCTTCTAATTTATCTGGGTCAAATAAAAGTCTTTTAAAATTTTCACTTTCAGTATTTCTAAAAGTCTAAAAAAATTTTAAAAAATTGAGACAGACAACCTTTAGTCGAGGCAAACATTCAAGTCTGTATTTATTGAAAAGTGGGAGGCCAACAATTCGGTTGACTAATTTTGTTGGAATTTTAATTGAAGGAAACACGATTAATTTACTTTAAAAAATAAAAAAAGAATTTTTATCAACTATTCGCGGGTTGAGCCGTTGATCACCGCAGGTTGGTCAAACCCGATTGTAGAGTGCGACCCGCAAAAATCAAGAATCTCTTTCTTTTTTGAATTTATTAACAGTTATAAAGGTAACTTGCAAGGGAAAGGACCTGGCCGTCTGGTTCAATAATAGTCGGACTGAACTTTTGGCCTTGGTCCACTCCCCTCTTAATGGCATGAAAAATTTAAGCGGATATTTATTTTAAGACAATTCTTAAAGAAAATTTTTAAAAAACCTGAATTTGTCTTTTTCTAGTTCCATCATTCCTCTGACAGAAGTTGGAGGGCAGAGAATTTTATTAACAGAAGTAGCCATTCGAGAACAATATTTGAATGAGGATTGAATTAAACGACAAATTGTAGAAGGAAAAATCATAAAATTTCTAAAAAATAAATTTTTAAAAATTATAAAAAATTTATTTTGTTCGAAAGGACAGAGCCCGATAAAATTTTTTATAATAAAAACGGAAGGTATAAAAATGTTAGATGACAAGACCGCTCTCTACAAATACTCTTACTAATTTTATATTTTCAAAAATGAAATTCGGGGAATGAAATTTCCACGAACAATCACTAAACAAATATGAGAAAAATCGAGACAGCCGTTATCGACAAACGGCACCATCCCAACGCCAGAACTCAGAAATCGGAAATATTAAATCTTCAAAAATCGGAAATATCAAAAGTCAGAATTAGGCTTACCTCCAAAACACAAACTAATGAAAAAATCAAACCTTTCATAAAAGAAAGAACCAACAGTAAATTAAAATAAAGCAAAATTATAGACATTACAAAGGGAAAATATTCCCGTATAAAAAATAAATAAATTTTATTAAATCAAAAATATATTCCATGAAATCAAATCATCCAAAAAAAATATTAAAAGAAAATAAAATGTGTTATACAATTAACAAAAAAAAATAATTATCAAATATAACCGTTATATTCCTCGTTTCCCCCTTATATTCAATTCCCAACAAAATGATCTTTTTGAGCCGGATCATCAAAAACCCTATCCGCTGCGACTGCCAACACCAAACGCTTAACAACAATTGAATTTCCAATCAAGTTTCCCTTAAAAATACAATTTATTTTAAACTTTATACTAAACACTCCTCCCAAATAAAAAATTTATCAACAAGATTCCTTACTATAAAAGGGTCGGGTTCGAGAGGGGGCAACATTGAGTGTGCGGGGCATTTTTTCCTTTCATTTTTACTCCCTAATGCTACGCTTACATAAAAATCGCGCGCGACACGCGACAGAAAAGATAATGGAAAAAGAGGAGAGAAAAGTCGCCGGCGATTTTGTCGCTTTTTTTGCGTGCTTACATAAAAAGCGACTTCCGCCGGCGACTTGTCGCGCGCGACTTTGTCGCTTTTTTGAGTGCTTACATAAACCGCGACTGTCGCCGGCGACATGTCGCGCGCGATTTTGTCGCTTTTTCGTGTGCTTACATAAAATGCGATTTCCGCCGGCGACATGTCGCCGGCGACACTTTTTTTGATTCAAACATGTTTGAATTTTTGGCGACACTTTTTTGCGACATGCTATTTCTCGATCAATTCTGATCCGATTTTCAAAATTTAAAAAGATTCTGAAAGTTCAGTTTATTCTCTATCGATCAATATAAATTTTATATTTTTAAAGTTAAATCTTATGGGTCAAAATTGATTTTGAAAAAGGTATACTTTTTGAAAAAAATATTCTTTTTTTTCGATATTTTTGAGATTTTCAGTATGCTATCGAGTATTTTTATCATAACTTTTTATCAATCGGTCAAAAATTCTGAATTTTTTATATATTGTAAAGCTTTTGATTCTCTATCAAATGATACCAAAAACATGAAAAAGTGACCATTTCTTGATGAGCAGGGCTCGTCCCATAAAGTTATGGACAAAAAATTTTGGGGAAAATCAAGGCATTTAAGGGATTAAGAGGGTCCATATCCGCGGACCATATCTGTCCATAGCCCGGATACCTTCGATCTCCTGATATTATCCGTATCGATGACCATGCCTGGTTTAAAACATTAAAAAAATAAATTTGCAAATTTAAAATCAAAATCAAAGTTTAAAGATATTTATTTTTGAAAAGAAAATTTTCTCAGTCCCACTTCCTACATGGATTCGAACCCCATCCCTATCAAGATAACTAGATGAGTGAAGTCAGTCAACATAACCACTCAACCATCGACCAATTAAAGAAAATACTGGAAATTATAAATATTCCTTTTCCTTCAAAAATTTAATATCAAAGTACGGTTTCCCGGTGACCGGGTCCGGGAAACCGTGAAAACCCGTTCAAAAAAACGGGAAAAGGGACCCGGAAACAGGTCCGGACCCGTTCCTAACTCTAATATCAATGGAAAATTTAAAAAAACCCACAATATAAAAGCCACAATAAAATAGTGGCAACGAACTGTCCTATACATTACAGTACTCTGACTTTCACCAACGTGAAAAATAGAGATAAATAAATAAGAAAATATAGAAGAAAAAGATAGAAAAATCTAATAATTTTGTGCTTACATAAAAATCGCGCGCGATTTGCGACGTCGCTAGGCGACATGTCGCCTAGCGACGTCGCTGCTTTGTGCTTACATAAAAATAGCGTTTTGTCGCTTTGCGACAGTCGCTTTTGCGGAAATCGCCGATTTTATGTAAGCACACAACTAGCGATTGTCGCCGGCGACATGTCGCCTAGCGACTGTCGCGTGTCGCGCGCGATTTTTATGTAAGCGTAGCATAACACGCCCTTGCTAGCTCCTTCAGAAGTTCTCCAATAATTAGAGAACCCTTCCACTACAAATCACACCCCCCCCCTAAAAACCCTAAATTAACAACCTTTTCATACGGCGGCAAAATCGTAACACAATCAACACCACTACCGACAATTATTGTTCCTTTTCTTCTTTTTGTTTTTGAATTTTTTGTTAACCAATTTTCGTCTCCATTTTTGTCCCCTTTTTCTGTCATTTCTTCTTCTCCTCCTTCCTCTCTGAATTCGATTCCATTCCTGTTCAATGCATCGATCAACCGCTTCTTTTTGCCCTGAACGAAGTCTTCGAATATTTTTATTTTCTTGGAGATTGTCCTACAAAAGGGAAATAAATGCTGAGGAGAGATGGAGTTTTTGTGTATAGAGGGGGCAGCAAGGACGTAGCAAACGAAAACTTTTAAGGGGTAGTACGATTCCTTGCTAACTTACAAAGGGGAGGCTGTGGTGTGTCCGTGGGACTTCGGGATGAAATTTGTCCAACCCCCTAATCATCAACCCCTTGCTACGACCTTAACTTTTATCCAAAAAAATTTCTAAAAATTTTTAGAAGGAACCGCTCATTTTCCCATTTCTCCTCATCATTCATAACCAACTCGCCAAAATGCATCTGTTCCGAACAATTATCAACTCCTGCAGCAATCTTTGTAGGAAAAAATAAATTATCCATTTTTGCTTTCATTTCTCCAGTATTTCTCATTCCCATAAAAGTTTTTGTTTCTTCATTATTTGTTGTTGATACTCGATTATTTTGTTCTTCTTCATCTTCTAAAACCTCGAAATTTTGAACAGAAGTACCGGGAATAAATATTATATCCGATGGTTCTTTTTGATCTGAAAAAATAATTTATAGATGAAAAATTTTTCTAGGCAAAATTCTAAGTAACCTTAGAAAATTCTTAAAAGGAAGCAACAATAAGTAGCTTCATGATAGCTCAGCACAAAGGCCAGAATTTTGGGAGGCAAACAATTTCTAAATGAATCCCCCACTACAATTACCTAGCGGGAAGACAAAAATTTTGAATAATAAAAACGCTTTTACCCCCTTTTCGAGCCCAGAAAATTAAACGTTAACGTTTAAAATAATTTAAAAAAACCTTTAGTCTCAAATCTTGCAATAACCAAAGAATGACTTTCAGGATCCCAAGTATACAAATTTCCAAAAGCAGGCGGACATTTTGCTTCTTTTACAAAATCAACACGAACTTTAGCGCCGAGCATATCAATTAATATTTTGCTATCAACCATGAAAAACACTAAAATGATCACAAAAATTTTTTTAGAATAAAAAATAAAATAAATTGAAAGCAACAATAAAAAAATAAAAGAATTTTAAAATTATTTTTATTGACAATAAAATTAAAAATAAAAACTGTGATAATTTAAAAATGAGTTATAAGTTAAATTTATGGTTAAATTTTTACTCTCTGGAACATTGAAGAGAGTATAAAAATTGACCTATATTTGCTTAGTGAATGGGCTGCGTAAACTTCGGTCAAATTTACAAAAAACCAACGCAAGAGTGAAACCTGACGCAAGTAACGCATTTATTGGAGTTTATTTATTTATTAAAATGATCCTTAAATTTATATAAGGCTTGCTTTTTGGCATTCAAAAAAAATTTTTTTTGACCATTTTATTTTAATGGAGTCCTGCTCGTTTGTCGTTATTAAGTTTCCAATAGCAACTAAATTTTTCAGAAAATTTTTAATTATTAAAGATTCAAATCAAATGTCCTTTGTATAATCTTTAGGAAGATGGGGTTTTTCTGGCCTATTTCTCTCACTTAATCATTTTAACAAAAAGCCATTGAAAGCAAAATCTTCTATTGTTGACATTTTTTGCCCTACTCCTTGAAAATTCATAAAAGTCCTTTAAATCCAAAATTTACATACTTTAATGCCAGACTACTTCCAGTTTTGTTTAATTGGATGGCTGTACTAATCGTATCTCGAGCCTTTTGAAGGAAAACCTTCCTACGTTGCTTCGTTTGATTCAACGCTTGTCCAAATTGTACTTTCGCTAATTCAAAAAAAAGCTCGCTCATTTGAGCTGAAGATTGTTGAATTCTCTCGATGAGAAAAGTTTCTGCTCTCTCCGGTCGCATCCCTTTAGCCTTTGCCAGCTGAAAATAAAAAGATTAATCTTTGAAAAAGGCCAAAAGTATGCGCCCGGAGCAAGCTTGCACCTGGTCTTAATAGTGTTAATGAGAGAAAAAGCCTTTGGACGAAGCTGAACAAATTTTAACCTCATCCATTCAACAATCTTCACGAGAAGTTCGAGAGCTCATTTTGGCTCTAGCGAAAAACCAGCTTGCACGTGGCCTGAACAGTGTTAACGAAAGAAAAGTCTACTTAAAGAAGGTATTAGAACATGTTGATCGAGCTTTAAAAATTGAGAAAAACGGAGAAGGCCTGGTGGCAAGTTAGTTTTAAATACTTGTAAATAAAAGGGGGTTTTGCAGGATTTTCCCAAGTTTTAGTAGGGCAGAATTTTAATTTTATTTGCAAGTATTCAAAACTAACTTGACCACCAGGCCTTCTCCGTTTTTCTCAATTTTTAAAGCTCGATCAACATGTTCTAATACCTTCTTTAAGTAGACTTTTCTTTCGTTAACACTGTTCAGGCCACGTGCAAGCTGGTTTTTCGCTAGAGCCAAAATGAGCTCTCGAACTTCTCGTGAAGATTGTTGAATGGATGAGGTTAAAATTTGTTCAGCTTCGTCCAAAGGCTTTTTCTCTCATTAACACTATTAAGACCAGGTGCAAGCTTGCTCCGGGCGCATACTTTTGGCCTTTTTCAAAGATTAATCTTTTTATTTTCAGCTGGCAAAGGCTAAAGGGATGCGACCGGAGAGAGCAGAAACTTTTCTCATCGAGAGAATTCAACAATCTTCAGCTCAAATGAGCGAGCTTTTTTTTGAATTAGCGAAAGTACAATTTGGACAAGCGTTGAATCAAACGAAGCAACGTAGGAAGGTTTTCCTTCAAAAGGCTCGAGATACTATTACTACTGCCATTCAATTAAACAAGATTGGAGATAGTCTGACATTAAAGTATGTAAATTTTGGATTTAAAGGACTTTTATGAATTTTCAAGGAGTAGGGCAAAAATTGTCAACAATAGGAGATTTTGCTTTCATTGGCTGTTTGTTAAAATGAGTGAGAGAAATAGGCCAGAAAAGCCTCATCTTCCTAAAGAGTATAAAAAGGATGTTTGCTTTGAATCATTAATAATTAAAAATTTTCTGAAAAATTTAGTCGGTATTGGGAACTTAATAATGACAAACGAGCTTTAAATTTTGAACTTGCATTGGTTTTACGTTGATAACCGAAATTGACGTTTTGCGTTAATTTGGCAAAATTAGCGCGAAAATCGCATCATAAATGATTCCTAACCCTCCCACCCACCCAAAAAATTTTTTCCGTCTAAACGATGTCCCAGAATATACAAAATAAAAAAAACTCATTCTATCAATCCGGTCTTAATCCAACATCATTTTTTGCATCCATTTCTTCTTGTAACCTTTTTATAAGTTGTAAATCTTCAGAAGAAGGTTTATATATCCTTCCAATAACCACTCTATCTTTAAACATTTTTGCCAAAAGTAAATAATTTGCAAACATTAATAACACCAAAGTAACAATTTGTTGCCAATCACTAGTCAATAATAAAAGCCAAAATTCAAAGGCCACCATTGAACTTTGAGAGATACACAAATAGGTAACCAATTTGACTGGATCTTTTGCAATTTTCTATAAAAAATTTGAAAATATTTTTAATTTAAAAATTTACATAAAATCTTCTTTGTTCTTCATTATTTGGTTCAGCAGTGACTGTTCTAAAATGTGGATGGCTTCTTGCAATATAAAAATTGTTGTTGTGGACTACTCTGGTGCCGTCTTCATAAGGTGGATTGTCACTAAAATTTGTTAAAATTTTATATTTTGACAATTTTCGGATTTTTGGAAATGAAAGAATAAAAGTTGGATACAAAGCTATGGAAGTTAAACAAGGGAAAATCCAAATTGTAACCAGAAATTTCGTATTTTTCAACCATAATGTAACATCGATAACTTATTGCCAATTTTTTGCTTTATCGAAAAGTTCCTAATCGAAAGTTAGGATCGAAATCGTTAGGATCGAAAAGTTAATCGAAAAGATATAGGGAATCAAAATTTCGACTTTTGGACTTTTAAAAGTACAGCCCAAGTAGGCGCACGGCCATAAAGGCACAAAGCCATAACTTGCTTCGAAATTTCCAAATCTTACTAAATTTGGTATTAAACGATTCCTATAATCAAGTTAAAGAGATTGGTACCAAAAGGGCCAGTAATTTTGGAACAAGTTGTGGCTTTGCGCCGTTATGGCCGCACGCCTACTTGGGCATGTCCCGACCTTTAATTAACAGACATGGACCCAAGAGATTTATCTGCTAAAATTCCCTCTAGTAAATTTAAAAAAACTAACGGATTAAAATCTTCAAAAACTTCATGGAAATTATGTGTTGTCTTCGAGTTTCGTCCAAAACCTGAATTACTCGAAATATGTTGTTGTTGAATTGGTGGTTGAATTTGCTCCCAAAACCCCAAATGAACAACACAACGATATAATAAATCAAAATAACTAATTGGGAACAAATATGTGACGTAAAGAGAAAATCCAGTAAATCCAATAATTGAAAAAAGTTGCAAAGTCCAAATATCATCAATCAACATATATTGAGTGAATCCTGAAGCAGTTCTAGTCTAAATGAAAATTTGGACTTTTTCTTAAAAAATTAATTAAACCGGTAAAAGAGCTCTCGGCATAAAAATCGAAAAATAAGCAGTTAAAATGCCTGTGTAAACACAATATTTACATCTATTCTCAAAATCTTTGAATAAAATAGCAGCCTCTTCTCTTGTTCGAGCTGAAAATTAAAAAAATATTTTTAAAGTGAATGAAGAGATGTATAGGTCTAAAACGACAGAGGACACGCGATACATTGAGTGGAAAATAAAATTTCATGGAAAAAGAAAAAAAACCACCCCAAAGGCAGCAAAACAAAAACACCCAAAACAAATTTTTTAACACTTCCCAAATCCTACAGAGAATACGGAAAGGTCTAGAGGAAGCAAAAAACCAAAAACTTTTATAAAACCTGATATCTCCGAACATAAATGAGTTGTCGTTTCCAGATTCAATAACGGTTGAGGTCCAGAAAATAATTTTTTGATAAAAATAGAAAATTCTTCCATAAATTTAGAAAAATTGTCAGAATGTAATTTGACCAAAATAGAATTAAAAGAAGCAATAAATTCGTTCAAAGACAAATTGTGAAAAAGTAAAACATAAGCTAACAAACTTTAAATTTTTCATTTTAAAAATTAAAAAAATAAACTAACGGCAAGAAGAAATATATAGGCGCTTTCAATCCAAATTCCAAATAAATTTTAGTAAAACTGAACAAAAAACTGGTGCAAACAATCGTTGTTAGAGGAGTTTTGACAATTGCGTATTCGAATATTTTCCAATAAGTAAGTTGCCATCCATTATGACCATCACATAAGTAATCGACTCTTTCACTTAACTAAATTAAAAAGTGATTTGGATTCTTAATTCGGATTATTAATAGTAGTTTTGACTTAAACATAGTAAAAACAGAGTCTAATACAAGAAAATGCCCATAATTTCACGGTTAGAACAGAGAAAATAAAAAATCCCTTCAAAGTTAAATTCAACAAACTTCGCATTTAAAAAATAAAACAAACCGCATCCCAAAAACATTTTGTAACACGCACACCCAAAAGAAGACCAATGCAAGACAACAAATAAGGATTTATAAGATGGTATTTCTGAAAATATTTTTATAGATAAAGTTGTAGACCGTTTCTAGAAAGGGAGAGGAATAATTCGTTTCATTAATGAATTGTGGATGCTCAGTATCCAAACATGTGAAAGCTAACAACCTATAACGTTATAGTAATATTGCAAAAAAAAACAGCATGTCTCAATCCCTAATTGCTAAAAACAAATTCTCATAAAACAGATTCCCAACTAACGAAACCGAAAGCTTATATCCCAAATAAAGATTATGACAAAAAATACCAAAGAATAATGCCAGTAACTTTTGGGAAGCCACCATAAAGTCTTGTAGAGATTCAGGTATTGCAAAAACAAGGCAAGAACAGAATAAAGAAAAAGAGTACACTCAAAGAACAATTTGCTTTGGTTTAACTGAAGATCTGGCCAAGGTTTGTGCACAGAAATTACATAACCATTTGAAAATTCAGATTTTTCCTTGGCATTTAATTGAAACGATGATTGACTTGACAATCTAAAATTTAATGAATTAGTAATTAAATTAGGATATGAGGGCAATGGGTGTCCACTATTGTTACAGTAAAGAAGCTGAGCTATAGCTATTTCTCTCCTTTAGCTAGTGCAAAAGGTTATTTGGCGGCTGGGAGCGAACCAGCATCTTCAATAGGCCGGACTGATCCATTACATACACTACGCCGCCTACTATATAGCCTCAGGAATTAAATAGCTAACTGCTTTACATTACTTAGGTTTCAGTGATTTAGAGGTTTTAGTCTTTCGAAAGTTTAAATGGGATTTTGCAACATTGTTTAGTTGTTTTAAAAAAATGATTTTACTTATTTTTTTGTGGACCAAATTGTCTAAGTTGCACTTTGCCTTGTTGTGTCTTTGAAAGCTTGAACTTTTGAGCTTTCTTGCTTGACATTATCACTACATTTTGTCCTAATGTCCAAATGAAAATTCGAGAATGGAAGAGATAATGATAAATGAAGAGAGTGGTTAGAGAAAAATAATATGAATAACGCCACGAATTACGCCAAAAGATATATTTTTAAAATCTTGTTTATTGTTTCTCTGTATAACTTTGCTTATTGTTTTTCCTTTTTCATGTTAGGCAAAAAAATAAGTTAAGCTGCAAGTAAGGTTGGCGGTTCCGGGTATCCGGAACCGAAAAAACCCCGGATATCCGGAAATCTTCGGTTCGGATATCGGTTCCGGATATCCGGAGAATTCTAAGGAACCGCCATCCTTAGCTTTGAGTTACTTTACAGATTATTAAATGTATTTAATTTTAGCACAAAATGAGCAATCCATAAGATGAACAATCAACTAAATTATTTTACGCCTTCAAACTTTACTAAACCGAATACTGAAGGTTGTTTTGAATTCATTAAATATTAACAAAAGAATTTTCTAGTCAATTAAGCTCAACTAGCACAAAGATGGATTTATTCACATCAAATGCAGCAACAACAACAGGCCTTCATTCCTCCACCACCTGGGCCTTTTCCACCACAACCACCTCCACCACTTATTCCACCAGCTCATCCGCCTCATGGTTTCGATTTTTATCCTTTTATCAATACTTATTCAAAATTAAGGTCATCCAGCTGGTCCTCACATGCCATATCATCAATTTGAACGTCCTCCGCAATATCATCAGCAACACTTTTCTCATCCGCCTCCTCCACTTAATCATTGGAGACAGCCATGGATGCCACCTCCACCAAACTTGGGATATCCTCCGCCACGTTATCCACTCAATGCACTTACATCATCTTCGGAATCTTACCCAACTAATTTGCAAAATCAATCGAATGACGATGAAGAGGTTTTTCTTTGATTTTCTAAAGTTTTTCTAATAAATTCTTGGGTAAATTGGGAGTTTACTTGTCCCCAGAAAAAACAAGGAAAAGTGCTTTCCTGTTTGCTATTAGGTAATCGAGTGTGCTGATGTAGGTCCGAATCTGAACTTTGAATGTTTATTTTGAATTCTGGACCCGAATTTGACAAGTTGACAATTAATTGTAAGCAAAAATATCGAGAGAGCACTTTCTCATTTTTACTAGGGATCAGTAAACTCCGCATTTACCATTTCTTGTTTAAGTATCAAGCCCATTATGACCCTTCACTTGATCAAGATGACTCTACGGAATGTTCTCAACGTCAACCCCAGACGGAAACTGACTCGAGTAATTTACCAGAAGGCGCAATGAGTCATTGGATGGTCGATCAACCTTGGGCTTCAGGCGTCTATAATTCCAATTATATGCCTGTTATTGGTATTTTAAGGTTTTCTTTTTCGTTTTTAAATTCATTTAAGATATGCAAATGCGTAAGAAACTCCCTTATTGGATTTTGGAAGGCCTGGAAAAAGCCGAGAAAGAAAAGAAGAAAAAACAGGAAAAGGAAGAATTGGAAAAACGCAAAAAGGAAGAGGAAGAAGAAAAACGGAAAAAGAGGGAAGAGAAAGGGCTTGGGAAATTTGTATTTTTTTAAAGTTATTTTCAATTTATTTTTGAATTTTTTAGGATTCTGATAGCGAAGAAGAAGAGGATGGTTCTTCCAATGGTGAAGTAAAAAAGCAAAATGGGAAGAACTCTCCCGTCATTCCTGAGAAACGCCAATTCAGAGAATTTGTTCAAGAAGAGATTGCGGATACTCGTACAGAGGAGGAGCTGAAAGAGGAAGCGGTATATTTTTTACATTTTTGATCGAGCTTATTTTTGAGAGTCTAGACTACTTATCAGTTCTCCCTATTCCAGTAAAACTTATAGGAGGAACCTATCCAGAGTTGAGGTATACATGTACAGTCCCGGACCCATTGTTCAAACACTTTGAGCTGGGTACTTATAGCCATAGAGTGTAATCTGGCCTTTTTTAGTAATTTGAGTAAGGAAAAAAGTTGGTAGGAGATTGGATTTTACCGGTTGGTGCTCAGGTCCTCTCACATACTTGTTACAAAGCGGCAGAGGAAAAATAAATGTACATTAGCCATTTCTCCCCCCATTCTTCTAGTGTTAGAGTGGTTTGAACCCCACCATTCAATCATAAATGATTGGAAAAAAGCCAGTTATGGTTAAACAGGTTTATTGTTAGATATTCTTGGGGGGGGGGGGTCAATATCATGGTTAAGCTTTTTTACTTATTATTTATGATAAAGTTAAATTGTCTTATTCTTTTCAGATTGCATTGATGAGAAGTCTAATAACTAGCGTACTTTTGAGTGTTACAAATCGAGAAATTGAACGTATTGCTGAAGAACAACTTACAAAAGAGAAGAATAAAGGTTGGGAAAATTGGGACTTTCTGGCGATTATTATTTATTTTTGTTGTGTTTATTCATCAAAACACCACCCTCTCACACTTAGGAATTTTTTCCAAGTTTTACAATTTTGTTTAGCACAACCGAAATTACTTGCAAAAAGCTCGGCACTTGCCGCATTGACTTCTTTATTCGGTAAGCTTTCGTTTCTTTAGTTGTGTATAATTATATACCTATATGTCACACTTCAGTCGAAATTACATTTGACCGAACAAATTAAACTTGGATATTTTAAATTATTTATTATACGATTTCATTCTTTTTTTATTTTCTCCTTGTCTGTCTCCCAACTGGTACTGGGTTGATTTAGGATTTTTCAAATCAAATTCCATAAATTCTTGTGAAAAAAATCATTCTGCACTGATAGTGAATGGATAAGTACTTACCCAAACCAGTTTTAAGTGGGTCAGGTCCTGAACCCTATCGAACTCGATTTGTGAGCTAGAGGTCAGGGGTATAAAAAAGATAACCATATAGATAGACAAGGCTAAGTGGCTTGTTTACAAACTTGATGACACACACAACACAATAAACACACAACCTTATAAAAACAGCGAACAATATGAACTACTATATTGATACCTTTATATTTATAAAGCACCATTGGTAATTCTTCGGTTTAGACCACCCAACATTTTCCGAATCGCTGACCACTTTGAGCTTTTTCGCTTGATCTATAATTTAGCACAAATCATTCGAAAGAGCTCAATTGGCAGGCTCCATTTTCTTCATAATTTTATAACGCTCCACGGCCTGCTTGCGTTCCTTCATACCCAAATGGCATACCCAAATATTTTTAAAAAATTGTGAATTATTAAAATTAAACATACATCATAATGAAGAAATTGGACTCCATTGTTGACTTCTTGTACTAAAAAGTGAAAAATAAATTTAGGGATTATAATTATGTAAGAACCTTAGGCAAGCATTGCAATGCTTTCTCGAAACTGGAACCATCAATTAGTGCTTTAATTCTACTGTTGCAGAACCAGTTAATTAAGAATTGGGCAAAATCAGGAACGGATGCTGCATAAAACAAAAGAATTCCACGAATCAAAAAATAATCTTCATGATGAATATCGTATTAGAGGGTACTAAGATATTCATCATGAAGATTATTTTTTGATTCGTGGAATTCTTTTGTTTTATGCAGCATCCGTTCCTGATTTTGCCCAATTCTTAATTAACTGGTTCTGCAACAGTAGAATTAAAGCACTAATTGATGGTTCCAGTTTCGAGAAAGCATTGCAATGCTTGCCTAAGGTTCTTACATAATTATAATCCCTAAATTTATTTTTCACTTTTTAGTACAAGAAGTCAACAATGGAGTCCAATTTCTTCATTATGATGTATGTTTAATTTTAATAATTCACAATTTTTTAAAAATATTTGGGTATGCCATTTGGGTATGAAGGAACGCAAGCAGGCCGTGGAGCGTTATAAAATTATGAAGAAAATGGAGCCTGCCAATTGAGCTCTTTCGAATGATTTGTGCTAAATTATAGATCAAGCGAAAAAGCTCAAAGTGGTCAGCGATTCGGAAAATGTTGGGTGGTCTAAACCGAAGAATTACCAGTGGTGCTTTCAACTGATTTGGGTGAGTACTCATCTATTCACTATAAGTACAGAAAAATTTTTTTCACAAGAATTTGAGGAATTTATTTTAAAAATCCTAAATCAACCTAGTACCAGTTGGGAGACATACAAGGAGAAAATAAAAAAGCAAATACAATGAACAAATTTCAAAAAAATGAAATTGTATATTAAATAGTAGCGAATATCCAAATGTAATATGTTCGGTCAAATGTAATTTGACTGGCCAAAAACGTTAAAAATTGTTTCATATATTCCATACAGGCAATTCTGTGGAATTATGGCCCTTTCCTAGTTTCTAATGGGGTTTTTCTATTTTTTGGTATTTTTTCGGGTCTCTTATTCTTCGGGTCATAATTCTGCGGGTTGCTTATTTCTTTCCTCTTTCAAGCTTTAACATTGTTTCCCAGGGGCCTCGAAATTGTTTCAATTTTTGGGAAAATCTTTTTAAAAATTTTTTTTATTTTTTCTTGGCTTTTTTAAAATTTTTCGGAATACTTTTTCGATGCCCCTTGGGCCCTTTGAATTAAAAAAATTTTTTTTCTTCGCTCGCAAAATTGTCTTTCATTTTTAAACTGAAATAAAATTTTTATTTAAAAAAATTTTGCAAAAAAATTCTCATCAAAAAAATTATTTTATTTTTAAAAAAATATCTAAAAAAATAATTTTTTTAAATCGTGCAGATGATGAAGGTGATGATGAATCAAGCACTGATGGAGAAGATTCTTCTCCAAACAAAAATATTTGTAAAAATGTGGAACAAATTGGACAGCCGTCAATTGACGAAGGAGCAAATAAAGCAGAAGAAAATTCTGTGGTTTTTAAGGTACCATTGGCCCCGCAACCGAGGAGGTTGTTCATTGTATTAAAATTATTTTAAAAAACACAAAAGACCTTTTTTGACTTGAAAATGACTTGAAAAAAATTTTTGGAAAAAATTAATTTAATAAAATTTAAATTTTAGTGCTACAAAGTCGGAACTGTCGCAAGATGAGAAATTGGAAAAGCTTAAAAAGTTTATAGAAAATAAAAATAAAGATGAGGAATCCAAAGATGAGAGAAGGAAGGAAATTAAAAAGGAGCCGAATTCAACATCCAAGGTTTTTAAATTTTTATGATTAAAGATGATTTTTTGGGTTAAAAAGAGGGGAGGGTGAGGGATGGTGATTTGAGTTAGAATAGGATGCCACAAGGCATTTTGTAAAAATTTATGAATCCCATTTTATTCTCAGTTGGTGTGATCTATTAAAGGCTTGGTGAATTTGATAGAAAATAGGATGCCTTATCATAATGTCAAAGCCTATTTCCAATATCCATTAATAAAACACCCTTAAAATAGAAAAAAGTTCACCAAGCCGTCATAGCCTTAAAACATCAAGTCTTATGAATTGCACCAGTCCAGATTTTGGACGTTTGTTGTTCCAACCTCGGGCTCTCCCTTTCTTACATTTAGCTCTAGTTCTGGAGCCAACTCCCAGGGGCATACTCGTTTACAAACCTTTAAATAAATAAAAAAAATATTTTTAGGAAGATGTCATCAGTTTGCCTTCCCGCCATTCTCCAAATAAAGAAAAGGAGCGAGGTAAGGAATCAGATCGTGATCACCGTAGAAGGGGTGGCGGGGAAAGAGAATCTTCTTCTTCTGGAAGACGTGATCGAAGCAAGGAACGCAAAAGGGAAAGAAGTCGAGAACGGGGAGATGAAAGGTATAGTAGTAGTAAAAATAAAGAAAGAGGTGGAAGGAAGGAATATGAAAGGGATAGAAATAGGGAGAGTACTCGAAGACGTTCAAAAAGTCGAAGTCCTAGAGAAAAAAGATACAAAAGTTCACATCATAATCGTTCCCCAAGACGTTGAATTTTTTTTTTGTTTTGGTAATTTAATAAATTTAATTTTATTCTAGTACATAAATATTTTTGAAATTTTGTTGGAAATGTTGAGTATTTTTTAATAAGAGGGCCAGAATTAATCTCACATCAATGTTACTGGAACGCATTTAGGGCCTTTCCTTTTTTCGAAAAGATTTTAGGACCTTGCAATAAAAAGAGATCCTGGATATGACCCCTTGCAAATTGCCCTCGAATGTTAGCTTAACTCTAAAGTAGATAAGGAAGGTTTTACTTAAGGGTGGAACCCGTGTATGTCGTATTTAGAGATTGGAAAAATGCTAAAAAAATTCAAGTAATTCGAAGGATTAGAAATTAGGTTAAGCCCAAAATAGGCGCGCGGCCAAACGGCGCAAAGTCATAATTAATTGAAATCTTCAAGATTTCCGCATCTTAACAGATTTAGTATTAAACGATTCCTCTAATCGAGATAAAGAAATTGGTACCAAAATTAATAAGGGTCACAAATTTTACGGAAAGTTATGGCTTTGCGCTGTTATGGCCGCGCGCCAACTTAGGCGTGTCCCTAAAAATTATTCGATTTAATATTCAATTCTTACTATCTAGTATTTTAGACTAGGAACAGAGACGAGGAGTAACTCTAATTAAAAAATTAAAAAATGCAAACGTTAATTAATATTTTTTTCAAAAATTCTTCGTTTAATTTCTCTTAAAACAACAAGTGAAAAATGTTTATTAGGCAAGATAACTATTATTAATTTTAAGCTTCTTTTTTTCTAAACAAAAATATTAGAAGGATGGGAATTTTGCATTATATAAATATAATTATTTTCGGCTTTAAAGCGTTGTAACTGGAGTTTCTCCAGGAGATAAAGTTTTTGTTGGTGAATGAATATTTGCCTGAAAATGTTGAGAGGAATTTAAGGGGAAGGGAAATCGAGCATTTAAAAAGCTTAATTAGTCGGTGAATGAATTTAAGAGGGAAAGGTGAAAAACAGCTCAGTCGGTAGAGCAAACCTTTACGTGGTGAGCAAAACTGTTTGGCAATAACTGCCAGAAGCTCCCACCTTCTCTTTTAATGTCTTAAACTACCGCCTAAAATAAGTGTTTTAAATGCTAGTCAACTCAGTCTTCGTTAAAATAATTTTAAATTGAGATCAAAACCGGTCCTTGGGAATTACATATTTGGTCCGTAAAAGACTTTAACGAAGGACTTTTTTGAAAAAATTTTGAATTAAATTTCTTAAATGCCTCTGAATGTCTCGTCTCTACTCGAGAATATTTTAAAAATAATTAGCAAGAAACCCCCACCCCCCCCTCAATTTAATTTTTATTCCACCTTTGATTTGTATCGCTCAAAAAGTGAAGTAATAATTTCTCCAACTAGAAGATCTCCGCCATTCGTCTGAAAAAAAATTTTTTTAAATAATTTTTCTAGACCGTTTATTTTCGTTTCTACTCTCCCAATCCTTTTCTAGATAGTCTCTAGCCCCTCTTATTTATTTTTTAAAATTTGCCTGAATCATTCTCAACAGAAAAACACCATCAGTACGTAGAAAATCTATAAAATTATTCACTAAATGTATCTCAAAAGCATTGCTAGTCTGTTCAATAACCCCCATACAACGCAAATATTTTGTTATAAAAGCACGTTTACAGCCTGGAAGAATAGTTGCTGTAGACCAGTAAAATAAGCCTAGAAGAGAGAGAACTCCAACAAAGAGAAACCAGAACCAGAAAAATACAAAAACTTTTTCATTAAACCTGGAAAATTAAAAAAAACAAGTTTAATTCTGATTTCAGGTTTATTTATGTAAATAATTCTGATTATTAAAAAACCCAGAATTTTTTAAAATAAAGTTTAAACCAGAATTTATTCAAAGAAACAAAATCAGAATTATTAAAAAAACGTAAAACCAGAATTTTCTAAAATAAATTTAAGATCAGAATTTATTTAAATAAACTTAAAATCAGAATTTTTTAAAATAAACTTAAAACCAGAATTTATTTAAATAAACTTAAAACCAGAATTTATTTAAATAAACTTAAATCAGAATTATTAATAATAAACTTAAAATCAGAATTATTAAAAAACAAAATCAGAATTTTTAAACTGAACATGAAACCAGAATTTTTCAAAATAAACTTAAAATCAGAATTTTTTAGTAAACTTAGATCAGAATTTATTTAAATAAACTTAAAATCGAAACCAGAATTTTTCAAAATAAACTCAAAATCAGAATTTTTTAGTAAACTTAGATCAGAATTTATTTAAATAAACTTAAAATCGAAACCAGAATTTTTCAAATTAAACTTGAAGACCTACATATTAATCATCAAAACACATTGTACAGTCCATCTATGTATATTACCCAAAACTCGAACATTAAAATCACACATTGTCACCCTAGGGAAATGTCCAGATTCACTCCACTCCCTCCCATTCCAAATATCTTTTAATATTCCAAACCCCCAATAAGTATATTGAGGGCCTAAAAAGGCATTTAAAATTAAAAATTGCAACAAAATATTAGCCACGTAGAGAAATTTGGTAAAAAGATATAAAACTGTTAAGAAGACTCCTGCACGCTTCCCAAGGCTTGAAAGTAACTGAGAAAAGAATTGTTGAGAAAATTAAGTTTTATAAAAAATACCGTTGTTGCTGCAAGTGTTGGTAGAGAGAAAAAGGAAAAAATAAAGTTTATTTAAAAAATCAGAATTTTAAAAATCAGAATTTTAAAAATAAACTTGGAATCAGAAAATTTATTTCAAGTTTATTTTAAAGTTTATTTAATAAACTTGAAATCATAATTATTAAAAACCAGAATTTTTATAGAAACTTAAGTTTAGTTAATAAACCAGAATTCAAGTTTATTTATTAAACCTCAAATCAGAATTTGTAAAATAAACTTAAAACCAGAATTTTATGAATAAACCTAAAACCAGAATTATTTAAACTTGAAACCAGAATGTTTATTTCAAATTTATTTAAAAGTTTATTTTTTAACTCCTTACAAGTTTTAAGCTCCCTTTGCATTTCTAATGCTTCCAATATATGCGTAGCAGCTTTATCGACCTTATAAATCAAGTTTAATTTTATAAATACAAAAAATACAAACTTGAGCATTTCTTGTATTTTTGTCAAACTTTTTCTTAACTAAAGCAGCACTATTTAACACACTCTTGACGTTTATGCCTGTATTGAAATTAAATGCCTTCCAGAGGAATGAAGGCAAATAGAAAAATAATGCTTGGGCAGCCAGAACTAGGGGGACCTTTTGAAAAAAATTATTTTTTAATTTTAAATTTATTTTTCCAGTACCCATTGATAATATCCAATAAAAATATTTTCTCTAGCAGCATAGGAATCGTCAATATGTAAATCATCCATAGGCAAAAAATATGTTCCCTTCACAAAACAATAGGTTTCTGCGTATCTGAAAGGAATTTAATTGTTTCATTAAAATCAGAAAAGTTTGTTAAAATCAGAATTATTAAAATAAGCTTGAACATAAAATCAACTTGAAACCAGAATTTTTAAAATAAAATAAACTTGAAACAAAAAATACAACTTTAAAAAAGGTTGTATTTATTAAAATCAGAATTCAAGTTTAAACTTGAAACCAGAATTTCTAAATAAACTTTTTCTAAAGGTTTATTTTAATAAACTTGAAAACAAAGTTTAAAAAAGAATAAACTTGAAAATCAGAATTTTCAAATAAACTTGAAACAAAAATAAAACTTTAAAAAGGTTGTATTTTTAATTACAACTTGAGCAACCTGACAAATCCGGAAAACTTATCCGGGAAAAAACTTGTTAGACACAAAGTTGCTTTTAAGTTTATTTTCTGGTTTCTTCAAGTTTCTCCGCAAAGTTTTTGCGGACGTCCGCAAATTATTAAAATTATTAAATTTAAAAAATCGACCAACTTTTCCCAAGCCCCAGTAAATTCTGGAGGTACCCAACACTGTATAGGCTTCCCAACATATTGGGTAGCCGCTAATGTAATGGCTGCAAATGAGAGCATAATTGCTGTATATTGATAATTGAGACGGTCAATTATGTCATTTGATTGGTAGCTTGGAAAATAATAAAAAAAAAATTTTAAATAATTGAATCCTTACTTATAAATACACCTTTGTGGACAAAAAAATGTAGCTTATAATAAGGAGTCTTAAATAGAGGTGTATCTTATAATGAGGTGTCCTTAAATAAAGAGTATATTATATAGAAGGTATCTTATATAGAGGGTTATTAAATAGAGGATATCTGATATTGGGTGTATCTTATAATGAGGTTTGATTATAAAATAAAGACTACCTTCTTCTAATTTTACTCAAATATGGAGTTAATGCTCCAATCATTGTTTAAATAAATTATTTTTAGAGATTTATTAAAGCAAATAATTTTAAAATTTAATAAAATATTTCTCTTAAAAAAATATTTTTAATTAAATTGTTTAAAATTTGTAATTTGGTTTTGTTCAATGTTGATACATTAGCTTATCTAGTTTTATCTACTGGGAAATTTTCGGAATCAGGGGTAGGCGCAAGAGACAATCACCAAAAACACAATGCGCCTCGGATTAAGATTGGGAGATTGTAGGGTGAGAGAGAGAGATTGTGAGGATTGGGAAGGTGGATACGGAGAATTGGGAGGGTCCTACGAGAATTGAGATAGAAATCTCGAGGATATTTTTGTTCGAAATTTCGTCTCGGTCCTGTCTACAAAATTTAAATTCGCCAATCTAGTCAGGATGGAATTTTGAGGAAAGTATTTTCTATTAAAGGGAGAGCTTACATATTTTAAGCATTTTGTTAAGACAAAGAATGAAAAGAAAATTTTTTAGGAAAGAAAAAAAAGTTTAACTGTACGGTCAGATACCTTGTTTTTCATCCCCAAGTTTATGTGTACACTCTCTAATTGTACGTACAATTTTATTTTAAAGTTGGGGTATAAGAAACTGAACAAGCGCTACCTCCAATTTAAGGTAAACCTCAGTTTTGCCTATACACCCCAAGGGTGTATACAGTCGAGATTTGACTGCATTTTAAAGGACAAATACAACAACAACAAAATTACTATATTTGTTTTGTATACAACAACCTGAACAAAACTAAAATAATTCCCTCTCCTTCCTCTACCCCTTCCCTTCACTTCATTCAACGTCCTCCAAAAATAATTCAATGCCCGCGCAACCAAAAATAATAAAAAATTTTTATTTTTTGGGGGTAATCAATAAATTGCGATTTTGTGTTATAGACAGGCGGCGTTAACGTTTTTATGGAAAGACGGAAAAATAAAATTAAATAGAAAAAAAATATTTTTTGAGGGAAAAATATGTAAAATAGTGATGGAGGGAGGGAATATTTTGGGGATACAATCATTCGAGAGGAGAGAAACGGGGGACTTTAATTAGGCAGGATTTTGAATTTAGTTATTATTATTAGTTAAATTATTAAATTATTAGTCTCAGTTGATAAAAAAAAGCTTGTAAAACTGGGCTCTATTTAAAATTGAAATGATTTCCTCCAACCTAATCAACTTTAAAACTGTAAAGCATATATGTAGCTATTAATTTCCTAAGGCTGAGCAGTAGGCGGCGTGGTGTAATGGCTAACACATCAGTCCGGTCTACTGAAGATGCTGGTTCGCTCCCAGCCGCCGAATAACCTTTTGCACTAGCTAAAGAAGAAAAATAGCTATAGCCCAGCTGCTTTACTAAACGATTGTTGCTTAAAGTTGGGGATAAATACGGGATTCGATTATATTTATTTGAAAAGTAGGGGGTAATGAGGGAAGGATATCGAGAAACACGAGACTTCCTTTGCTTTCTCCTCTTCTCCCACGGGCATCCCGGGAAACTGACGATACTTTTGATACTTCCCTTTAGCTCCGAGGAGTGGAGGGAAAGGTCAATTTGGCGGAAAGTAACAGGCAATGAGGGAAAGATTTCTACATAGTCCTAACTTTTCCCCCTTTCCCCAACTCCCCATATCCCGTCGCAGCCTTTTTTCTCTTTACTAGGTCCCTCTATGTTTCCCCCATCCAAAAAAGACCAAGAATATCCAAAGGAGAAGGGAGTGGAAGGAAAGGTCAACCTGGCGGAAAGTAGCAGGTAATGAGGGAAAGATCTCTAGTCCAAACTTTTCCCCCTTTACCAAACCTCCCCATATCCCCTTCCCATACCTTTTCATACCTTTTTTCTTTTTACCCGGTCCCTCCACATCCCCCCACACAATCTACAAATTTTTTACAGCACAAAAGTGCATTTGTCGGTAAGAAAAAAATTAGTCGGTGCCCTTCTCTAAAAAGAGGAAAATAAAAAAAATAAAAATCGAATGTCCAAATAAAAATAAAATTCTCGATCGATTCACTCTATACAAGCATTAAAAATAAAAAAAATATAAAATAAATTTTAGACATTCCTCTTTTATGGTTTTACATTTTTTTGAAGAAAAATGGGGAGAGGAGAACAACAACAATTCCTCCCTCCCTCTAAAAATTGAAACTAATTTTTATTCTAAACCTCCCCCTAAAAAATATTTTTTTTAATTTAAACAATAATTTAAATATTTATCCACACACTTCTTTACTGTTCAAATCAATTTAAAATTCCACGAGAAAAAATTTTTTATCGACCTCCCAAATATTCTTTAATTATAATTAACGCCTATATGTATGTACACTTCTTTGCTAGCTTTCATTTTAACTTTCTGTATTAAATGCCCATTCTCAAATTAACTTTAAAATCCCTCAATTATCCAACCACTGAGTTTATTACTTAAAATCAAGACCTTCCAAAGGCAACACTCTAAAGCACCGTTAGTATTTTTAATAAAAGATATACCTACCAAGGGTGGCCACAAAATACGAGACACGAGATTCACGAGATGCGAGATGAGCGCCACCCCTGATACCTACCGTTTTTCCCTATGACTCCCTCCATTTGAATGCCCCCTTCTAACAGAATGCCATGGCATTCTATTGCAGAAACAATCTTGATTGTTCCTCTATTTGAGGAACAATCATGAGTCCGTCTAAAACCACCTTCTTTTTGCCCACAATGTCCTCCTTTATATTAGGGTTTGACCCCGAACGCTCGGGGGCGGGTATGTCGGGGTACGGGGTTTTCGAAATGTTTCGGGGCGGGGTTCGGGTCGGGGGAGCAAAATATGGCCGGGGTTCGGGTCGGGGTACGGGGGTTTACTGGAAAAATTTTTTAATGGAAAAATGCTCTAAAAATAAGCCGTTTTGGGAAAAAAATCTTTATTCACAAATTAATGAGAATAAGGTGGGATTAAAAGAAAATAAGAGAAATTGGAGTGATTAATTAGATCTGGAGGTAATTAAGGAGGATTTGGAGGGATTAAAGCGGATATCCGGTGATATAAGAAGATTTCTAGGGACTAAGGGTGTATATCATTGATTTGAAGTATTATCGAGTGATTAGGGATTTGGAGGATATCATATCTCTTTCTTTTCTGCGCCGCAGGCGAAATTTTGAGAATTTTATAAGGCTAAGAAGCGTTTTTTGCGCCCAGGCAAAAATTTTGAGAAACTTGGAAGGCCAAGAAGACGGATTTCTTACATTTCCAGCTCCGCAGGCGAAAATTTTAAAAATTTTTTAGGTCAAAAAGCCGGATGTCTTCGTTTTTTAGCTAAAAAATCTTTACATTGTAAATTGAGCTCTTGATTTTGTGAAGAAAATCCTTAAACAAACAAGTCCAGCTTAGTTGGATCAACCCCAATCCTATATTTATAGGAATAAACGTAAAACCAACAACTAAGCCACTCAACCAAAAGTCTCTTAATAGCAGGAAAACAAATTTTGATATTTCTTTCATATTTCATTCAAAAATAATAAGGGCAAAGGAAATTGGAAGGAAATTTTTTAAATTTTTTTCTTAAAATTCTGCCAAAAATGACATTTTTTGGGTATGTAAAACCCCGATAACCCCGAAACTTTTCGGGTCGGGGTACGGGGTTTTCACTTTTTTTCGGGGCGGGGTTCGGGTCGGGGAGAATCGTGAAAAAATCGTTCGGGAACGGGGTCGGGGTTCGGGGTCGGGGTCAAACCCTACTTTATATTACTTATTACTTCAATTTATAAATTCCATAAACAAGCTTCAACAATTCTTCGTTAATTATTTCCTTTACTTACAATACCAATAACCCTCATGACCTTTCTCGGTTTCAGCTTTATAAGCCTTGTTCCTTTCAAACACTATGGTATATCAAGAACCCTCCAAAAACACCTAAATATCGTTTATTAGAGAGCCCCTCGTTCAATTAGAGAGTGTCTCTCTAATAATAAGGCAAACAGTTTCATTTAAATTAAATTATATGATGTAATATTCTATTTAATATTTTACCTTATTAAAAATTCTCTTCCTCGTTTAAATGTTAAAAAAATTTTTCAAAAAGTACAATGCCCTTTTAAATTATCGGGCCCTTTCAGTCAATTATTAAATTTAAATGTCATCTTCCCAAAGTATTTTCCCCTTTTTTCTGATTAGTCACGTGTTCTTCTGTGGGGGGAATTTTCTTTTAATAATAAAGACTAGAGTGATTCATTCACATCCGAGAAAAACTAAAAAATGATTGGCGCGCCATTCTTTTTATTCAAATGACCTTTCTCACAAAATTTGCACTTTTCGAATTTTTTTTTATTATTTATTTTGTCTTTATTTAAAAGGACTTTTTAAATATTTTAAATGCACTTTTTAAAAATTAAAAAAAATTTTTTTAGACCTCAAACATTCCTTCCCTCGGTATCGCTAGACAGCCTCGAGGCCACATTTTGGGCTATAACTTTTTTTGATTTTTAACCGATTTAATTAATTTTTATATCATTCAAAAGCTCTGAATGTGAGGATTATTTTATCTAACAGGACTGATTTGGTCGGATCATCCTACAAAAAGTTACAGCCAAATAACTGCGCGCAATCGTGATTTTTAGCTGTTTTGATTAGTTTAAAAATTACTTTATTTTACTCCTTTGGCATTCTGTTTATTTTTATTCCGCTTTGTTTCTCTCTCAAAAATCTCTCTTGTTTTCGTACTATCCTACTAGCTGGCACCAAGTAAACTTTTTATTTTTTGTGGATTTAATTTCGGGCTCCCATACAAAATACCGAATTCTTAAAATATGGAATCTCAAAATCGCGAATCGGCTAAAAAAGCTCAAAATATGGAATCTCAAAATATCGAATCTCAAAATATGGAATAGGCAAAAAAAAGCTCAAAATATCGAAAAATATCGACAATGCGGCAAAGGCCAGTTGAGCCTGAACAAAGTTGTGACCAACTTCTTCGTAAAAAAATTTTAAAAATAAGAGAAAGTATTTTTCTAAGGTAAAAAAATGTGCTGATTACGAATCTCAGCTCGGATTTTGAAAAAGTCGAATCCCGGACCCGAACCGAATTTCGAATCCCGAACCGAATTTCGAGTTTCCGAATGATAGCTCATCTGAAAGAGCACGTCGAGCTGCATCAAATGACACCAAAATCAATGAAATCCGACCTGATTGGACTGAGTTACAGACCCCTGAATAATCAGAAAAAGACCTGCAGCGGCACTCAAACGGCCCTTTTCGTTTTTAAAAAATTCGACATTTTTAACTACTTTTTAGCCGATTCGGTATTTTGAGCTTTTTTGGCCGATTCGCGATTTTGAGATTCGATATTTTAAGATTCCATATTTTGAGCTTTTTTGGCCGATTCCATATTTTGAGATATTTTTACCGATTCGCGATTTTGAGCTTTTTTAGCCTATTCGCGATTTTGAGAATTCGGTATTTTGTGCGGGCACGTAATTTCGAAATCGTTGACTGAACTCTTTTTTCTTTCTTCTCTTCTTTGTTCTTTTCCTTTATCTTTTATTTTTTATTTTATTTTTCTCTAAACTTAAAGGGCAAAGTTAAAAAGAAAATAATGGTGGATTGCCGAACTAGGGACAAAACACCATCCGGACAAAATGCCGACTGGACATTAGAGTAGAAATCATCGCCACCTTTTTATGGAGAATTTTCTCGAATTATGTTTTCTAAATATCTTTAGCTCTCCGGCTATTAAGTAAATATTTTCTTGTAAACTTTTTTCGCTCTAAACTAAATGGACGGTAATTTTTACTCTACTGGGGGACCGTATTTTGGTCGGACGGTGTTTTGTCCTGTCACGGAATCCGACATTATTTCTCTCTCTCTTTCCTTGTTTTCAGTCTTTATCTTAACTTCTCCCTGCTTTTAAACTTTTCTCTCTCTTTTAGTCAACGACAAAGACCACATAGACAAAGAAAAGTTGTTGTTTTTTTTGTTGATGATTCATTCATAAGTTCTATGGTTTGTGGACACTTTTTTTGACTACACGTATAGTCATTTCCTTTTATAGTCCACGTAATTGAAGTTACCTTCGAGAATTTTTTCTCCCAATATTTTTTTGTTTATGCCACTCTTCTTTATCAATTTCCCGCTTTTTGTAGTTTCTTCCCTCCAAATAATCATCATTTTTTAAACAAAATACTTTGCTTTACCTTCAATTTTTTAGTTATAATAAACAAAATCTCACATGTCACATTCTTATTCTAATCATCAAAGAATGGCTACAATACCTCCAAATAATTTAACAATTTGCAATATTGACGGAACTCCGATCCAAAATGCTGGAAATTTTTTAACAAATAATAATGGAGCACATTCTTGGCAGACAGAACAGACAATTAATCTCGAAACTATTAATCTCGATGAATTTGATAATGAACACTTTAATTTGGTAAGAGGCTATTTTAAATTCTGGAATGGACTTGTGGTAGAGATCGGCCTAGGTCTGGACCAAGGCTTGGGTTTTTCCTGTACCCAGAGTTCAGGCCCAGGCATTTTTTGACATTCCTGGGGGTTTCCTGGACTACGGGCCCAGGATCCGGCCCAGGTCAATAAATCAAACCCGGAACCCAGGAAAAGGCCCGGCTTTTCAATAATTCCTATCTCTAGTTTGTGGGACAACATAGGAATCCTGGGCTTTTGTAGTTGTTCACCCCCACAGTTAATCGAGGCCGAAGGTTTTTCCAGATTTGGTGTGATACGATAGGGTTTATAGGAGTTGTTTGGTGGGCTTTTTGGGACTTTTCTGGTTAACATGACATTTTTTGGGGTTTCACCACTGCTCTGATTTCTTTTTAGGAAAAGGTCTTGTCTGAAGGGAATGACGCCTTTCCTATTTTTCTGAAAATTCGTTCCAATAATGGGTTTTTAACTCTAAAATTAAATCTATTTTACAGCTAAACTTTATCAATGATGGATCTTCACCTCTAGAAGAATCTGGCCCGAGGTTAGAAGACGACGAAATTCAAAAACAGAAGGCTGAGGCTCTATATGCGCAATATCAGTATGATCAAATGATGTTTGCAAATCAACATTTACAGCAAAGAAATGGTTTGGGGCTTTTATTAGATAGCCCTGACGATTTAATTGATATTTATCTTTCTTCAGATTTCGGGCCCAATGAATTTGTGACTGCCCCTGTACCTTCTTCCTGCTTTGGAGAAGTTGGTGGTGGGCAGAGACTGGAAGCGGGCGGTCCTGTTCGAGATGAGGAAGAAGAGGAAGTGAGGAGGAGGCTTTTGGAACCTCCAAACACTTCTAGTTTGGTTCCGAGTACTTCAAATGCTTCAATGCAAAAGCTTCTTCGTGTGCCGGTTGTGAAAGAGGAGCCTTTCAAGGATGAACCGCTGGAACAAGTAAATTTTAATTTTTGATTTAAGTGGGGTTTGAGATCGGTTTTTGGGTTTTCTATGCCTTTTCCGTGAATACTCGATGCCATTTTTATTTTTTATTTTTCAACTATCCCAGGCACCTTCTCGGGAGTATGAATTCCTATTCCTCTTTATTTGACGTTTTCTGGACTAACGGATTTAAGCTATTAAAAAGATTAACGAGTGGCTTCGATTATTATCCGTTACAAATTTTGTCCGCAATTTGTGTCCGCATTTTTCTAAAAATCTTACAAATTAACAAATAGGATGATTTTAAAAAAATCTTACGATTAGACGTTTCAAACCTCCAAATCGATCTTAAATAAACCTTCACACGAAAAAAAATTTTCAATTTGACCTAATTTTCAGGATAATGTCAACGTTTCTCAAGTTTTTGGCTCTTCCTCCTCCCGTGCTTCAAGCGTTGCCAGTAGCGTTTTTACTTCAGTACTTTCAGCATCACATTCCGGAACTCCACGAAAATATAGGATTAAATCAGATAAAGAAAAGTCTAATCCAATGTATAGACTTAAACGTTTAAAGGTTTTTTTCTAATTTTTTGAACATTTTTTAAAAATAAATTCTTTTTTTAGAATAATGATGCTGTGCGTCGCAGTAGAGACAAGGCAAGACAACAACAAATGGCAAAAGAACACAGGCTTCTATTTCTGGAACATGAGGTTTTTAATAATAAATTCAGTAGTTAAATACTAAATTTGGGAGCGTTATATTTTTGTTTGAAAAATTCAGAATATTCTTTTTCCTCAACAAAGTGAGCTAGGTAGTTTTGCGAGGATTTTGTTGGCCGTTGGTTCCGTTGAAAAATTCTTTTGGGTTGATTTTTGGTTGATTAGTTTTTTTCTGGCAAGAGTTTTTGTAGACAGAAAAACCCAGAAAATTTCTTCCCGCCTTTTTCATTATGATATAAGTAGAGTTAGTTTTCAGAAGACCATTAAACCTGAATTTCTCCTTCTAGTGTGACAGATTAACTATTTTCATATTTTATTATCTCAACATTTTTCTCTATTCCGGGCATGAAATTTCATTCCTCCATGAAATTTATAATTTTAAAATATGCCATTTTTAATACAAAATTTTTCTAATTTTATTTTTTCAGACGCGTGAACAGGCAGTTTTGATACAAGAATTGAAAGGCCAGAATGCCGAGCTTAAGGACGAATTTCAAAAAATTAGACAAAATTGTAGATGTGGGGCTATAAATTTAAGTGAACAACAAAGGCATTAAATGATGAAAAGCTTCTTCAGCGGGAGAATTTAAACAAGTGTGTGTTGAAAGTTAATAGTCAAAGAAACATATATATTTTTAGTTTTTATATAATCCTTCCTTTATTTATCCAATTTTATATTTATATTTTTGCCAAATTTTTTGGCTTTTCCGGGCAGACCTTTTGGGAAATTGATATTAAAAAATTTTTGTTTAAAGGATTAAAGGATGGTCATTTTATTGTAGGTGGTCATTCTAATGGGGGTGCCATTCTACTAGAATATATTAGGTAAAATACTTAAACTTAAAGCTGGGAGAATGTCGATTAGTATAATTAAATGATAAACTTTATTTGAATCCTTTTTTTGGTTTGGCTAAATTTTTGTTTTAATTTCTAAAAATATTTTCTCAACAAAGGTTCTGCCAGGAAATTTTTTTATAATCTAGTATATTTTTTAAAAAATATATATTATTTTGCATTCAAAATAAATAAAATAATCCCCATATATTTTTTAACAAACTTTTTTTTCTCACAAAACTTTTTGAGAAACATTTAAAAAATAATTTCTTTCATTTTTTCGTTTTATAATTTAATAATAATTGGAAGGAAAATAATAAAGTTTAATAAGTCTCTTTTTTGCTTTAATTTTTAAAATCTCCTTGAGGTATTGGCTGTGTGTGATTTAGGACGGTTCGAATGAATTTAAGTATCCTCTTTTTGAGTTGATTTTTAATGGTCCTCTGATTCTGGGTAATGTTAGGAGGGAGTTTATAGGCTACTGCGCAGTAGTTGAACCTGGCATCCTTCATTGACAATATTTGGTGTTATACTCGCTTGCCACATCCATCTGGGACGAGTTCGAACGAGCTTAAGTTCTTCTTGAGTTGCTTTTAATTGAGTTTCTAATTCTTCATAATGGTAGGAGTTTATCACCTCCCGGGCAGGAGTGCATTCTTCTTGGACGATGGTGCTATACTCGCCCCAGCATATTCACCTTGTCGAACAGGCGATGACTTTTGCTTCCCTTTTAAATTCCTGCCTGAACGTTTTAACCCTAGTCAGCTGTCCCTTACCTAATTTTATAGAATATCCTAAAGTTTCAGAACTAGGATTGACTCACACGTGTGTTCGAAACTTTCCCGGTTTGAATATCGAATCCAAATATCCTGAAATTTCTGCAGGATCCATACACCTTTCATGTTTTTTAGCCTTTTTATTCTTTTAAATTTTACCTTTTTCTTTCTAGAAAAATTAATTCCTTTTTTTAAGCGTTCTTTTCGGCCAAAGTTTATTTATTTTTTCATTAAATTCTTGGATAAAATTTGTAAACTTAATTAAATTTTAACCAAAAAATTTAAAAACAATAAACAAAATTAATTTTTTTTAAATTTTTTTTTCAATTTTCTTTAAAAAATTTTTTTCTGGTAAAAATTTTCTAAGAAAATTTCTAAGAAAAATTCTTTTGGGGTTAATGACTAATACACATAATTTACTTACATACATATATCCTCGTCATCATTTACTCTCCCTTGTATTTATGCCCTAGTTACCCCAACCTTCTCCAATCCTTTCCCTCTCTCCCTCCAAAAATTAGGGCGACCACCCAATGTTAAAAATATAAAATGGACTGCAAATGAGGGCCAATTTTGTGGTCTTTCCCCCAAAAAAAGAAATAAAGGAAAATGGCATTTCTAAAAGGCCAATCAATGTTAGCGCCCGGAGGCGTTGCAAATACGCAAAAACAAATGCTTTCTTCTTTGTTTGTTCTCAGTTTCTTTTTTTTGTTTGGGATTTTTGTTTTTAATAAATAATGAGTAAAAGTTGTCCACAAAAGAGTTTTGAGTAGTTAACTGCTTGTCATTAAATGTGACAAATGACTATATTTATTTGGCTTTGAAAATTATTTTTGGGGTATTTTGATGTTATTGTCTCCCTATTATTTATTATTAAGGTAGGAGGATTTTGACGTCCTGAAAAGTTTTAGAACTAGGATTGCCTATCCGTATGTTCAGAACTCCTGAAATTTTCTGACTTCCGTAAACTGTGAATTCCCGACGTTTTTTGGGTCGGGAATCCAATTAACGGAAATAGGACATTTATTTTTTTCTGTTGGCACCTCCTGCTTAGTTACATTAATTTTTTAGATTAAAAAAGTATTAAAAAAAATTTTTTTTAATTGTCATATTATAGAATGGGTGGTTTATAATATCAATTATATTTTGAGGAGAGCTATTTGAGGGGAGCTGAACCTTTTTTAATTCCTGTTAAGAGAGATGTTTGTGTTTAACAGAGGGAGGTTCTGAACTAGTGGTTTAAACGGTTTCGGTATTTACTTAATTCCTTGAATAATTACCCTGTAGGATTACCATTTTCAACATTTTGCCGAAAGGGGTAATTAACTAATTGAGTGGGAGGGTGGGGGGGGGGGATTTCGTATTTTGAACTAACAAATGATATAAATTAAGTGAATGAAGGCAATTATTTGAGGGAGGGTAGTTAATCGAGAATACATATACTGCAACTAGCAATATCTCCATTTTATCTCTTATATAACAATCATTGTTTAAATTAGCTAATTTTTTTGTTTTTCTTTTCAACTGTTTGACAAAACAAAAATTTTTTTGTCTAAAATGTCTTTTTATTTCACTCATCCATATGACTATCCATCAGTCAAAATTGCTCATTCCAACCATTTTTTGGCCATCAAAAAATTCCTCAATAAGCACACACATTGCCCTCTTAAAAAAAGTTTCAAATTTCACAAAAAATCCACACATTTTTTACTTCTTTAAAATCTAAGGAGAAACGAACCGCGAAACATTACCCTCTCCCTCAAAAATGTCTCAAACCATCCCAACAAAAAATGCCATAACCAAACAACAAATTTATTTATTTAATCCCTTTAAAAACCAGTCATTCGTTCATCCATATTTTTTCTTTTTTTATTTTTTTAATTAAATTTTCTAAAAGAAAATTTAATTAAAAAATAATATATCCCCCTTGGCGCACATTTTCTTGCTTGAAAAATTTTTTTTTATTTTAACACATTTTTGTGTAAGTAATTTATTACCGTTACGAACACTTTTTACGATTTTAAATTTATATTTAAATTTTTAGGGGATTTTTTAATTAAATTAGTTCCCCATTTTTAAATATTTTATTAGCATTTTACTTACTTACTCTAAATACGAGCTTTTCTAAACTACCAGAACAACACTGTGTTTACTAAGCTGTAAAAAATCTATTTTAAAAAAGATTATTTTTGTTGTCAAGTTTATTTTCACACTAAATTAAGTTTATTAAATAAATCAGAATAAGTTTGTGTTTATAAAACTTGGAATCTTAAAAAAGTTTTTTTCTGATTTTCTGAAAAAATTCTAATTTTAATTGTATGTAAAATAAGCTTTTTAAAACTACCAGAACAGCAATGTGTTTAAAGAGCTTCTTAAATTTTAATTTTTCTTTGGATTAAAAAAATCTGTTTCATTGTTATTATTTTTTTGAATTTCTTATTTTTCTTTGGAATTAGCTGTTTATTCCAATTTCAATAATTTTTCATTTTCCACAAATATTGTTGAAAGTTTAAATTCCCCCCTTTAACGTTGATCTCTTCCCTCTACCCTTTATTGTTGATCAAACTTTACTAAATTTATACTATTTATAAAAAAATTGCACAGGTGTTGTAATTATTATAGATCAACTTTGCAAAAAGATTAAAATATTTTAAAAGATTTATGATGATTAATTAATTAATGCTTGACTAGAATTATTAACTTTATTATAAATAAAAATAAAGAAAAATATTTCTAACAGAATATTATCGGGAATTCGAATTTTAATTTCTTCGAATTTTCCTATTATGTTCGTTCTCCGATCTTTTTAAAGTTAGTTCCAATTCCTGATACTCTTCTCAGTTCCTATTCACCATAGATTGTTGTGTAGCCTCTATTATTCTGATTTTCTTTAGCCTTATGTATGAATCAGAAAACTGCTTGAAATCTATGGGATATTGTGGAAATCACTTGGAAATTAAAAAAATTTCCCCTTTTTTATTTCCCTTTTACTTTGAAGAAACCCCCTCCCTTTTAATTTCAACCCTCTTCCACCTCCACAATATATTGGAATGTTTTTATAAATTTTCTAAATACAGCTGTTCATTTTTAAAGATAATATTTATTATTTCAAACAATTGCCCTAAACACAGATGCAATTAAAATAAATACTTTTATAAAAATATTCTTTTTTCTTCCAAACTTTAAATAAAAATATTGTGTCTGTTTAATTAATCACACCAATTTCTTTAAATAAAATATATTCTGATTTATTTTTAGAAATTCTGATATTTAAAAAAATTTTTCATTAAAATTCTGATTTTAAAATTCTGATTTATTCTGATTTTTAATTCTGGTTTTCAAAATTCTGATTTTAAAATTCTGATTTTAAAATTCTGATTTTTTAATTCTGATTTTTAATTCTGGTTTTCAAAATTCTGATTTTAAAATTCTGATTTTAAAATTCTGATTTTTTAATTCTGATTTTTAATTCTGGTTTTCAAAATTCTGATTTTAAAATTCTGATTTTTATTCGGCTTTCTGATTTTTTTACTTCTGATTTTTTACTTCTGATTTTTTTATTTTTTTTTATTCTGATTTTCTAATTCTGATTTTAAGTCCGATTTTAAAATTCTAATTTTTAATTCTGGTTTTTAAAATTCTGATTTACTCAATTTTATATGTATAATCTTGATAATTTGCTATAAATTGTAAAAGAACCCCTTTTTGCAACAAAATGTATTTTATTTTCAACTATATATGCCTACAATCTTTTACAAATCTCTAGAGAGATTTTCCTCAAAAAATATATAAATAAATATGTATATTATTTGTAGCTTTTTTTTACTATTTATTTTTTTCCAAATTCAGACGACCATTTTTTTATTTTTACAATTTTTTGTTTTTTCTTTTATAAATGACCAAAATATATTTAATTTTAAAATTCAAAAATTTACTTAGAAAAATTTTTGATAATTAACCCTTCTAATAGAAACAAACCTTAAAATACGCTTTGTATTTTTGGAGTCGTTTGATGCCTTGAGGCAGCTACTGAATTTTTATGGAGTGCAATCAAAAGTATCTTTCATTGTTAGTCTGTTCAATTCGGTTCCAACTGATGTATTTTAAACTCTCAATATCACGAGGATCTCTCGTGATACTCTCGATATCTACATACTCTCAATATCATTTATCTTCAATGGGACATGTTTGTGAGGAACATGGAGAGAGACTTGTAAGGTGAGGGTTCTTCTTGAACTAACAACTAACATATCTTCTTAATACCCCCCCCCCCCTCCCTCCATATTTATATGTTCTAATTAATTAAACCACCCCAAACCTCAATTACTTTAATTATTTAGTAATCCCTCCAAATCCACTTTTTGCCCAAAAACTTAAAATATCTTCCATAAGGTTAATTGCAATTAATAAGAAATGACCTTATTTTTTCTTCATTATTTTTTGCCTATTTGCTTTTTCTTTTACTTATTTTTTGTTATCTTCATTTCCCTTCAATTCCCATCTTTCTATAAATATATTTGACCTTTTTATTCATTCGATCATCATTCAATGTCTTTATAAACTAGCATTTTATTGCCCTTTCTTTAAGTAATATTTTTTTCTAGTATTTTTTCTGTTAAAAGAAAACTATATCAGTTAATTAAGAATTCTCTGATTTTTTGATGTTTCTGTTATGGATTTTAAAGGAATATTTTAGACGAATTTACCTCCTATAAAGGATGAGAAGCGCTGAGAAGTGTAGTCGGAGGTTGGATAGGGGTTTCAAAATTTTCTTCGAACTTGTCTTGGATTTCAGGTCGAAAAAATGGCAGGGTTTCGGCTCTCGTTTATTGGGTTTTGGATAACACCTCCCATCACTGCTTCCTATAGCCTCCATAATTTGATAGATAATTAAGTGGGCTCTATCGCAAATGAGGTGCGTAATCATATTTTTTCTCCTTCCTTACTCAAGTTAAAAATGGGGAACTTTTTCCTTAGTATTTTTCCTTAGTAAGGAGAAATAATGTATGAGAATTAATTTTTTTCATTTTCTTTCAACCCGTGTTTTGACTGACCGTGTCTCAAAACTGTCCGTATTTTGACTGTTTTTCAGTCAAAACGGTTTTTCAGTCAGTTTCAGTCGTGTTATGACTGTTTTTCAGTCAAAATTGTCCCTGTTTTGACCGTGAAAACACGGTCAGTCAAAACATGAACAAATAACAAAATGTAAAAAATTAATCCTCTTGCATCATTTTTCCTTACGGTGAAATCAGCATACATTAAAAACTAAGGAAAAAGTTCCCCATTTTTAACTTGAGTAAGGAAGGAGAAAAAATATGATTACGCACCTCATTTGCGATAGGGCCATTAAGTGTAAGGACACACCCAGTACTAATACTAAGCTATTAAGGATATACCCAATACTAGGCTAGATCTGAGGTTGATCGAAATTCCTATTTACGACGTTTTTTTCCCTTCCGATTTCCGACTTCGAGCCATTTCCGATTTCCGACTGTTCCGATTTCCGTCCCCTTTGTCATTTCCGATCTGCCTCTGGGCTATATACACCCCATAATTTTTTAAATTTTGCTGGCCACTTAGATGGGTGGAAGGATAGATAATTAAGGTGGAAGGAAGCTGTTTAAAAGATACCCTCTATTTAAAATACCCCTCGTTATAGGCTACGATTTTTTAACATTAAAGATGTAGCTATAAATGAGGCCTCACTCTACATATTCACCTTTAAAAAAATAGTCACTAGCTAGCAAAACCTATTAAAATCCTACAATGATTATTTGTTCTTTAAATCCGCAAAATTTGTCCGCAAAATTTCCATGTCCTTATTTTTCTATCCGCAAGTTTATTTTCTTGTTATTTTTATTTTCTATTTTGTCCCCCCATTTACCTATTTAACAAATTTCCAATATATCCTTTCCCTCCTTTCCCTTTTTATCCTCTTTTCTGCAAGCTTTAAAACCCTTTTGTTTTAAGTCCGCAACTTTTGTCCGCAAATTAGCTTGTTAAAAGAAGAAGCCGTTTACTAACCACAAAAAGCTCTCTTTGTGTGTATGTATGTTTTAGTATTGGCCTCTTGACTTTCGTTTTCTTTCCTTTAACCAACACCTATAGGTACGTATTTTTGCTTAGTATATGCCTTCTATCCCCCCCCCCTTTCCAGTTGCGGCGAGGTTGAGGAGAGGTAGTCAATGAAAGCTAAAAAAAGTAGTAGAGGTTTTTTCCATTTTTCTTTTCTCTATTGGCACATTGACGGCTTTAAAAAGATGCCTTTTTTCTAATCTTGCGCATTCCAAATTTATTTAAATAATTTATTTGTAGCCTTAAATCGGCCTGGATTGCCGCCCAACTCTGCCTCCCAGGATTCTTTTATGGCCTGTAATTTTTTTAAATCTCAACCTTTTGGAATAAATTTTGTATCATTCTAAAGCTTAGAGTATGCTAGAGATCGAGATTTTTGAAAAGCCTGGTCTTGTCCCTGGACTCTGGGTTTGATATTGACCTGGACTGGATCCTAGGCCTGTAGTCCAGGAAAAACCCCATGCCTAGGAAAAAACCATGGAAGATCAAAAAATGCCTGGATCTGGACTCTGGGTACAAGAAAAACCCAGGCCTTGGTCCAGGTCCAGCTCGATCTCTAGAGTATGCTGATTCTTTTTGCCAAAGGATTCAATTTTGTCTGAGTATTTTCTAAAAAGATGGGCGGTTAATTGAGAGTAATCGTGATTTTTCTTGCTAATTTATTTTTCTTGTTTATCAAGCCTATCATTTTTAGGAGATTTTTGCTTCAGTTTGGCCCAATCAAGTAAAATAATCCTAATATTTAGAGCTTTCGAAAGCTAATAAAAGTACTCGAAAATACTGAAAATTTAGAAGGTTATAGTTGACAAATATTTGTTGACGCCAAAACTTTTTTGCGCCTAAATAGACTGGCATTTTTTTAATTTTTCAAAATCTTTTAAACGAAAAGGATTGAATGTGGCACTAATTATTTATGTTTATTTTGCTTTTTTGTCTCTGTATTTATTTACACGTTCGCTTAAAAACACATAGAAAAGCTTTTAATTATTTTTAGCTAGAAAAATGGGGAGCAGCTCAGAGTACCGCAAGCCCAAGGGTACCGCAGAGCTATAATTCCGTTCAAAGCGATTGAATCCGGGACGCCATAGTATGGTTTGATGCACCTCAACGAGCTGAGTCGAACATGCCAAGGCGTCTCGGATTCGATCACTTTGAGAGAAGTTATAGCTTTGCGATAGAGATCGAGATTTTTGAAAAGCCTGGACCTGTTCCTGGACTCTGGAGTTGATTTCTTGACCTGGACTGGATCCTGGGCCTGTAGCCCAGGAAAAACCCAGGTCTAGGAAAAATCCAGGAAGGTCAAAAAATGACTGGACCTGGACTCTGGGTACAGGAAAACCCAGGCCTTGGTCCAAACCCAGCTCGATCTCTAATTTGCGATACCTTGGGCTTGCGGTATCTTGGGGTGTACCCAAAATTTAGCTAGAAAAAATTATAAATTTGTACAAAATTATTTAATTTATATTTATTTTTTGTAAAATTTCACCAAAAAATTTTTTTTAATTTAAAATTTATTTTAAGACTTTGTATCATTTTATTCCAAAAATTTAATTAGATTTTAAATATCTTTAGAAAGCCTATAGCTTTTAAATATGTTCTTTGGTCGCTTCTTTATTTTTATTAAAAATTTTATTTTGTTTGCATTTTCTTTTTAAAGAATATTTTTTTCATTTTTAGAAAAAATTAATAAAAAAAAATTTGTAAAATAAGTGGAAACTCTATAAAACAACAACCCCAGTTCGAATCCTGTCGGCGTAAGAAAAAAAGTAATGTGTGAGATGGCGCCGAGCTCCCCTCCAGTTTGAGACTTTATCCTCCTTCAAAATCCTTACTTCGTTTCAAACATGTTTAAAATTGTACCTCTAAGGAGGGCATAATTTAAAATTACTTATAGCTTATCCCAACCAGTGATGCAAAAGTTCCAGTTTCGGAACTGAAACCGTGGAACCGGTAAAGGTGCGGAACCAGCTGCTTATCATTTAGGCAGCTGCACGTCAAAGTGGAGGGATAAGGAAGTTATTCCAACTGAAAAGTTGGAATAACTGAGAGCTTGGTATAAGACTGGAACCGCCAAAATTAAAAAGTCGGTTCCGGAACTGGAACCGGTTCCAGAGAAATTTTGTAACTTTTTCATCACTGTTGTTGCCTCCCTCAAATCAAATAACCGAGACTTTATCACAACCAAATTTTATATTTTTTTCCTGATTTATGGCTAAGAAAAATTTTCTTTCCTTCAACCGCCCTCAAATGCAACATTTTTAAAAACTTTTCTTTCTTTTTCTAGATGCCTTTAACAATTAAAAAATACTAATAGAAATTATTAAATGTAAAAAAAGGCGCCTTTAAAGTGGCCATATAAAATCTTTTTATTTTTTAAATGTCTTCAATAATGTCTATTTCAAATCCATTCTTTGACTATTCAACAACAACATCAACAGCAAATTCTTCCCAAATTCCCCCTTTCCTTACCCCTCCACTTAGACGTGCAGCTGCTTTAAATGATGAAAATAAATTAAAAAAAGAAAATTTAAATTGTAGCAATACAACTTTAAAACAAGAAAATGAAGCCTTTGAAGGCCCTTGTTGTGTTGAAAATCCGTTTAGTCAAGATGATGGGGGAGGAAATGGAGGAGGACTTTTTGATAGGTGAGAGGAAGTATTTTTTCTAAAAGGATCTCTTATCCCACCTATTCTGGAAATGTCTCAAACTGGGATAACTAAGAGATAGGGCTGATAGGAAGGTTGAGCCTCGGCCTGAAAAGCCCAGGCCTGTTCTTGGGTTCCGGGTTTGATGTATTGACCTGGGCCGGATTCTGGGCCTGTAGTCCAGGAAAACTCCAGGCCCAGGAAAAACCCAGGAAGGTCAAAAAATGCCTGGGCCTGGACTCTGGGTACAGGAAAACTCAGGCCTTGGTCCAGACCCAGCTCGATCTCTTGTATTTATTTACGTATAAACGTGATATAGGAGGCGTGATATAGGAATAACTGGAAAGTTGGAATGACTGAAAGCTTGTTATAAGGTGGACTCTGGGTACAGGTATAACTGGGAGTGTTGTGAGTCTATGATACGTTTAATTAGAATGGGTTTTGAGCAAATTTGAAGAGAATTTGAATGATTGATTTTTTAAATTTATTTGTCCTTTGGCATTATGTATTTTTAATTTTTTAAAAATGACATTTGATCCCTTGTAAATTAAAAATTAGTTTCTGAATTTTTCAAATTTTTTTTGAAGAAAAATTTTTTTTCAGAATTTTTCTTAAATATTTTTTTTCATTTTCCATTTAATTATAAACGTTTTAGATTATAAAAAAATTTTTCTAATTAATTAAAATGCCTTTTTTGACAAATAAAAGTGAAGAAAGCAAAGCTGTGGGATCACCCAAAATTTTATTAATTGACAAACCTATAATAAATAGAAGCCCTTTATTGGGAGCAAAAAATAGTCGAAGGAGTTCAGCACCGTTTTCCCAAATTTCTTTCAAAGAATCTGATAATATGTAACATCAAAAGGAGGATATTTCACCGTTTTTACGATTCACCGACAATGAGAAAACGGGCCTTTTTTGACCTGAGATTTTTTATAGAAAGGTCTTGGCGAGTAAAATAACTCTTTTCTTAATCTTTTTCACATAAGAAAAATTACTGGGATTGTGTCCTTCTTTGTTTTTCTCCTTTTTTGGGTAAAAATTGAGTTGTCGGTGAATTGTCCAGAATTGTCGGTGAATTGTCCAGACCGTGAATTTCCCCCTATTTTACGCCTAAATTTTAATTTCCCCTAATTTTCAGTCGTATAAGCCAATCTTCGTCTGCTGTCGTTGATTCAATGATTTCTGAAGGTTTTCTAGTTTCCTCATCTTCAACAACAGTTCCTACAACAAAAATGCTTCAAGATTCCGGATATCGTTCAACAATATCAAATTCCAATTTTGAAGAGGAAATGTTGGTTATTGCTGAAAAAGAGAGGAAAGAAAGGAGAAGACAACGACGAAAAACAGGGTTTTTATTTTATTTAAAAGGGTAAAAAAGGGATTTAAAAGGGGAAAGAAAGGGATGTTTTTTGGAAACAAATTTGTGTTTATAACCGTTTAATGACCAAAAAATTGACCTCAAAATGGCGCAAATCTATTAAAAAGTGCAGAAAAAACGGAAAAATGAAAATACATGATTTATTTGTCGGGGATTTGTGGAGAAACGAAAATTTATTTTTTGGAATATTTCTATGGCTTCATATAGGAGGGGCCCCTGACATCACTGATAGGGTTGGGGTTTTTTGAGCCGGCCCGACGTTCGAGTCATTTTTTTGGGCCGGCCGGCCGAGTCAATTTCGGGCCAAAATTCGTTGCCCGACTCGATCTTTTGGACCAGACCGACCCCCAACTCTAATCTCTGGTCTTCATTGACTTTTTTTTAATTTTTGGATGTATTATGGAATTTTTTCAAGCTTTAAAAGTGTTTTTTGTTCCTTCTGGTTTGTGGGAACCTATATTTTGAACAGAAAATGTTTCAATTTTTTCACATTTAAACTTTACTTTTTTAACAAATTTGAAATTTAATTTTTTTTAAAGTCTCAGCAATCAACAAAAACCAAAAGAAGAAGAAACAATGACTGTTAAAAATAAAGAGAATAATAATTCTTCCTCCGTCCCAGCTTTTTTGAGAAGGACTTGTAGTAACGCAGCAAATGGAATAAATGCAATAAAGCCTTCAGGTTGGATTGGGGCGGCAATAATGAGGGCTTCTACTTCGGATGATAATGGTTTGTTGATTAAATCTGGGGGAGGGGAGGAGGATTTTAGGGGTTTCCAAAAAAGATTTTAATAGTCGAGATGTGTTGATAATTTTCCCTCTTTTTGATAAGAAAATAGGCATAAAATTTTTTATTTAAGAGAATTTTTTTTGGTAATTTTTTAAATGGTGAGAGAGTCGTTAAATTAATAGAAGAAAATGGGAAGATTTTTTATTTTTATTTTAGTTTGATATTATACTTTAAAAACATTTTTTTTTGAAAAACAATAACAATTTTAATAAATTAAAATATCACAATTAAAAAAAAAGTCAATTTTCAGAAAAAAATTTTTTTCAAGTAAAAACCAAATCAACTCCTCGAAGAACCCAAAGTATTGGAAGCTCAACAACCACACAAATATTAAATTTGCCCCCAACATTTTTATATTCTACCGGTTGGATGGTTGAAGCAGACCTTTCTAGTGACGATTCTAATAATGAAAAAGTGCAAATTTTTGGTGGAAATAATTGTGGAGGTGTTGAAGGTTTTTATTTTGTTTTTAATTTTTTTGGGGGATAAAAAAAGGGATTTTTTAAATTTAATTTTGAGAGAAAATTCTAGGAGAATTTTTTAATTTTTTATCGTTTAAAATTTGAAACAAAAAATTTTTCTAGCAAGGGAAACTCGCAAACTGTGAGCCAAAATTTTGTGCTTTCTGTTGTACCAATCTATAGAGCATCATCGATTTACTCTGGAAAATTTTTTTGGCTTTTTTGGATAGGAATATGAAATTAAAAAGTTATGGAGCTTCAAGTCTATCGATTGGTATTAAAATAAGTACAAAATTTTGACTCACAGTTTGTGAGTTTCTCTTGTAAGCAAAACAGGACACCCCTTAGTATTTGTCAATTCTCTTGAAAATATTTTTAGAAATATTTTTTTTCGAAAAGTTTTTGAGGAATTTCAGGGAATACTTCTTTCTGTCTTTTTATTTCTCTTAAATTTTTATTCAATTCCCTTCCCTCAAATTTTCTTTAAAAATGTGAGGGGAGTCACTGGTGGTCTGCTTTTCCTCAAAAAATATTTTTTTGTTTTTCATTTTTAAGCCCAAAAATATTTTTAAAAAATTTTCTCATTAGGATGGGGATATTTTTTCTAATTTATTTATTTAATGTTTCCCTGACTACCTTTGCATATTTTTCTTTTTTTCCTTTAATTTATTTTCATTCTCGCAACAATATTTTTTTTCTTCCTTTTTTTTCAATTTATTTGGTTATCATTATTTTTATTTTATTTTTAATGTCCTCCTCCTCTATTTTCTCTAATTTTTTGAATAGGGGCAAAATACGGAACAGACAAAACTCGGAACAGACAAAACACGGACCATACTAAAACACGGTCCAGAGAAATAATTAAGTATTTAAAAATCAGAACATTTTTAAAAATAAAAATGCAGATTTTATCTCTGTACCGTGATTTGGTCGTTCCGTGTTTTGGTATGGTCCGTATTTTGTCCGACCGTCTTTTGTCGTTCCTTGTTTTGTCCGTTCCGTGTTTTAGCCCGACACGATTTTTTCTCCTTTTTTAAATAATATTTTTGGTTTATCTAACCTTTTCCTTTAAAAACAAGGTTTTGGGGGTGGTCAAAAATGAGAAGAGAAACGAAAGGGTTTTTGTTTGTACAGATTTTTATTTTGGCCATACCCTTCCCCTTCCCTCCCCCCTCCCCCCTCCAAAGCCAAGCCAAACAGACAAAAATTTATTTACAATTTTAGGGAATACCTTTTTTTGAATATTTTTTTCCGTTTATTTTTATCCCTTATTTTATTATTTTTAAATGACAGATGCGCGCTATGGCCTTTTTATTCTTATTAATTTAGGGAGAAAAAGTGTCCGCAAGTGTTGTCCGCAAATTTAAATTTTTCTTTATTTTTCAATTTTTTTGCTTGTTTTATTTTTTTCTGGGTTAGACTTCCTAATAAATTAGAAAAAATAGTTTTTTGTATGAAAAATATTTATTTTTGGGGGTATTATTAATTTTTATTTAAAATATTTGCGGATTAAACTTGCGGATTATCAGCATTTTCTTTTTTTTCTTTAATTTATTTTTTTTTAATTCTTAAAAATTTTTAAAAACTTAAATATATTTTAGTCCTAGAAATTTTTTAAGTGTCTCAAAAATAGAAAAAAAAATTTCGGAAATCTTTTTTTTTTTCAAAAAAAATTATTTTTAATTCTATTTCTGAATTATTAATTCTGGAGATAAATTAAAAGCCTATTTTTTTAACAAAATATTATATCCAAAAAAGCAAGTTAATTTTTATTACAAATGTGTAAATATATAATTATTATTTGTATCTAGGAAAAAATTATTATTATTATTTACTTACCTACTTATAACAAATTACTTTTTATAGTGTTCATACAACTTGTTTATTATTTTTTTTCAAGTCATGTATTTTTCTGCAACATTTTTAAGTAGAAAATTGTAATTATTTTTTATGTTTCTCTAAAAATATTTTGAATTTTTTCTTACAAAATTCACACATTTTTTCTGTTTTTTTCTGAAAAAATTTTTTTAAATTAGCAATTAAGCGGCAGTCATTTTCCCAGATCATATACTTAAACAAAAACCTCGTTGTTTACCCGCCTCTTTAGATTAGGTATTTTAGTATAGCGGTCCTATTATTTTGATCTGACTGGAACATATCCTTTTTGCTTCTCTTTTGTTTTTTTCAAATATTTTTTTTGTTAAAAATGTTAGCAAAAAATGATAAACATAAAACATCTCTCTTTCGAACGCTTCCAATAAATCTTCTTTCTCGTATATATTTTCTGTACTTTTTATGATTCGGCCGGGACAAGATCTCGAACAAATATTTCGGTTTTCGAGGATATCTTTCGAGGGGTACAGCCCAAAACGACGCGCGACCATAACGGCGCAATGCCATAATTTGCTGGAAAATGTCTGGCCCTCGTCAATTTTGGTACCAATCTCCCTAGCTCGACGAGAGGAATCGTTTGATACTAAATCTGGTAGGATTAAGAAATCTTGAAGCAGGTAATAGCTTCGCGCCGTTCTGGCCGCGCGCTTCGAGATATCTATCTGGATTCATGTACGACTATCCTATTCCTGTCTTTAATTGTAATGACAATCATTATTTGTTAAGACAATCATTTCTCCTCTCAAACTCTCTCTCGTTTCATTTCATTTTTACAATCAATGTTTTCACAATTATTCTCTCAATTTTTGTAAATATATTACCAATTACTTTTATTATATGTACATATTTCTAAGAGGGAGAGAATACCCGACCACTTAAAATCGAATAACCAAAAAATTCGGGGAATTATAAGTGATAGAAAAAAGGAGAAAGGAGAAGCTTGGGCTTTTTCATTGTTTAATTTTTAAGTAGGGGGATGGACAGTGGTAATCGGAGAAGGAAAAAAGGATAGAGAGGAGAGAGGAGATTCTTCTTTCGGTAAAATTAAAGTAGGTGCGAATCTTCTTGAGAGAAAAATGGACACTGCTAGTTAAGTTATAATATAGACATGATCATTATTATTATTGGACTGTTTTGGTGGAAAAAGAAAGGAAAATTATTTTTTTAATTTCATTAGGGCTGACCGGTAACGAAAGAATTTTGGCAATTTTCAGTTGCGAACATTTTCTGTTTCTAATGGTGTTCCCCTTTAGAATTACTGTTTTTAGCTTCACCTTTTGATTGTTTTCTCCCTTATCAATGGAATCTCGTTTAAAAGTTCCCCTCCATTCTCGTTACCTCGGGGAATTGACACGCGGAAACTTTATCACGTTTTCCTTAGTACAAGGACTACGAGGACAACTCTTACTATGAGGACAACTTTAAGTAAGGTTGCCACTCTTTCACCCCGCATCAGGGCTGGATGCAAGTGCGGATTGCGTGTTTTTTGGACTTGCGGGTTCCGGCTGCGGATTTAAAAATTAAGTTGCTCTGTCCAGCTCTGTCCCACATCCATCCTTATATCAATCAAAATAAAAAAAATGTTTGATTAATTAATTTAATGATTGGACTGAGAAAGTCATACGAGAATCAAGATCGATATCTCGAAAAAAATCTATTTCGATAACCATGATTTTTGTTCGAGATCTCGTCTCGGTCCGAAATTTAATTTAACTCTATCCCCTTTTAATTTTTAAAGTCTTCTTTCTTTTTGAAATAAATCTGTACTTAATTTCGGTTGGGGTCAGTTGAGCGTGGCCGGTTGAGCGTGAGCCGACCTTTGAACGGCTATAACTTTTTGCTGCTTGATCCAATACGAATGAATCATATATCATTCGAAAGCCCTCGATAAACGCTATCTTTTTTCCAATTTGATGGATCAAGTCTGATCGCTATTTAAAAAGTTTCAAGTCGATAAGTGTGAAAAACAACGATTTTCTGCACTTATCGACTTGTAATATTTTAACCGGTGATCAGACTTATCTATCCAGTTGGGATAAAGATTGGGCACGTCGAGGGCTTTCAAACGATATAAAGTTTATTCAAATTTGATCAAGCTTAAAAAAGTTATAGCCGATCAAAGTTGGCTGACGCTCAACCGGCCACGCTCAACTGGCCCGCTCCGCTTAATTTTGCGCTTTTTTGAGTTGAGTCGGGGGGCATTGACCTGTAAAACTTACCTAGAAATCCACACGTTTTTCACAAAAAAAAGTTTTTTTCCAAGCGATATATGTCCGTTTAGTGTCCATTGTTGTTTGTTCTTTTTACAGAAAAAAATATTGACCGCACGCAGTAAAAAAAATTTTTTTTTGTATTTTCCCACATTAGTTTTTAAAGAAAATGTAACGTGATTTTTCTTTAAAAATGTCTTTTTTACAATTGCTGATTTAATAAAATTAAAAAAGTTTTTTTCCTTTTGTCGGAATTTTTTTCTTTAAGATTTCCTTATCTATTATTCATTATCAATTTTTATTATTATTTTTGTATTTTATATAAGATGATAATACATATTTTTCTTGCTATTTCCCATTGTTGAAGCTTATGGAAAATTTTTTAAATTTCATTCAATAATTTTAAAATTGTTTTCCTTCCGTTCATGAAAGATAGAAAAAGGACAAATCTTTGTTATTCTATATAGCATTAAATTTAAGTATAGCTCCAAGGTATACTTTCAAATAAAGTTCAAACTCCACATTTTTTGTAATCCACATTTTTTCTTTTTTAAGATTCAGTTAAATTTCCCATTTATTATTTCAATTTGCAATTTTTTAATTTTCAAAAAAGAGATGAACCGGCGATGCTCGAAGTTTTGCTTTTTTCCTTTTCAATTTCGTCTCGTAGCGGAATTAAAAAAATTTTTTTATTTCGAGCAGCCAGATATTGAGTTTGAATAAACAAGACCTGCCTACGGATACTGATTTTGGTATCCGTATCCGGATATTTACGGCGGATACAGGCGGATATCCACAGGCATCTTGACATTATCTGTATCCATATCATGACCATATCATGACCATTCATGACCAGGTCTGGAACAAACTACAAAATTTTATCAAAACAACGCAAAATTCGTTTTAAACTTTAATAGAGATGGTTTTTAAACTTAATAAAGGTTACCTTTTAAATAGACCTTTGTTTGGTCTATTCAAGAAACAAGCCTAGGTTTGGCCTCTACACTTTTAAACTTAACAAAACGAAACTTTTTTGTTCTGTTTTGTATTTTTTAATTATTCAAAGTCCATATCTCTCTCTTTTAATGATTAAACAAAGCCGCACTCTACATAAACAGCAACATCATTGACCTCGTTTTTTTTTAAATTTATGTTTTTCTCTTTTTTATCTTTTCAAAATTTATATCTTTTAATTATTTATGTACATCTGTGCTAATTTTTTAACAGATTTTTATAAAAATATTTTATTTTTATTGTTAATCACCTCCTCTCCATTTTCTCTCCTTTTAATGCATTACTAAATTAAAAATAATGTAAAATACTCTCTCCTTTCCAAACCACATAAATAAAAATTATTTTTGTGGTTTGTTTGGCCTAAAGATTTAAAGAAATTACCCCAAAATTTATCGGCGCTCTATGGCCTTTTATTGTTGACATTATAATTTTTTAATATTTTTGGGGGTGGTATGTATTTATCATCCTTGAGAGAGAAGGCGAGTGCCTTCCCCCTTAACCTTCTCATTTTTTTGACACTCCTTATTTTAAGCTTTAACACACACTCACACTCCCGACATTTCATAATTTATTATATACTAAATTAATTTTTGAAATATATTTTTTATAACCGATAACCTGATCTTAAGGATATTAGTAATGGTTTTGGACTAAATTACTTATATAATTTTTATTATATTCCTAGTCTAAAATTCAACTAGAATTTATTAAAATGTTTCTTTTCAAATTTTGTACTGGAACTAGTAGCAAACTTTATACGCTTTAAATTTCGGTATCTAAATATTTCCCGTAAATTTTAGAGGTAATTTTTGGTTGAGAAGTGATTCTAACTGGCTTTTGAGTATTTTTAAATATGCAAACTATTTTCACATCAATTCTTCTATCCACTAGATTTTCGCGTATCCGAAAGCTAACTAAGAATAAACTTTTTTTTGAAATAAACTAATAAATAAAATAAACTAACTTTTTTTGAATCCTCGATTTTTCTGTTTGTTTCTAAACGACAATTTTTTTTATCTGTAAAAGAAGGAATGGAGCCAAAATTAAAACGCGGTCTATAATGTCAAAAAAATTTTATGCAAAGTTTAACTTCAAATTTTCAGAAATTTTTTAAATATTTTTTACCTATTCTTTATCCATTTTTAAAATTAAATTTGAAAAGTATTTTCTATATTAAAAATGGATTTGTCTTTCAATAATAACAATCATAATTCTAATTCTTTAAATAATTCTATTATTTCTGATTTACCTCCAACTCGCCTTTTAAAATACCGGTGGCCTGAAAAAATTGATGATGGGGGTAATTATATTTTGGGAAAATAAAATTTTAAATAAACTTGCTTTAAATTCTCCAGAATTTTTCCTGTATTTATAGATTGCATTATTGAACTTGATGGCCAACGCAAGTTGGGAATTCAACGACTGCATGAATTACTTATTAGTAGATTTTGCTTTATTTCGGGTAGGGAATTTTTATTTTTAAAAATTAAATTTTTAATTGAGAATTTTTTGATCAATCAAGACTTAACTAGAGTCGTTTGATTTGGGTATCTGGATCCAAAAAAATCTCCGAAATCTTTGGGTTGGATAGATGATACAGAGTTCCCAGGACTGTTGACCCGATTGTACTCATACATAAAACCTTTCGAAAAGATAAGCTTCTAAACAGAGTTGCCTAAAATTATCCATGTCAGTCCGAACTATTATTGCGCATCACTTATTTGTCTCTTAAATTGAATCGAACATTCAGGTTTCATAAAATATACTCATGGAAAAATTGTTTTAACATCTGTTCGACTTTAGAATGAAAACCTTAAAAATTGATTTTTTTTGGAAAACCCAAACCAAAGTTGGAAAACCAACGAAAAATTTTTTCCATAAAAAATTATTTTTTAAGGAATGAAAACACTTAAAGGCCATCCTCTTGTAACCTTCCCAGATTCCAGATGTTGTCTAAGTTTTGAAAATTATCAACTTTTATTGGATTATTTATTTCAAATAAATCGGGAAGAGTCTGATCCATCAACAGAAGACAATAATTTAATTAAACAAGAATGGATTGTTATTGTTGATAGACGTCAAGATAGATGGTCTTCTGTTAAAACAATACTTTCTTTTTTGGTGGTAAGGAAAAAAATTTTTTTCTAATTTATTTTAACTTGGTAGTACCAAATTCGAACCTTATTCTTAAATACATTCTTGGAAATGAAAGAAAAATTGTATTTTATAGTGATGGTACATTTAATAGAGTGCCACTCATTTTTACATCTTTCTCTAATCCAATGGGTCAACCAATATTTATAAAAATATTTAATTCAGGAGTAGTTAATTATGAAAGTAATTTTAGTAGGGAGATCCTGAAAAAACGAATTTCGATAGCACGTCACTTTCTTTAATATGTCAGTCAATTTGGTCCCGTAGACATCTAATCTAGATTTGGTTTTGTACTATTTTTTGATCTAAAATATTTTTGAAAAATTTTGGGACCGATCAGAATCACAAACCCAATGATTGGGGTTGAGAAATAATCCTCAATATTTCATTACCTTTTTATCAACAAAAATGTTTGAAATCTGCCCATTTGTTGTCTCTTTTTTCAAAAAACGTTATCTTGTTACCCTATTTTAATTTTACTTTTTTGTCTACTTTTTTTTATTTCTAATTTTTCCAAAAAAATATTTTTTGCAGATATCTCTAAATATTTTTTAAAATTTAATTTGTGTTTTTAACCTGTCCGGGTCTTTCCTTCACAAACCTCTCATTTTTTTTTATTTTTCTCTTTAATCTTTTCAATTATTTTTTTTTCCTCTTTTTATTAGCCTGGTTATCCATCCGCATGACCGGACTAATCCTTTGGTGTTTTTTTAAATTCAGGACCTTCAAAAAAAATTTTTTTTGAATGTTTCGTTTTATTCGATTTGTGCTACTTTTTATTTAATAAAAAAATATTTTTGCGTGGACTGGAAGTGTTTCTCCAACAGAGAATTGGGAAAATACTCGTTCACATGATTAGGAGGGGGAAGGGTTATTTGAAAGGGATATTTGGTCACTCATTTATTTTTTTTTAATTTTATTTTTGTGGGAAGAAGCTACTCATTCATTTGTTTTCTCTATTTATTTTTAATCCTCTTTTTTAAATCACCTATAGAAATGTGTAAATATTTTTTTAATTTTTTTTAAAATTTTTTAGAAATTTTTTTGAGTGTTAGAAGACAAAGTTTGATTAATGATTCATAATTTAAATAAATAAAAAAATATTTTTAGAATTTCCCTTTTTGGTATTTCCTTAATTTTTCATTTTATATTTTTTCTAAATTTAATGTCTTGGAATTTTTTTGAAATTTCTTGATTTTTTTGAAAAAATGAAATCTTTCTTATACAAATAAATATTGGTAGGGCCTCACGTATATATGAAGCCAATCTCGATACAACGAGATTTATATTGAGATTCACCGTCGAGGCCGAATTTAGCCCCAAGGTATTAAGGATAGAGACGAGCTAACTGGGAGACGTACTTTCGAGTGTTTCGACTTTACCCTTACATTAACACGATATTTTACTCTGGTTGGCCATTAGATGTAAAGGATATTTAAATGATATTCTCTAATATACACATTATAAGATAGAATTTTTTAGCCCCGAAGAGGTGGTATATATAAAAATGAGGGTTTAGTATATTAAATTTTCGAACTAACATTTTTCTACAATTTTATATATTTTTTAAATTATCTATGCACAATTTTAATTGTTCCTTTAAAAACAATAAAATTTTTCCTTTTATTTCTTTCCTCAAGTTTGTCAACAAAAATGAGTTGGAAAAAGTAAAATGTAAAGGGGTAAAAATTATTTTTTGCACATTTAAAGACCTGCGAAAAAAATTTTTTTTGGCAACTTTTTCCACTTTTTTTGGTAAAAATACCAAAAATAAAAAAGAGAAAAATGCTTTTTCCTTTTTATTTTCCTCAAAAGGCTTTCCTTGTTATTTTTTAAACAATTCTTGAAAATAAACATTTTAATAAAGCTTTCGCCTTTCTTTCCCCCTTTTATTTTCTCCCCAATTGACCCAAATAAATAAAAATAATTTTCCTCCTATTTTTAGAATTACTTTCCCGAACCAATTTATCTCGTTATTCTGCTCAAACCAGAAGGTGTTCTTCAACGTGCTATAGAATACGGGTACAAAGGTGTGTTGGATGGATGTGAAAAGTTTAGGGTAAAAATTTATTTTTTGAGGGATTTTTGAGTTAGGGTGAAGAGGATTTTGGAGTTAGGGTCTTCATGAATTTATTTATCTCAATATAAAAATTTTTGTCGAGAGATTTTTGAAATGATTCTGGGACCTTTTTACGTATTCTCCCTTTAGAAAATATTTTTCTTTAAAATCCACAAATTTTTTTCGGACTTTTTTGGGAATTACACATGTATTTTGTACATCAAACTGACTTTTCTTAACACGTTTTTAAAAGAAGATTTAAATTTTGATGTGTCCCTAAGGGAAAGATTTGTGAAAAAATAAAGGGAAAAAGGGGTTAACTTCTGACATGTTTTTTGGTTTTATTTTCGGAATATTTTTTTGGAAAAAATTTTGCAGAAAAACGAATTTTTTCTAATTTTCCATTATTAAAAAAATTTTTTTCTCTCGTTTAGCTCCACATTTGTCAAAATTTTTCATCTCTTCATGAATTTATTGAACCAGATTTTTTGACAATGGATTTGGGTGGTTCAGTGCATCATAATCATGATGATTGGACAAATTATCGAATTGTGAGTTTAACAAATTTTTAATTAAATTATTTTTGGTCACTAATTTTGTCGAGAAGGTTTTTAATGATTATTTTGAGTTTGTAAAATTAATTTGGGACTATTCATCTCGTTCTTGAATGGAGTGAAAAAAGGGCCAACGAAATGTAATTTCAATCATCCTTTTGCAGTCAGTTTGTCGATTCGGATATCCGAATTTGAAAAAGACCGAATAGCCGTAAATTTTCTGGTCGTACATCGGATCCTGAAATCCGAATATTTCCAACTATCCGACAACCTTATTTTCTAGTGAATCCTTTCTACTCCAGTTTTATTAGTTTTCCATCGTATTTCGTTGAATAGCCTCTGTACAAAAATCGAATTTCTCTTTTTTTGATGATTTTCATGTAACTGTCCAGTAGGAATTTTGCTGACAAAAGATAAATTCCGTCCTGTTGTGAATCGGGACGGCCTTGATGTGCACGCCATACCGATTGGATTTGCTTCCAAAATTTTATTTTAAATTCTTTTGGAACATTTTGATGCTTTTCCTATATAATGCTTGAAAAACTAAGCTTTATTTCATTTGCCTTCAAGTCTATAGACGATTTAGAACATAGAGAGAGGAGAATGTGTCCGTGTTTCCTCCATGCGTGAATAAGCTCTCCCCTTATCCGTTCTTTTTCAAAAAATTATTTTTTTTTGTATTTAAAATCCCCTTTTTCAAGAGCTTTTCTCTCTATTTGGTTTTTAACGTTTTGATCATCAAAAAATTGTTTTTAAACTTGTTGTCTATTTATATACTTGAAACACACTTCCAAAATCAAGTGGATGGACAACAACTTATGCGCAACTTTTCTCTCTTTAAACGATTTTCTCCTTTTAATATTCGAATAATTTTTTTATTAAAATATTTCTCTATTTGAATAAAAAAAATTTTCCAAAAAAATTTTCCAAAAATTTCTAAAAAATTCTTCGAAATTTCCAAAAAAAATTTTCCCTCGGAAAAAATGTCTCGTAATTGGTTCGGCTTTTCCCACTTTCCTTCTCTACAAAATTCCTCTATTCGATACCACTCTTCAAGTGGTGGATATGTCAGTTTTACTTGTAAAGGCACAGAAGGAGATTTGTTCGATTGGATAAGACGACCCAAAATTATTTGTGAAGAAAATGATAAAAATTATTTTATCAGGCGAAGAGTAGATTATGGAATGGAAAAAGTTTGCAATTTTTTATGGAAAAATATTTTTTAAGCGCATGGATACATTCATGTTTATGTTTTTTACTGTCGAACATCATTTTTAGATACCCCCCCTTCCCTTAACTAAGGTTGTCGGATATTTAGAAATCTTCGGATATCCGAACCGAAATTTTCCGGATATCCGAGACAACCTTTCTCTATCTCTCCCCCTCTTAACTAGATATACCTTAAATATACTCTTGTATTTGGCTGGCTACTAGATGAAAGGAGCTATCAAAGCGATTACTCATTCTAAGATCTCTCTCATTATACATAGATAATTTTTAGTCATAGTAGGTTTATCTCCAAATAGTGTCCAATGGTATTCTAAATGTCAGTTAAACAGATTATTTAATAATACTTTGAATGGAAAAGGCATCTAATAATTAGTCCTTATACTGAAAAAATCTATAAAATATATTAAAATAAAATTTTTATTTTTAGGAGATTGAACGTATGAAAAGTTCCGCGCGTGTTATAGCCGAATCTTTGGGTGACTTTGGAAAGTGCCTTCGCGAAACAGAATTGCCCAATGATGTTCAAACAACAGAAAAAGTGTTGGAAATGCAACAACACGAAAGGGATGCAATAAAAGAAGATTTTCGAATTTCTATTCGAAAAGGATTGCAATTGTTGAGACAAGTTAAGCAGACGGAGGAAAGGTGAAAATTATTTTTTGATGAAAAAGTTTAATTAATTAAAGTCATGTCAAAGCTGATTTTAACGAATGATTCTTATTCAGTCAATTGACTTCACTATAAGATACGCTCAAAATTAGACGTTTCCAAGATTTCGTTAGCTTGGTTAAGGAGGATTGTTTAGGCAATATTCCCTTATTTAAGTTATACCTAATTATAAACACCTCTCATATAATATTTAAGATCCACCTCATTATCTCTTAATTGAAGCTTGAAAATTGAGAAAAGATTTTATGCTTTAGTTTTTTGTCTTATGGTATTTGATGTTTAGGCAGATCGCTAGCCTCAACTGATTAAATATAATTGATCTAACCTCTATGGATATACCCAGTTGACCACTAGGAAGGGAGCGAAGCTGTCTATTCGGTACCCTCTATTTAAGCTACATCTTTTTACAAGATACAATTTTTTCAAGAGTGTGTCTTTAGTGAGATCCGACAGTTTTCTGATGCCTAACTCTAAAATTCCCTCAATTTTTTTAGTTCAAATATTGACCACCAACATCCTTCACCTTGCAGTCTTCAAAATATCGCAGCTATTGAAAGAATGATTGCACAATTACAAGATACTGAAAAAAGTTTTGATACTTTTTGGCAAAAACATCGTTTAAGGCTAATGAGTTGTTTAGAATTGAGGCGATTTGAAGATGAATTTAGAAAGGTAAGAAAAATGAGGGAATTTTTTAACGACTTTCCCGCTGTGATTAATGAGACAAATCTCATTTCGAAAATTGGGAGAGTTTAAAGTGGGGTTTACTGAGAGAGAAAAAAAGGGATTTTAAAGTTTGTTAGTTAGAAAAAGACGCGGAGGATGCAAGAATTCCATTGAAAATTTTTTTGTAGTTGGAAGCATTCTTGCTTTCCTTTCAGTTCACCTTGCGAAATTATCTAAGATTTTGAACATTATTGTTATACACAGAGATCATTAGAAAACACCTCCACAATTAACTACCCACTCAGTTTACTTAATTGTTGAGGAATTGCCTAAGTTAATACTTCTCATTAGAGACCGAACTGGGAGTACTGGGAGATCAGATCTCGATAAATCTCGATTCTAGTTAAGTATCGATAAATCGCAAAAATTTTTCAGATGAGAACCAAGATCTCGAAAAATTCTCGATCTCGATAACCGAGATTTTTGATTGAGATCTCGTCTCGGTCCGGTCTCTACTTCCCATCATACTAACATAAGCAATTTTTCAGCCTCTAATGAGTTATTTTATTGTGAATCAAGTCCTGTCCGATTCTGTATATTTTTTTAAAACACTCATTTTTCAGTTGCAAAATTCCTTCGCCAAGCATATGCATCGTTTAGAAGAACAAAAGATTGAGTTAGGCAATAGTGAATCCAGTGCTGCCCGTTTAGCACTTGAACATCGTGATTATCGTGCAGATGCAATGACAGACGTTTTTGCTGCTCGAACACTTAAAGAACGGGGTTTAATGCTTGCGGAAAAGGAATTGACAGAATCGTTGAACACACAAGGAAGTGATAGGTGAGAAGGAGAAAATTGTTTTTGTATAGGTCCATAACCGGTTAATTTTTGCTTGTGGGGGCTCTAATGATCTTATTATTATTCTTCATTTGTGCCATCACAAGCAAGATAGTATTTTTTAAAACGCTCATTTTTTCAGTTACAAAATTCTTTCGCAAAATTCTTTTACAAAAAAAACCTTCTAGGTTGTGACCTTTCGGGGCGGGGAAAAATTTACGGGGAACGGGGGTTGCGGGGAGTTCGGGAAAAGACTTGACAGAATCGTTGATACACAAGGAAGGGATAGGTAAGGGGGTCTAAGGGAAGGGGGGTTGAAGAGAAACGTGGGTAAACCCTAGAATTAAGTGTTCGTGAACGTCCCTAATTTTAAACATTATTTTATGTCTCAAATAGAAAGGTGCCAAAATTAGTTTGGATATTTGTCCGTTAAAATATGCTTTTCTGTGGTTTTCCCTTTTTTTAAAAGATATTTGGCTAAAATTTAAAAAATATAATTTATTATTTGGCATTCATTTTACCCTTCTAACACACATGCCTTTCTTCAAATAGGACTTTTGGGTGGTAATCCCAAAAGGGACAGTATGTTTTCCAGCTATCTCTTTTAAAAATATGTGTTGATATATTTAAAAAATGTAAAGATTTTTTGCACATTTTTTAAAGTTTTTTTATTCTTTTTTTGTCAGTGTTGGCCCAAAATGTGAGGAATTGACAAGAATGGCCGATGCTTTAGAAATTGCTTTAGAACAGAGAACTAAAGCACTTGAAATTAGCCGTCAAATGCATTCACAAATTGGAAAAGTGAGTTAGTTTTCTTAAAAATTAGTTGAGATTTTGTGTAAAAATTTCAAAAAAAATGTTATCATGGTTAAATGAATTTGCTCCCTGGAGCCGTAATTAATTGTTTGGTTCGAGACCAACTGCTAACTGTATTTCCACAAACCAAAAAGGTGATGGAATCTCTTCCGCTTTTCATGTCTTCTTTCACCTTCCACATTTAGTTTATTCCGCTTTTTTCCGCCCTCCTCCTACTTTTAAAGATGTGTAAGAGCCCGGCGCTATCGCAGCTCAGTTAAAGGGGATGGATACTGTTCATAAATATTTTAAATTTTTTTGGCTTTAATCCCATTAACATACATATTTTTTAAATTAAAAACACGTTTTTTCAATACACTTTCACTTAATTTAAAACAACTTCATTTAATAATGATTTTTATTATTATTTATTTTCTTCTCTTTTTTTAAATAACCCGAAGAAAAAATTCAGACATTTCTCTCATTAATCAATCACATCCATCATCTTTTTCTTTTTAATATTAAAGTGCTATAACCCAATAAAATCAAAAACTTTTACATATTCTTTTCTCAATTCGCAAATAAAATTTTTTTTTCATTAATTAATTAATTAATTTAGTGTATTCAATTCTTATTTTTTTAATTTAATTATTATCTCAACTTAAAAACAAAACTTACTGTTTGTTCTCAAAAAAGTGTCATTCATTGTTTCATATTATTTTTGGATAACCTCCTTGGGTCCGATAAAATTATATCTTATAATGAAGGAATTTTAGATTGAAGGGTAACTTTTAGCAAGAGTTTTAATTTTTAAATCCTACTGGATTTAATTCTCTATTTAATAAAAAAAATTAAAAATTATCTATCTCTTGGTGAGTTATAGGGCCGTGACTAAGGTGGACTGCGTGCTCGACATTTTCCCACTAAAGGTGGGTCGGAATTCCGATTTTTGATTTCCGACGTTTTTTTCCTTCCTATTTCCTAAAAAATTTAATTTCCAATTTCCGAGTTCCAACTTTTGAGCCATTTCCGACAGTTCCGATTTCCGCCACCTATGACTGTTCCGACCCACCTCTGCCTCTTACTAACCAACCTTTTATTTAAAAAAGTTTATTAAATTTTGGAAGTTTATGGTATCTAAAAATGAGGTTAAACTTTATATACCTAATAAAAATTTGTTTTTCTAACTCTTTTCTTTTTGTTTTCTTAAAAATATACCACAAACAATTATTTTTTAAAATATTTTTCTTATAACCTTGATATGGTGATTTGTTGTAAAACATATTTTTTTTGAATTTTTTTTGTAAAAAACGAAAAGTTTTGTGTGGTAAATTTATATGCCTGGACGATTTTATTATTATTATTTTAGCTATTACACGAAATTCTTCCTAAAAAATTTTTTTTCCTTTTTTCTATTTAGTTAAAGTTAAGTTCTTCTCCACACACATCTGTGCTGCTTTTCATATTTTTTAGAGTTATATGTTTATCTCCTAAAATAATTTTTTACAAAGAAAAACTTGTGTGTATTTTCTTTAAAATAAGAGAGAGATTTACTTGCTAATTTTTATTTGTAAAAATTAAGAAAAATATTTGGCTTTGGTCTAGTTTAGTAGTCCAATGAGTTTATTATTTCATTAAAGGTTTATAATAGGGTTGTTGGCGACCGGTTTTAAAACCGGAATTTTTGAAATTTTTTGCGAAAAATTAACCGCTTTTAGAAAATTATAAAAACAGAAAACCAGAAATTTGTGAAAATGAGTGATTTTATTAAAAATTGCCCCAAGAATAAACCGGTATTTGCCTAAAACTCAAAACCGAAAACCGGGTTTCTAAAATTTAAATTAACCGAAAACCGGGGGTACAGGTTAATAACCGGTCGTCAACAACCCAAGTTTAAAAGTTCAATGAGCCAAATATATTTTTTTATTTTTTAAACTATTAGGATATTATAAACCATACTGTATCTATTCTAATAGAATGGACTCATGGCTCCTCCAAAAATTGAATGGCTCCTTTTTGACGTATTGAAAAATAGAATGGCGGCCATTCTATTAGAATAAATATGGTATTTATCAGGGATCTAGCCGACATAAAAATTCAATTTCCGATTTTCGGGAATCGGGATTCCCGACAAAAATTCAATTCTGGTATATATGTACTTGGTTATTTAATTCCTAGATCTATGCAGAATGCGACGTAGGCTAATTGATAACCGATGTGGGTTAGCTACATATTTTCCCTTCAGCTAATTCAAAAATGTTATTTTCAAAAAGGCTTTCAGACGTTAAATAATTTTTTTAATTAGCCAGTTTATCCTATCTAAAAATTTTTTTTTAATATTTCCATGTTTTTAGAAAGATTTTCTTTTAAAACGGGGTTTTTCTCTTTTCACTTTTATAATTTCTTTTTACTTTTAAGTAGTAATCTTCTATAATTATTTTTTAATGATTTTTCTTTTTCTTTATTAAAATTTCTTTCTACAAAAATTTTTTTTATTTTATTCTAAACTCCCAAAAGGTTAAAAAAGAGCCGCCCGCCGTCGGCGTTTTTTCATTTTCCTTCTATCTTTTCATGTTTGCCCTTTTCTAAAATTTTTTTCAAGCACGAAAAGAAGGTTCAGAAAAGAACAGCAGAGAGCTTAGAAAGGATGTAAATTTTGAGAGAAGGGGAAATTTTGGAAAGAAAATTTTGGAGGGGAAATGAATTAAAACCAGCAACCAACTAAATGCTGCTATGTTCCTTTCTTAAACCCTTACTCTTTTTTAGTGCTTAAAAAAGAAGGAACCTTTCTTGTTTCTGCACTAAAAATGTTCCTAGCCTTCCTGTTTTAATAAAAATATTTTTAATGAAAAAATTTTTTTTCTTCAATTTTGTTGCGAAAAAACAAAAACATTTTGTTTTATTATATTTTTATTACTTTTTGAAATTGAAATTTTGAAAAGAAGTAATTTACTTATTAAAAAAATATTTTTTTTGCACAAAAAATTTTTTTATTTCATTTTATTTTAAATTATTTTTATTTTCCCTATCTAAATAGCAGGGATCCTGTCATACAAATTCCCAAAAATCTGAAATTCCCGACGTTTTTTGGTTTGGGATTTCGATTCCCGAAATCGGTAATTGAAAAAAATCCTGGAATTCCCGATTCCAGAATTAGGGAATTTTGTTTTTTTGTCGTCAGGATCCCTGCGTCTAGGTTCTATTATTTTATTATTATTTATTTTATTTTTCTAATCAATCTCGTTTAAATAATTTTTTAAAAATAATTTATTTAAATTCTCTCCCCTCCAGTTTTATTATTTTTTTTATTATTCTTGCAAAATTTATCAAAAAAAATTATTTTTTGTCCTCTCTATTAATACTTTAATTTTCTAGGCAAACGATTGGTGTCGTCGAGGTGTTGAATTATTATCATCACCTTTAGATTTATTTTCTTCTTCTTCCAATTCTTTTGCCTTTTTTGAAGAAGCCTTAAATAATTTAAATTTATTTATTAAAGAAGGAGATAATTTAAAAATGGATACTTTAATTAAACAAAAAAATTCTGGAAATGATTCTAATAATCAATTATTTGTACTAACTAATTGTGATACTTCTTCACTTATTGCGCAGGTAGAAAAAATTTTTTTTGGGTATTTCTGTTGTCGGTTATGGATCTGCTTAGAAAATAAAAATGTATATACAAATATCAAGTCGGCAAGATCCATGTTATGACCATTTTTTTTTTATTTTGGAACAATTTTTTCTATTTGAATCCAAAAATTAACAGTATCATAGTTTCACAAATTTTCACAAAAATTTTTCTTATGAAATTTTTTTAAGTTACAAAATTGATGAAACTGTATAACGGACGAATCGAAATCGAATATTCGATCTTTTGATTACTTTTAATTCTAAAATTTATCTTATTTTTGTGAAAGATTGAATAATTTTTGTTGTTCGATTCTACCATTTTTTCAGAACCAAATCCTTTAGAAACTTTTTTTTCTACGAAAATTTTTTTTTGTAATTTTAAGGATTTATTTTTAACTTCATTTTTTCACTAAATTTCACTTCCGATTAAAAAAATTTGGGGAAAAAATTTTTTTGTTTAAAAAAATTAAATTTTTAACAGGTAAATGAACGTATAGACGATATTCGTCGTTTAAGCTATTCCCGCCGTGATGCTTTACAAAAAATGTGTGTTGATAAAATGGCTATAGTTAACCACAACAATAATCAACAACAAAAACCTGTTCAAATAGTTTCTCCAGAAAAAAATAAAAAAGAAACAAGACAACAGCAACAAAATAATGGAAAGTTGGTTAAAGGAGAGGGGGTGGGTTTTTAATTAAAATTGCTTAAAATATTTAAAATGGAATTAACTTACATTTCGGCGCTTGTCTAGTTTATGCGTCCACTGAAACTTTAAGCATTCAATCAAAAAAAATTTGGATTTTTCATGGTATTGCAAAGTTGCAACGCCAACATTCTTTTTGAATATTTTTTTAAATCATAAAAAGTTTATAAAAAATTGGATTTTATTTTTGAACAAAAAATAATTTTATTTTTTTTCCATTTTTAAATTATTTTTTTGTTAAAAATTTTTAAACAAGGTTATAATAACAAAAATATATTTTTTTATTTTTGACATTTTGAATTTTTAATTTAGAAATTCATTTTTAGTGTCTAGAAAAAATTTTTTTTGAATTTTTCTTCCCTTTTCTATTTAATTTTTTTTCACACTTTTTAATCTATCCAAAGTCCATTTATTAAGAAAAAAAATTTTTCTTTTAATATTTTAATAATTTCCATAGCATTTTTATTTTTAATCCTTACATTTTTTCGTACAATTTTTTTATATTTATCTTTGATCAGAAAATAAAATCAATCCTCCTCCCTTCCCTTGTTATTTAGCTTTATACATATTATTACTTTATATTTTTCGCACATTCTTTCATTAAACTAGAATGGGTGGAAGGGATTGACGATTAATTGTACCTATAAAAAAATTTTTTTATCCTCATTTTATTGCAAATAATTTATATAAAAAATACTTTTTGAAAAAAAAACTTTTTTTGAGGCTATTAATTTATTTTTTGGAGAATGTTGCTCTCAAGAGTCTTTCAAAAGTTACTTCTTTCAAAGGGAGATTTTTTTACTACTGCCCTTTTTTTTCTTTTTGTCTTTGTCTTTTCTTTTGTCTTTTTTCTTGGCCATCTTTCTTTTCTGGCCACCCTCCCGCTTTTTTAAAAATCTGTTTTCAACTTCTTTAATTCTGTTTAGGGTTGAGGGCCCGGTTCGGTTAGAAAGATCGAATCAGCCCTCAAATTTTGGCCCAAAAAAGACTCGACCGGTTCGGCCCGATAAAAATGGGGCCCGAAAAAAAATGACTTGCACGTCGGTCCGATTCGAAAGACCCCAACCCTAATCCTGTTGGCATAAAAAATAAATTGCCAAATTCAGGACCCAAAGAAAAATTTGGAAAGAATCGTTCATTTTTCCAATTTTCGTGGATCAGAAAAGCGAATCCCTGCTATATTTAAATTTATGCCCCTAAATTCAAAAATTCTCCCCCGACACAAAGAAACGTCTGTAAAGAATCGTTCATATTCACAAGTTTCGGGAATCTGAACAGCAGAGTCCCTGCTATATTATTCAGGTTATTTTTTACAGTTCAGCGGGGTATGGATCCCGGTCGGGATTGGGTGGGATTGTCCCGGGTTTTTCGAATCCCGATCTCGATTTCTCAGATCCTGAGACCGAAAAATGAATCCAGATCCTGGGTTTTTCTCTAAATCCCGATACCGCTGAACTCTAGTTATTTTATGTCCCTAAATTCAGAAATTCTCCCATCCTTTTTATTTTTAAAAATGTTCAAGTACTTGTAATATATTTATTATATTGTTGTTGTTGTCCTCCAAACTGTCTCTTATATTTTTCTCCCCTTATTTTTACCCTTGAAAAGCATTTTCTTTTTCTAACGTTATATTCTTCAAGCACACGTTCCCAAGCCAATTAAGATTTTCTTTTCTTTTTTTTCTTTAAATAAGCGGATAAGTAACAGCCAAATAAATGTGCGCGAGAATTGGTATACAACAAGAAAATTGGCCCTAAACACTAATCTGCTTATTTGAACGGTGGGAAAGTTTGGAGAAGGGGAAGAGGAGGGTGGGGGAAGGCTCTTTAAAATTACTTTTTTTTATTCTTTTCTTCTCTCTAAAATTATAATTACTTACTCTATTTACCCTCTAATTTAATAAATCTATAATTTTGTTTAAAAAAAGTTTTGTCTGAAAGTTTGGTGGAGTCAACATTTCTTTCATTTTTGCCTACCTCTAAATTTATGGCCTCAGGCTATTTGATTAAATACTTGATAGAATGCTGACCTATTTATTAACTACAAAATATGTCCAGACATTTCTAGTTTTTTTTCTGGCTTCTTTGCCTAGTCAATTATAATTACCCCCAGAGATCCTCCTCTACCTTTTATTTTTTAAAAACTTCTTTTAATCTGTTTTAAATTCTATTTACCTTTTAAAATTCCTAAATTTAACAATTAAAAAATTTTGGATTTGAAAATTAAAAATTTATTTAAAAAATTCGGGTACACTCCGATGTACCGCCGAGCTATAATAACTTTGTTCAAAATTGTCGAATCTGTGGCGCTCTGGTATCGAACCAGCTAAATCGAACCATATCAGGGCACCACGGATTTGACAATTTTGAACAAAGTTATAGCTCAGCGGTACTTTGGGCTCGCGGTACACTGGCCTGCTCCCAAAAAATTCTTTTTAAAAAAGTGAATGTCTTTTTTTTCTTCACAGCAGAATTTCTTCTTCACTCTTGTGGAATAAATAAAAGAGTGAATTTCTTCCAAAATATCTCCTCCTCCTTCTTTTATAAAATCCCTATATCCAAATCTCTTTTCTAATTTTTTTGCCGCATTTTCTTCTCCCTCCTCCTCTTTTTCTTCTTCAAAATTTTCCCATCAAAAAATGCCGCTTTCGCGCGCCTTCATTTAATATTATATCTTATTATTTTCTTCCATTTATTCTTCTTCTTTTTTTTATCGACACCTCTTCCTTAATCTTTTTATAGTATTTTCTCTCTTATTTTGTCGCCAAATTTAATCTAATAAAAAAATTTTTTTTCTCATGCAAATCCGCCAAAAAAAAATTTTTTTTTATGTCTCCGAATTTTTTGATTTATTTTTAGAAAAGTTTTGTTGATCTATTTTTACGTCCTTGATTTGGTAGTTTATTTACATACAAATAATTTTCACTAGAAAACACGCTTCAATGCTTCTTCCTTTTCTTTCTTTTAAACCCGGAAATTTTTATTTAAATTGCTTCAAAAACTTTTTTTTAATTTTTATTGTTGTGGAAGGGGAGATCCAGGTTTTAAATCGCTTGCTAGGCTTGGGTTTAGAGAATACATTAAAATGGGAAGGTAAAAGCAAATCGCGGGTAATCCAATAAATTGCCATATACTCTAGATAGACCAGGTTACTCGACATTCAATACTGGATTTTTTTCAACCTTTCCCAACTCCAATCTTTACGTGGTAAGCTACAAATCCAAAGTAATAAAACTACCAAGATATTCCTGATCGGTTCTAAACTTTTTTTTACCTCTCTCCCTTTTTCACTGTTGTCAACATTTCTATTTTTATTTACAAACAAATTTTAAAAAATCTGATTGTATTGAGGATTGTTAAAAATAAAAGGGTTGTCTTTTATGCTTTTTTCCCTCTCCTATTTATCAAACCTTTCCCAATATAGCTTGTATTTTAAAGTTACAAAATACTTATATATACAGCTTTCAATTTTTCTTGAAAATAGTTTTTTGTAACAAACTTTTTTTTTTATTATTTTTATATTAGCAAAAAAGGGGAGAGATTTTCTCGATATACATTTTCTGTGCTAATAAATTTATTTTGACATAAATATTTACAATATAAGTTGATCCTATCAACTTCTATTGTAAATACAATAATAAATTTATATAATAAAAAGCCTCGGAAATGCTCTGTTCTTGTAATTATTGCTAGGCACTTTTGCTCACTAATAGTGTGCCGCCGGAACCGCAAATTCGGCCGGAACCGGAACTTTAGAAGCAAACTGTAACTGAAACCAAATAATCCCGGAACTTCCATCGGAACACTATTCACTAAGTAAAGCTGTTTTACCGACTTTGGCACTCCTTTCACCTTCTTCTAATATTTCCTAGGCGTTTTTAAATTTCCTAGCTGCGCAACACCATAAAAGAGGTATCCTGGCGATTCTAATAAAATTTTCGGATATTCGAAACGCCGACCTTAAAAGCTTTTTTTACTTCCTTTATTTTACTTTCTTTAATTTTTTTAGAATTTATTAACAACCAATTGATTTTTAAAAAATTAAAAAAAAATTGTCTGTTATAAAATGCCACGTTTATTTCCTTCATCGCTTATTGACTTTCTTTCTCTCTCCTTGAAAAATTTTTTTTTCTTAATTTTTTTCTGTCTTCTCCCCTTCTCAATATTTATCAATTCTTGTTTTTTTATTTATTTAAATTTATTATTTATTTATTTATTACCACCAATTTTTGCATTCCTTCAATTTCCTAAATTCTTCTTAAAGAATTTCATTCTCTCGTTCTCCGTTTATTTAATTATTTTTAGGGCGTGTAATTATATGGAAATCCATATTTTTTTCCTGAATTCCTAAGACTCTGTAACGTACGAAAAACATGTTTTTGGCCTGTTTTAGGGTTTCTAGAATGGTCTTTATAATCCATATTTTCCATATTTTTCCATATTTTGGCATTATGTCCATATTTTCCATATTTTGTCCATATTTGGTCATTTTTTGGTAAATTTTACTAAAAATTGGCGAAAATTTTCAAAATTTTGGAAATTTTTGGTCAAAAAATTTTTTTGAAAATTTTTCGGAAAAATTTATTTTCAAAAAAATGTTAACGGAAATTTTAAATCCATAAAATCTTTTAGAATGTTCTTAAAATGCAAAGTTAAAGGCAAAATTATTGTTTTCTATATAAAATACTGATTTTTAAGATATCTTTTGTCTATTTTTTGATCCATATTTCAGGATTTTATATCCATATTTAGTGCTTATTTCCATATTTATATCCATATTTCGGGATTTTATATCCATATTTTATGGCCATATTTTTCGATTTTATATCCATATAATTACACGCCCTAATTATTTTTAATCATTTCTTAACTATCTTTTCTCCCTAAAAATTGAGAGAATAAAATTGTCGGTTAAAGAGAATTGACCGACACTTCGGCCATTAATTTTAGTCTTTTAAAAATTAAAAATTCTTTGGGGAATTTTTAAATTATAGCTAATACATACATATTCTTTCTGTTTATTTTTCTGAACTTCTTTTTTGGCCTTTCTTTTAAAATATCGATTTTTTTCTATTTTTCTTTGTATTATTTTTCTTTTTAATTTATAGTTTCGTTGCCATTTTTGGCAAACATTCTTTTGTTTTGTTTTTTACAAAAAAAAATTTTTTTTTTCAGTTTTCTATCTTTGACTTTTAATCAATTTTTGGTTTTTTACTTGAATTTTAAAAATTTTGAGAAAAATGTTCTGTGAAGAAAATTTTGAGAAAAATGTTCAATTTTTTTCAAATTCTTAGCTCAGGCTCCGGAGCTATGTAGCTCCCAGAGCCATACACAGCACTGGTAAAGAGCCTTTAACTCTCGCTTAACGTCAAAAATTTGTCTACTATTTTATTGTTTTTAGAACATTCTCTCGTTTTTCTATTAATTTTTTTCGTGTTCATTTTATTTGCATATTTTTTTTTATTAAAAAGTGCACAAGGCCTTGTTTTTCCCCAGACATTTTTCTCAAACACTTTTGTTGCCCTAAACTTTATTATCATTTTTTTCGATTAAATTTCTTCTCCAAAAATTCTTTTTCTATTAATTTATACTCTTGGATCCCCCTTTCATAAAAAATGGATTTTTTCAAATGAATCCCTTGCACGACACTCAGGGGCGGTAGAATAAGAACTCAGTTGCTGGTTAGGTAATTAGGTAACCTTCAACCAGCAGTTTCTACTGGTAACATAAGACGGTCGTAAGGTTAACCATGACTTTGTGGCGATGGTTAGTTAGTCATCGTCACCTAACCAACTTTTTATTCTACGGCCCCAGATGTCAGAATTATTAAGGGATGTTGTATAAGTGAGCTCCGACTCGCATTTAAATTTACCCATTTTTAAATTAATAGACTTGGAATTGTGTTAATTATTTTTAATTAATTAATTAGTCTAGTCCTTCAAAGACTCGTAAAAAATATTTTTTCTTCACCACATTAATTTTATAAAAATATGAAACGTCAACTACCCAAAATTTTATTTAATTCTTTTCGTTCAACAAAAAAGAGACAAAAAGTCCCAGCTTTAGAAATTGAAAATTTTGAATTTGAGGATGATGATAGTCAACCAAAATTGTTATCTTCAAGTCAATTTTATACGGATTTTATGGATTGGGAAGGAGGAGAAGGGGAAGGGAGTTGTTGTAGTTGTGGAGATGATGATGATGTAAATATTATTAAAAAATGAATGAAATTTTGATAAAAATATTTTTTTCAGAAAAATTTTCTTTGGAAAATTTTAAAATTTTTTCTTAAATTTGTTAAGCAAAAAATAGAAAAAAATAATTTTCTCCTAATTTTTTAATTACCTATAAATAGTAGGTAAAATTAGAGACGTGGAAAAAGACTATGTAAAAAGAGGAGAACGCTCTTTCTGTCTCTTCTAAAATATATTTTTTTTTTAATTTTTTTATTTTTTTTCATTATTAATTTTAACTGAGGTTTTATTTTTTAACCTAAAATTAATTTTTTTTTATTTTTATTTTTTGGGGGTTACTCAAAAAAAATTTTTTTAATTTTATTTTTCCCGTTAAGAATTAAAAAAATTTTCTTTTTTTTTAATTTATTTTTTTTAAAGAATCAAACTTCATCTTCTTCCTCTCAACGCAGCAAACACGACAAAAAAGAAAAGAATAAAAATATTATTTCTCCCATCGATAGCCCCCCAAATTCCTCCACCTCTTGCGTTTCACTGCCACGTGCCAAATTTCCTCTAAAATCATCATGTTCACCTTTATCCTCTCCAACTACTGCTGGTCCAATGGAAAAATCTTTGGGTGGAGGAGGTGGAAAAGTGAATTATGTTTTGGATGAATTGGTTAGTTGGAAATAAAAAAAATTTTCAAAAATTTTTTGAAAATTTTTTGAAAATTTTAGACTAGTTTCTACCTTCTCCCTTAAAAATTTTATTCAGGCCTCTCATTGGACTGAAAATACCTTCTTTTAACATATCCCAACCTTAAACGAAAGGGGTATTTAGATTATTGCAATGCCCATGTTGATGAGTCGATTTTCCCGAACCCCTGACCTTTTTCTACTCAAAACTCTTTTTTTTGGAAATTTTCCGACTTTTCTCATCTCTGGTATCGGTTTAAAACTATACCTATCCAATTATCAATGTAATTAAAAAAAATTTATCTTAGATAAAGAAATTGGGGTCCGGCTAATTCAAATGTTGACATTAAAAATAGATTCACAATTTTTTTATATTTTTAGTTAAGTACAGAGCGCACTTATGTCCGCGAATTGGCTGAAATCATTCATCACTATATTCAACCATTAGAGGCTCTTGAATTTACTAGCAACAATGGGACAACTAATTCACATAATAATAACAGTTTACCAGGACAGTCAAATATACTTTTTGGAAATATTCGAGAATTGGTAAAAAATTTAAGAGAAAAGGGGAATTTTTTCAATAATGAGGGGGTATTTTCTCTCCTCTCATTTCGATTTTTAATAATCAAAGTTTTGAATGAAAATGAATTTTTGAGCTGTTTTGACCGGCTGATATTTTTTGTTCTGTGGGGCCAAAAAATTAATTTTGAGGGTTATAGGGTCATGTTATGCCTTGGAATCAATGGGTGCTGTAGCTTGATCTTGGGGTCTAACCTTGGTTTAGACTGGGATAATATTTGCTTTAGGTGTCCACGTATCACTTTAAAAAATTAATTTTAAAATATTAAATAAATTTTCACAGCACGATTTCCATCATTCAATCCTTCTCCCTTCTTTTCACCAAAATTCAAATTCTGTAGAAGGCGTTTCAACAGTTTTATCATCTCAAAGACATCGACTTTTATCTTTATATCGTTACTATTGTCGCAATAAACCAATTAGTGAAGAATTAAGAAGAGAACATTTAATTGATCAAAATAAATTTATTTTGGATTGCCAAAGGAGGGCCGGTCATTTACTTCCTCTGTCTGCCTATTTATTGAAGCCTATTCAACGAATTACCGTGAGAATTTATTATTTAATAGGGTCGAATCTAGTTATAAGAAATTCTCTTAGGAATAAAAATTTTTTACCTTATAATGAGTCGTATATTAAATAGAGAGTATTGCTTAGATAGTCCACCCAGTGGTCAACAAAATTTTAAAGAAAGGAGTGAGGGAGGAGCACGGGGAGAGGGGGGTGGTCATTAAAGGAGGGCTGGTCACTTCAAATCACTTGAATAACACTCCGATTCGGTTAATTGAAGATGATCGTTCGGATCCTTTCGCCGAATAACCTTTTGCACTATTTAGCTGAAGGGAAAATATCTTTTAGCTTTATTGTGTTTAGGTTTGCATTAGGGTTGTTCACTACCGGTTATTAATTGGTACCCCCGGTTTTGGTTAATCCAAATTTTAAAAACCCAGTTTTCGGTTTTGAGTTTTAGACAAATACCGGTTTTATTTTGGGGAAATTTTTAATAAAATCGCTCATTTTCACAAATTTCCGGTTTTCAGCTTTTAAAAATTCTAAAAGCGGTTAATTTTAGGCAAAAAATTTCAAAAATTCCGGTTTTAAAACCGGTCGTGAAGTTTGCATGTATCTTATATTGAGATGGTAGAACTTTGAGTATATAATTAATTGGAAACCTTTCATGATGATTAATTAAAACACGAGATCGATGTCCCTAAAAATCTTTAGCTTGATAGTTAGCAGTTATTTTGAACGAGATATCGTCTATTTCCGATTTCCGCCTTTTAATTTTTTTTAATTTTATTTTTTTTCTAGAAATACCAACTTTTATTAAAAGAATTAGTTAGACATTGCCCAACAGCTGGACAATCATTACAACATGTCCAAACAGCCTTAACTTCAATGCTGGAATTATTAGCTCAAATAAATGCTGATATGGAACAATTACATATACTTGGATATCCTGTAGGGAAAATTTTTAATTGGAAAAAATTCTCAAAATTTTTAGGGTGATCTACGCCTTCTAGGCTCTCTCCGCCTTCGAACAGAGTGTGACGTTTCTATTTATAAGAGATCAAAGAGTGCAAGTGCTGGAGGTGTAAATGGAGGTAGAAGGAATGGAATTAAAGGAAAACAACAGAGAAGGCATTTGTGAGTTTTTGATACAAGAAAACAATTTTTTTAAGAAAATATTTTAAATATTTAATTTGGATTGATGAAAAAATAAATTTTCTGATAAGTTTCTGTTAAATTCAATTAGGTGAGAATTCCTATATGATTTTCTGGGCTCTCTTACAAATTAGAGTTTTTGTTGTTACATGGGGGATCGAGAACAGCAATCTCACATTTCCCAGAAATGTGTTTCTTAGGAAGTTAGTGGTGTCCTGACCTGTTTTGTTTTGTTTAATTTGAGGTTTTGTATCGTTAGGGTATTTTCTCAGGGAAATGGGGTTTAAAGTGTTTCAGCTTGTTCAGTTTAGAGTCTATATATCAGAGATCCTGCCGACATAAAAATAACAATTTTAGATTTTGGTAATTGATACGGCACGGTCCTTTTTGATCCTTTTTGGTTGAAAAAAAAGAAAAAAGATTCTTCAAGGGAACCCGTCTGTTCCCCGCAATGACATTTATCTTAATTTAATTGTATCGCTTAGGTTTTTGGAAGGTTGTTGTCGGTCCTATTTAAAATTAAATACCGCGATTCAAAAAAAAATTTTTTTTTCCTTTAATTCAGATTACTTTTTGATGGAGGCATTCTCTTCTGTAAAAAACGTTTACAAACAACAACAACAACTCAACCAGGCTGTGAATATTTTGAACATAAATTTTGTATCCCAATAAATTCTCTCGGTTTTGCTGAATGTTCCCGTTTTTCGGATGAAAAATTTGAAATTTGGGATATTAATGAAAGTGGAAATTCTGCCAGTTGTTTTGCTATACATCCATTAGATGAAAAAGTTAGGCCAAAATGGATACATAAACTTTCCAAATTAACTGTCTTAAATCAACAACAACAACAATTAGTTGAAGCTGCAGCTTTGGGGATGCCTGATTCTTCTTTTTATTTACAACAAAGAGAGGAATATATGAATAATAGGTAGTTTTATATGCAATCAAGTCTTGTTATGGTGTACGCTAAACACCGGACCAGGGATGATCGAAATAAAAATATTTTTTATTTCGAATCGAAACGAAATAAAAAAATTTCTATTTCGTTTCGGAGCGAAACGAAACGAAATGAGCTTATTTCGGACGAAACGAAACGAAATAAACGAAATAAAATAAAAATAAAAAAATATTTATTTTTTAATTCATAAAAGCTTTTAATCGATATTTAAATCATAAATATGCACCCCAAGAGCTATATGCGTGACAAAAACAACCCTAAAACAAGAGTGGGCCATACAAATCTGCCGATATCCACCTTAATCCCCTTAAATCGACATATATCAGACTTAATCCTCCGATATCTTATTAAAATCCATCGATATATCGAAATTCACTTTGGAGTATACCACTTTAGATATCGAACAAGAGGGATATTAAGAGGGATAAACGAGATATCTTCTATATCCCTTAGGATATCATCTATATCCGTTCTATATCCCCCTCTCAAAACCACCGATATTAACTTAATCCATAAATCCAAATATACACAAAATCCCCCGATATCTCCTTAACCACAATATCCCGATAATCTCGCCAATACTCCAATAACACTTAATCTTGCCAAATCTCCTGCAATATCACTAATCCCTCGATATCTCTTTGAATCCTCCGCACAATGGAATAAAAATTTTAGTCGGCAGGTCAGGAGTATTCTGAAGTGGACTACGGATATCTTCATTAATCGCTTTAAATTGGCATATATCAGCCTTAATCCACTACGGATTATACAAAGGTATATAGAGGTATATTAAGAGGAATATTAATATATATTAAGAGGGATATCTTCAATATCCACTGAGGAATCGACCGAACACAGCTCCAATCGAGCATATTTAAATCTGAGTTTCAAATTCAGAGCCAAAGCATAATATATTAGGTTTGGGCTTCCTCCTATTAGCGCCTTGGGCAAAAATTTTAAATAATTTTAGATCATAAAATGAAAATTTAAGACTATGGTAGGTCGAGCGGCTGAAGGCTGGCCTGCCCTAGCAAAACATGTTACAGCTTTTCTCCTTTTTAGCGCCGCAGGCAAAAATTTTTTGAATTTTTGAGCTCATGAAGCCAAATTTCCTCCATTTTCAGCGCCGCAGGCGAAAATTTTTTAATTTTAAGCTGTTCATAAGACAGAAATCACTAAAAAATTAATGATTTTTTCCATAAATTCCCGTCGTTAGGGGTGTATTTTCTTACTTTTTTTTTGTTTCGTTTCGTCCGGAATTTTGGTTATTTCGTTTCGAAACGAAACGAAATAAATTTTTTTCTGTTTCGTCACGAAACGAAACGAAATGAAAAAAAGGGCACGAAAGAGCGAAACGAAACGAAACGAAACGAAATTTCGATCATCCCTGCACCGGACCGAGCCGAAATCTCGAATAAAAATTTCTTAGCGAGATAGAGATATTTTTTAGATATCTCGTACGATTTTAGTACAACACTCTTCGTCCGGTTTAGAGTATACACCGACTTGGAGTCTGAAAAAATTGTAGTACATTAAATAAGTTGTGTGAATTAAAATAGGGGTATTGCTTAGGCATCTCCACCCAACAGTGACTAACTAACCTTAAGAAAACCACCAACCACTTTTAAAAACATTTAACTGAGTTGTATGATTAGTGGGTCAATAACCACTTGTATGTATTAGGGGATGAAATTAGGGAGCAGGCCAATTTTGCCGAGGAACCATAACTCTTAGAATTGAATCTCTTAGAAAAAGTCTTAGAAATTGAATTACCATCCAACATCCCTCGATGAGTTAAGTCAAGATCCGAGTTTCTTAAGCTTAGCTCTGCAAGAAACTGTGTTATTGTAGTTAGTAGTGTATACCGTTTCTATGTGTTAGAAATAAAAATTCAACTTATAATTATAGAACAAGGCCTCAATCTTGGACAACTACCAGCTCTTCTGAAGATGGTATAACAACAATAAATCCACAACAAATTTGCAATAAAAGAAATAAAGGAAATAATAATAGTGCAGCACAATCAAGTCGTTCTTCTACTTCTTCCTCTTCTGGTTAATATTTTTTTTTCAAAAAAATATTTCAAAAATTTTTTTTTCTTAAGCAGTTATCTTTGGAGATACAAGTCCAACAGGAGAAGATTTGAACGAGACTGAAATAACTTTTAGAAGGCATTCAGACTCCTCTTCGTCCAGTAATTCTTCTAGAAAGAACGAGCTTTTACCAAGAAGTCAATCACAACCACCAGAATTTTTACAACTTGAAGAAATTAATAATACTAATGGTGGTGGGATGCAGAGAATTGATAGATTATAAATTAATTAAATAAAGAAATATTAGATATACATACTAACTCTACCTATTTATTTTTCTCTGTTTTCTTTGCATTATTTTAGATTATATATTACAACTTTCCGGAAGGCATACACAATCTTTCCGGAATTTATATTTTTGTTGGTGATTTTTCTATTTATTTTCCGGAAAGTTTTTCCGGAATTTCCGGAAAATTAAATAAAATAGAATTATTTTCCGGATTTTATTTACTTTTCCGGAAAGTTTTCCCATACAAGTTAGAGAAAAAAATTTCCGGAAACTTCTAAAAGTTCCGGAAAGTTGGATAATTTCCGGAAATTATTTTCCGGAAAATTAAACAAAATCCGGAATTCCTTTGTGAAATGTCAGGAAATTATTTTCCGGAATTTTCCGGATAAATTAGATAATTTCCGGAAGCAAAATCCGGAAAATATTATATTTATCAAAGAAGGAAGATTAAAATCTCCCATAGATTAATTTGTCTATTGTATATTTAACACATATTTTAATTACACAATTTTATAAATATCGAACTCACTAACTAAAAATTATTTTATATTTTTTGTCGTTGTACATATTTTATTTCTAAATATAATTTTATTTAACTAAATAAAAATAAAGAGATCGATTTTGAATATTTTTAAAATTTTTCGGATCAGACGGGAATTTGCCTCACCGAAAAAAATACTATAAAAGCCCAAAGAACGAAACCCTATTCCCATTCTCCAACTCCAAAAAATCCAAAAACCCCAACAAAAACAATCTTCAAACTTCTACAACAACAACAATGAGTGCTCCACCTCCTGAACCGCCAAAGAAGGACGCTGCACCGCCACCACCTGCTGCTGCTCCGCCGCCGCCAGCTGCTGCTCCACCTGCTGCACCGCCTGCTCCGCCGCCGTCAGATCCGGCTCCACCGCCGCCTCGTGCACCGAGTGAAGTGTCTTCCAAGAAGAAAGGAGGGAAAGGAAAGGCTTCTGCTGCTTCTGGAGGAGGAGGAGGGGGAGGAGGTTCTCTGTCTCAGCCGCCATCGTCTTCTCCAAGTGGTGCTTCCAAGGGGTCAGCAGCTCTTCGACAAGTTGAAGTTCAAACCTTCAGCGACATTCGTCCAGCGTTGTTGAAATGGCTTGAGGGTCAGGATAAGCTGTTCGGGGCTGCTGAGAAGAATTCGGGACTTGAGCGGGAAAAGGTGAGAGAGAATTTTTTTGATTGAAAGCTGTTAATTGACCTAATCGTTCTTTTCATTTTGCAGATTTTCTATGGTATTTGTGGCATTCTCACGCTCTGGTTGATTGCTGGTCCTGGTGCTGGTTTCATCTGCAACTTGATTGGCGTCGCTTATCCTGTCTATGCTTCAATTCTGGCTTTGCGTTCGGGAGGGAAAGGTTTTTGAGAGAAAACCCATCCAAAACCCCTCCAAAACATTCTTCATTTTTTTCAGATGATGACACTCAGTGGCTCGTCTATTGGACCACCTACGGGACGCTGTCAATGTTGGATTTCTTCGCCGATCGCATCTGCGCCTACTTTCCTCTGTTTTGGCCTCTTAAAGCAATCTTCCTTCTCTACTTGGCGCTGCCTCAAACGCTTGGAGCCCACAATATCTACGTTAAGTATTTGGATCCGGCGTTTGACAAGCTGGCGAAGTGAGTTTTAGAAAAAAAATTTTAAGTGACATTTGATCCCAAAAAATTTTTTTTTCAAATTTTTAATTTTTAGACGTGCGGCAGCCCTGTAGGAGCGTGGTGGACGTTGAAAGAAATTAGAGAAGAGGAAAGATAAATAAAAGAAAATATATATTTTGTTTTGTAGGTGTATAAATATAAAATTATTGTCCCCTCATTTATTTGTAAAAGTATATAGTCCTCTTATCTATCGAGTGTATATGTTGTATTGTTGTAAATAAAATGTTTTGAAAAGGTTTTTTTGAGTTTTCATTGAGTTTAAGCTGACATAAGCTTTAGGTTTTCTAAGTTTTAGAAAAAAAATTTTAGATGACATTTGATCCCAAGACTCTAACATTTGACGGTGAACTGTTCCTTCCGGCCCTTAAAAATTCCAAAAATGACATTAGAGTCTATCAGTAAGCTTAGTTATTAAGGACAGGGTTGAATAAGCACTCTAACAAAGTCAAATCTCAATACCGTGAGGTCAAAGAAATAGTAGAGAGAGTACGTTGAATCGAATGGTTGCGCTATTTCGAGATTCTAGACTCTAGTGCCCGCTCTCTAGTGGCCCGTTCCGTGTTTAGCTTGAGTTAAAAATCCGAAAAGTTATCTTCATTTAAAAATCCAACAGATCAAAAACCGAGAAAAATAAAGAAATTTGAGAGGAAAATTCTTGCTTCTCTCGAGGTGTCCCCCTCCTTTTTAGTACTCTGTAAGAGCAAACGGAAGAGAAAAAGGTTATAGTCTCCCAATCAATAAATAAACACATATGTACACATTTTGTCAGTTAAATGTAAAGAGGAGTATTGTCGACCCCTCAAAGCAACAGAAAAATAAAAAGACCCCTTCTTTTGCACACAAATAAATGTTACTAAATCTGTCGCCTTTAAAAAATTTTTTTTCATTGCTTTAACCAACACGCACACAAAATATGTAATTAGTGCATTGTTTAAAATGAGAATTTACGTGGAGAGAAGAAATTTTATTCTCTCAACAATTTTACTGCTTTTTTTACTTACGATTTTTACCAAAATCGCGCAGCTTTAAAGCTTTTTGGTTAAAAGCCCTTTTCCAACTTTTTCTTCCCCTCATTTTATTTTTCGTTTTCCTCAAAAATTTTCTATTTTCCCTCAATAAAAGTTGAGACTCAAATGGCACTGTCGAAAAATTCTAATTTTTATTTTTCAAGTTCGTTTCGTCGCCAAAAGTTTATCGCACGTTATGGATACTTTTAGGGTTTCCAAAGCAAAAACCGAACCAGTTTTTGCGGGCATATTTATTAGAGTTCACCGAAGTTCCGTTTCCGGAACGTTCCGGCATTTTTTTGTTGCTTCCGGGATCCGTAACTCAAATTGGATCCGGTTCCTGTCAAAATTTCGGTTCCGGGGAAACACTAATATTTATGTGGGCTCATAATGGTCAGATAAAAAAGGACAACCAACTTCCAATATTTCCCTTAAGCAATGAGCTTGTTTTGATCACTCGCGACAAAATATCCGTTACAAAAAACAAAAAATTTCTTTTACTTTTTTGTTTAAAATCTTTAAATTTTTAATTGTTACACCCCATAAAAGCCCATTTTTATTGTCTCGATTTATATTTTCCTTTTATTTTAAAAGAAGGGAGAAGAAAGGAAAGAAAAGCTTGTCTTTAAAACCAAAATTTTTTTTATTGAGGATAGTTTTCACTATTTTTATAAATGGAAGCATTCCGGCACTATAAAAACACACATTTATTTTGCTTCTCTTTTCTCTTCTCTTTTCTCTTGTGCAACAGAAAAGAGAGTAGAAAACGGACAAAACAAAAATATTTTTAAAGGGGGAGAGCCCTTCCTTCCATTTTTCTCTTTCATCTTCTGTTCTGTCATTCATTTATAAAATATCTCAGTCCAGTCGGACGGACATTTTGTCTCGCCCAGAGGGCAATAGTAAAAAAGGATAAGCTCTTTGTGTAAAAGGCTTCTGAAAGGCAAATGACGGCACAGCTGGACAATTCTCTCCCTTTCCCCAAACATTCTTTTCTGGCCATTTTAATCGATTCCCTATTTAAGAGAGAATCTCTATATTTTTTCTGTTCCGGCTTCTTATTTATTGCAAAAATATTTTTTTCTTCCAATAAAAGCTTTAAGTAGAACAACGAGAATATTAGTGTATTGCAGCAATTTGGACTTTTTTTGTGACCAAATATGGGTAGGTTAATTAGGGTAAATAAAAACAATCAACGGAAAAATATTTAAAAATAATGAAAATGGGAAAATATGAGAAAATAATTTTAAATGGTTGAAACAGATCCGAAAAACAAATTTTTGACATTTATTGAAGTTAGATCCTTCGATCGCTAATTGCTTAGGAGGTAGAAACGCAATTTAATTGTATTTAGTTAATTTTTACTAAAAGCTAATGAACAGTATTTGTGGCTCAGTGGGTGTGTGTTAGTCTCGAAGAAGGGATAGGTCTGGGTTCGAATCCCCCTATTTTTAAATAATTTAATAAAGCCTCAAATTAGTCTATTTTTATTTCAAAAAATTTTTTCTAGGCAAAAAATGTCAAATTTGCAAAAAGAAATGCTCTGGAGACATTGTTCGTGCTGACGGAGAGAAATATTTTCATATAAATTGTTTCGCGTGCAAAAGTTTGCTTTTTTAAATTTTTAACAGAAAAGTTTAAAAAAATTCTTTTTAAGCCTGTGGTCGTTCTCTTTCTGAGGCGGGGTTTTATGTAAACCCGGATGGCTCTTATGTATGTCCAGAGCATGTCCAACAACCGCAAAGGCCTCCGTCCGCCGACAACGCCCAGCAAACGCCAAAAAAGTCAAAGAAAGGTTTGGGGCTTTTCAAAAGAGGGTCTTCTAGAGATTCAAAAGATTATTCTCGGCCACTCAGTTTAGATTCTAATATAGCAACACTTTCAAGAAATTCGATGATTGCTACATCACAAGGGTCTCCTGTTGCTGCTGCAAGTTTGTTTTTCTCTTAATTTTGACTCTGGAGGTTTTCTAGGGTTTCTGGGATTTTTCTAGTTCTAATAGGTAAAGAGGCTGTAGGAAAGCTTTTTAGCTTTATTTTTAAGTTTTGACTTATTGAGGGAATATTTTTTATTTGCTGGAGTTTTTAGGGATATGATTAGAAATTTAAAATTCATGAATACTTTGTAGAGCTTCACCGGCAGTTCCAGTAGGCGGGAAGTTTCGCGATTTTTCCGATTTTCGATTTTTTTTCGATTCCGCGATCCGGATCTGGTCAAAATTTCAGTTCAGGTTCAGGCCAAATTTACGGTTCCGTTGAAGCACTAATACCTCCCCCAACTTTTTTTAACATGTTTCCACTGTGACATGATTATTTTTGAGAAGGGAGGGAACGGCTTTCCATTTTTTCAATAAAAATCTATTCAATTCCTCTGGGATTTACTGATTATTTTTGTTTCCCTTTCAAGCCTGTGCCGGTTGTGGAGACCACCTCCAATCAGGCCAAATACTTTTGGCAATGGGGCATAGTTGGCATGTTTGGTGTTTTAAATGTGCAGAATGCGCGGCTGTCCTCCAAGGGGAATATATGGCTTATGGTGGGAGGCCTTTGTGTTTGAGGGATTATGACAGAATAGCGTTTGTTTTTTTATACTTTTTAGTTGAGATTTTATTGAGGATTTAAAAATAAAATTTTTTTTCTTGGGGGTTGAGACTTGTACCGAAAATTATTCTGTTTGTTAGGCTCCAACTATGGTTAGGACATCCGGACTGTTTTGGCTCTGGATTTACTGATTATTTTTCCGCAACCGTGTCACCCTTAGTTTCCAACGTTTTCGTGTTTTTTCTTTTACGTGAGACTGATGGAATAAAGGCTAATAAAAAAAATTCAACTCAGAAACTCAAACGTCAGAAAATTTTATTTATCTCACAAGGGAACCTTTCGAACTGTCAGTAAAAATTCTTAAATAAAAATTATACCATCATGTAGAGCGTAGTCGATAACTTGTTATGTTCCCGGCTTTTCTTCCCTAGACCCCCATTTTGAAAAATTATAGGGCTACAAAGTTTTCGACTTTCGGAGCGGTGAGTCTCCCTCATTTTTCCTATTAAAGAGTAATTTTTCTTTTTCTAAAGAGAAAAATTTTTTGGGCGAGCTTGGATGACATGAATTTTTAATTTTGAAACGAATGATAATTTCTTAAATTTTTCTAGGGGAGTAAAATGCTGTGAATGTGATCGTTTTATTGCTGGAAAAGTTTTGGAGGTTTTTTCTTCCTTAAAAATTATTTTTAAAAATTCTTTTTAATTTAAAGGCTGGCGGTTATAAATTTCACCCAACCTGTGCTAGATGTTCACGTTGTCAACTTCCATTTGAAGAAGGGGCAGAAATATATATGCAAGGAAATGAAATTTGGCATCCAAATTGTGAACATTATTTAACTACTGAAAATATCGCGGTAAATTGTTTTTGAAATTTTTGAAAAATTTTTGAAAATTTTTGACAATTTTGAAAAATTTTCGGAAAAACTTGAAGAGTCACCTGACCTGTGTTTGCTTTCCCTTAAAAATTTTTTTCTCAAATTTTTTTTAAATTATTTTTTGAAATTTAGGTCTCAAAATCGCCCTCAAAAGGTACTAAATTCCAACCGCATTTTGGTCAGCATTTAACTTACATGTAAGAAATTTAAAAATAAAAATCTAGAAAAATTTTTTTGTTAGAAAATCCTTTTTTCCTTAAATCTATTCCTTTCAAATTTTTTGTGGAAGTAAACGAATTACTAAACCCATCTAAATATTCTACATATTTTCCAAATTTAAAAAAAATCAATTTTTTGATCTCAAGAATGTCCTCAATTTATTTGCGGACAAAATTTGCGGACTTTTTTAGAAATTTTTAAAAAAATTCAAATTCTTCAAGTAAAGAGGACAATCAAAAATCTAAAATGTTTAGGTATATGTTACCAGAAGCTGAGCAAACTTATTTAAAACATCCCATAGCTCCAAATCCACCACAACCAACACAATTCCACACTCCACATGGACCGGTAATAAAAATAAGAAAATCGCGTTATTCGATGCTCAAAACTGGAATGCAGAGACTAAGTTGGTTTTTTAAGAAAAAAATTTTTTAATTTCAAAAAATTTAAAGCTGAGGATTTGGAAAGAACACGCCCCCGCTCGCGTTCCTCTTCTGTAGATAATGAAGAACCTATAGAATTGGCACATTATCCGGGAGCTAAAGTGCCAGATCCTGATCATGTACCGCCAATAGATGTTTGTTTTTTTTTTGAATTTTAAAATAATTTTTTGGGTAGTCTTATACTTTTGAGTTAACTCCTTCTGGTCCATGTCTCCGAATTTTAACATAAGATTCTAAAAGATTTGGAATCTCTGAGAAATCGTAGAATTATAAACTTTTTATTCTTGAAATTTTTTCAAGCTAGGAATGTTCATAATTCGGCATTAATTCATTTTGCAACAAAAAACTCCCAATGTCATTTTGGCTTTGGTTTGGAATTAAGTTGGAATTTGTTTTAGGAATTAAGACAGTTAGGTTCGAGTCCTATCTAGTGGAAAATTAATGTGGGATGCTTGTCTAAACCCGAGTTTAAACTTATGCCATTACATATATTTTCGTGTCTGAAAGTTTTCTAAAATTTCAAAAAAAAATTTTTACCATTTTGAAATCCTATAAAATAATTTTTTTCAATAAAAATATATTCCCTTCTAAATTTTATAGAGAGAAGATTTCCCAGCACCTCCCTACCCTTATGCTGTAGAAGAATTAAAAAGGCGTTTATCTTCCTCTTCAATAGAAAATGATGAAGACGAAGAAGAAGAATTGTTAAATGCTGAAGGAAAAATTTTAAGACAAGAAGAAAGAGTACAAAAACACGTTAAAGCTTTAGACACAATAGACAAAGATTCTTCTATAGCTTACGTAATTAAACAAAATTTGGTTGAACAAACAGAAAGAAAACAGAGAGGAGGAATTGAACAACAAAGATTACATTGGGATCCGAGAAATGCGAGTAGAACACCTTCAGCGAAGAAAATGCCCCATTTGAAATTTAGATATGATACGCCTATTAATGCTTGTAAGGATTTTTTCTTGAAGAAAATCAGAATTTTTATTAAAATTAGAATTTCTGATAAATAGAAAATCAGAATTAAAAATGAACTCTGATGGATAATTATAAAATCAGACTTTCTGATCAGAATTCTGGTCTATCCAAAAGGAGTCAGAATAAAAAACCAGAAATTTTATCAAGTCATTGTTGTGTATGGGCGTCAGCCCTTAAAGTGTTTAGTATAAAAGCCAGTGAAAACGTCAGTAGTGGGATCATACTAGCGGGGCTAGTCACTGATCTCCTTCGTCTGTCCCATTCCCTTCGCCTACACATTGTTCTTTTCTAACAAATAAGTGTGATAAATTGTTATTGTTGTGTCAGTTGACATTAGTGAATCTCGGACGACCTCGGGTCGTAACAGTCATAGTTCTGATTTGCAATTGGAAAATCAGAATTAGTATTTGAGGCTGAATTCCAACCTATTAAAAAATCAGAATTTTTACAAAGTCAGAATTTTCATTTAATAAAAAGATCAGAATTCATTAAAAAATACCAAAATCCTGGTTAATTTAGAAAAATCAGAATTTATTTTCTATAACCACAACTTCATTTTCCTTTTTCAGCCCCATCAAGGCATTTAAATCGGCCAAAGCCTTGGATTTTTTGGAAAAATGGTAGCGGGGAGGAACGTGCAGCAACAACAGCAATTCCAAGTTTCCATTTACCACAAAGCAGAATGTGTACAATGGATGGAAGTGCTAGGGCTGTAACAATGCCTGACGGCTATGGATATTATGCTGGTGGCGGGGGTGGAGCTGATACAACAATTAGCACACATTATTCTGATCGTGAGAAGAAAAATTTTCTTTAAAACTAGAGATAGAACTTTTTAGAGATCAATTTAGATCGAATTCCTAATTCTTTCGAGAATTTTTAAATAAGATCTCGTCTCGGTCCGTTCTCTAATTGAAACGTTGGTTATGATAATGGGACGTATTATTATCAAACTTATATCGACATTCTTTGGGTAGTCCTCTTAGGAGATGTCTTCTTAAATATAGCATCGGTTTCATCATCCCTAGGGTTGGCAGATCCTGGGAAATCCAAGAATATCCGAACGGAAAATTTTCGGTCCATACTTTTATTGCCAATCAATCTTGACCATCCCACCCGGACAACAAAATTTTTAATCAAATTTCCCTCACAACAGATTCTCTCGATATGTCAGCTGCAGTAAGTGGTGCTACTGCCAGTCCCGCTTATCTACGCAGTTCATTACCAGATATGTCAAAGCCAGTAAAAATATACCCATTAGAGCATTTACAAACTACAAATAAACAATTGCCTGAAGACGTGAGGAAAAAAATTTTTTGAATTAAAAATTTTTTTCATTCATTTTAAGGTAGATCGCCAACATTTGGAACGCCATTTGGGTAGGGATGAATTCGATAAATGTTTTGGTATGACACCGATAGAGTTTTACAAATTGCCAGAGTGGAAACGTATAAACCTTAAAAGAAAGCACAAGCTTTTTTGAAAAGGGAAATTCTGATTTTCTAAAAATTCTGATTTTTTTCGGCGCATTTTTCTGGTCTTTTTCCTGAGCCAAAATTTTTAATAGAAATCAAAAAAATTTAATAGTACATTCGAGTCTCTATCTCTTTCCGAATCTTTTTAATTTATTAAAATCCCCTCTTATCACGGCATTTTTAATTTATCTTCGCTCTTGTTTATCCCAATCTTTTATCCCAGGCGTGTTCTTCTCCCTGGTTTTCATCCTAGACGTATCCCTCACACTTTCTGATTTATCCTCTGCTAATATCCCATCAAGGCAACCCCAAGGATAGAGATTTCAAATGTATTCTAATCTAAACTAATAATTAAAATTAATTTTTTAAAATATTTTCCCCGTTCATTTTTCTTTTTTTCGAAACGGGGGAGTCTAACAAAATCACCGTCCAATCATATTTTTATATAGCTTTGTTTGCCCAAAATCAAAAAATAATGTAAATAGTGGAACTAGCCTAGTTTTTACTAAGATAATTTTCAGTGTCTCTTTGGAGAAGAGGAGAGTTTTCTAAATCGTAAAAATTTTTATCCAAGTTGCTATCCGCATTTCTTGCGGAATCCGCATTTTTGGAAATTTGTTTTTTTATCCCTTTTGATATAAGAAAATTTCAAAATTTAAAGGTTCCACTATTTATCTTAAATTTATTTTTGCTTGAGGGTTTTTAATTTGCAATTTTCCTTATTTGATTATTTTGTTTTTTTTTTTGCTTTTTTCCAATAAAAAGATTGCGAAAACTAATTTTTATTTGCAAGTTAAAAAGTACATATTTAAAAAGGTAACTAAAAACTAAAGAAATACTGACAAAAAGAAAGGGGAATTTGATTATAATATCCTGAATTGGGGGCAATCAAATCTAAAAATTTAATTATTTAAAAAAGAACCTTTCAATTTTGTTAATTTTAATTAGAAAAAATTATTTGAAAATAACAAAAATTGAGTTCTATAACACAGGAGTATGGGCCCTGCCGAATTTTAAAAAGCAGAGGAAAGCTAATCCCTATTCTATAACCTTAAAATCACAAAAATTGTTAGGGACCAAAGAAAAAAAAACAAAAAACTTTTTAGACCAAAGTTTTACTATCCAGGTTAGACTGTATTCTAAAAAAGATAGACAGAATTGAAAGGTTGAAAAAAACTTTTTTATCACAAAATATTATTCACCTATTTGTCTAATCCATATATTTTTAAGTAATTATTAAATAACTATGATATATCTAAATGAAAATTTTAAGTGGCAAGAGAAAAAGATAACTAAAAGGGTTGCCGTGAAAGAAATTCTTTGTGGTTATTCATTCAATTCTTGATTTTAATTTTTTTCTGGGTTACCAAAAAAATTTTTTTGTGCCGAAAATTATGATCTAACAGAAAAATCTTTTTAAACAGAAAAAAATTTTTTTGAATTTTTCCTCCCATTTTTTTTTAAATTTCTGCCTAAAAATTCATTTCAATTCCAAAGCAACCCTCTCAATTAATTTAAGGGACTTTGACTAATTTATTATTGCTCTAACTACTAATTTTAAACTAAAGAAATAAATTTTTAGAACCGAGCTGATTATAATAAAAATGTTTTAACTTTCCTATTCTAAGAATAAATCCAATTTTTAATTTGAAGAAAGTGAAAAAAGCAGCAAAACAGGCTGAAAAATTAAAAGAATAATTAAAAAAGAATTCCCCCTTCCTTACTTTATGATCTCCAATACAATCATCCATTGCAAATGAACGATAAAATTTGTTGCAATTTAAAGAATCATTGTTTAAATGATTTAAAAGATTACAAGCATTATTATTAAATAATATTCTGTCACACCAAGCGGGGGCTCTGAAAATTAAAAAAAAAATTTTTTTTGTGAATTTTTGGAAAAAAACAAATTTTTATTTTAGCAGTAGTTTGGAGCCCTCTCCCTAAAAAGAAATTTTTCTTACAATAGTGTCAAAAAACAATGTCTAAATGAACCCCAAATACGGTTTCTGGATCTCTTCCCTCTTATAAATTCGAAATTCGACTTTTAAATAAGTTTTGTGCATTAGTACAAAAGTCTTGGTTAACTAAACTTTGCTTGGGGGTTAGCTTTGGCTTATAGTTTAAGGATGTCACGGGCTGAGAAAAAAAAGTAAGATTTTAGGGTCGAACTTCGGATTAGATTTTCAGAAATTTCCTCGGATTTTAAGTCGAAAAAAGGGTCAGGGTTTTGAGTGATCCGTGATTATCCCGTCGTAGTTTTGAGTAGAGTTGAACAAAACCGGTTAACCGCTCGGTTAATTTTTCCCAGTGGCTGATCCTTTTCTCATTCTTCTCTTTTTGACCCGCCACAGGGAAAAATTAACCCGGCGGTTAACCGGTTTTGTGCAACTCTAGTTTTGAGGTTGAATTTCTGATTTATTTAAATAAAAGTCTTGGAAAAATTCTCGATCTTATACATTTCCAAAGTTTTGTCATTAGGGCCAAATCTCATTTTCAATGAAATTTTGTGATCTAATCCTCAAATGTCTGAGGAAAAACCAAAATTTTAACCTAGTTTTCATCAAAGTATTATGATTTCCCGGCTCTTCACTCCATGGATATGTCGGTGGAAATTGTAAAAATAATTCTTTCAATGGAAATTCATTTAATTCACAATCATCCTTTTTAAAATTAAAAAATAAAAATTATTTGTTAAAAAATTAAAAAAAACCTCTCTATAAACTTTCCATTCACTCAAAAGCCATTTTTCATCAAAATATTCAAAGCGTTTTCTACCAACACGTAATACCCAACTTGAAAATTAAGAAAATTAAGATTAAACTTAAAAATTTTGGGTTCAATCCAAGGGCTTAGCCAGAAGGTTGATTTCAGGTGGGGCTACTATGGGGTATGTGTCAGTGCCGCAGGCGAAAATTTTGAGAATTTAGTGGGTTGTGGGCGTAAAAATTCACTTTTCTAATCATTTTCCTCCTAAAATTTTTTTACTTTTCCCATTTCAGGTGAGGGTTATAGCCCCAGAAGCCCACCTGACTACGCCCTTGCCTCAATCCGCAAATTTTTAGAAAAAATTCCTGGTAATAGAAAATCTACAGAGACACAATCATTTTATGAGAAAAACAAGTCAAAGGACAACTTATCGGACAAATAATAATTTTAAATAATTATTCTAATAATGACCCCCCAAAAAATCCAAAGCCTTTGAAAACTCTTCGTAATAATATGATTAGGCAAAAAATTTTCCTGAAGTAGGGTTAACAGTAATAAGCTTAAAAATACTCTTCCTCATGGAACAATTCCCTGACTTTTATTCCTGAATAAATAAATTCTATTCCGTGACAAAGTAAATTCTAATCAAAAACCTCAATCCGCAATTTTCCCAATCTCCCCCTAAAATCAAAGCCTTTGAAAAATATCAGTGGCAGGGAATTTTTTTAAAAGGAAAGCTAACAGTAATAAGTCCAAAAAATAATCATTTCCTGGAACAATTCCCTGATTTTTCTAATCTAGACTTTATGTAAATAAATTCAAACGAAAACCAAAATCCGCAATTTTTGTCCGCAAATTAAAAAATTCAGAACAACCAATTCTTCACATTCTAACCCTCTTTCCTCATAAAAAATAAACACAAACAAACCTAACATTTCCTCTTTGCGCATCAAAAGGACTTAGATACGACCTCATTAAAGGTTTGTAATATTCTATAATTGAATTTCTTCTTCTCGTAGACGTATTTAAACAAAAATTTGTTTCATTTATTTCATCCATATCATCACAAGAAGTTCTCAATTCATCAGTTTCTGAACTGCTAGCTGAAGGATCTGTTGAGGAAGGCAAAAATTGATTTTTTGAATTTGTTGAATGTTCTAATAAAGAAATTTCTTCTTCGTCTAAAGTTGATAAATCTGAAGTTGAAGTTGTTGAACTTCTTGAATTTGTTTGTTGTTCTACAATTGGTGGACAGAGCAAAATTTGGCGGTCGTTTGTTTGCCTTGTTAATTTCTAAAATTTGGAAATTTTCGAATTTTAAAGAAAATCCGCAAGTTTTGTCCGCAAATAAGTTGCGGATAGAACTTGCGGATTTAAACATTTTTAAAATTTTTTTCAAGCCTTTTTAAAATAAAATTTCTAAAGACCTTTACAAACGAAGCAAAATCCAATCTAAAATTAAAATCGCCAAAAACGAATAAATTACTAGCTCCTTCAATTGTACCTCCATTAAATTTTTCAAATTTTTGGAGAACATAATTAAAAGCATTTTTTCTGTTATTGCTGTAGAGGGTTGGATTCTGAAATGAAAATTAGAATTATTACAGGAAATAAAAAAAGCTTAAAGTTAACCAAAATATAGGGGATAATTTGTTAATTTTAAAGTAGGGTAGCTCCCCAAGCCTTCGGGTCGGGTGTGTCGGGGATCGGGGTTTGCCGGGAAGGGCATTTCGGGGTTGACTTTTGGGTCGGGGTTCGGTGTCAGGGAGCTACCCTACTTTAAAGTTTGTCCGCAAAATTCTTGTGGACAATACCAAGGGCGTAGCCGGGAGGGCTTCAGTCTTCCCTGGAAATGACTCCCTGGCTACGCCCTTGGACAATACTAATCCTAACATAAGCAGGGGTGCACGAAAATTTTTTGTCAAGGAAAGAAAAAGAAAGCCTTTCTTACTTTCCTTAAAGCTAGGAAATAAGGAAATTTTCTAAGAGATGTTCTTATAAAAATTATGTTCCTATAAAAATTATCCCCAAAAAATTAAAAAAACCTCTAAAAGATTCAAATTTGATTCATCATGAAATAAATGAATATTAATCAAATCAAAAATTTTTTCATCAAATTTCCATCTTGTATGTAAAAATCCTTTTCTTCCAAACCGAAAAGACGGCCAAAAATCTCTAGAAAATTTTTCTTTTCTAACAAATCCAGAACGATTTAATCCAGAAGTTAAAATTAATTGAGAATATTTTGAGTCAACAATTGGAATAAATTTGCGTTGTTTAAAATTGAATTGTTGAACAAGTTTAACAGCAGATTCGTGAATGAAGAAAAGAGAAGAGAGGGCCTAAAAATTGGAAAAAATGGATAGGGATAAAGAAGTGAAGAGTTGAGCACTTGAATGTTTTCCAGACAATTATGCGGGGAAAAAATTTTTTGCGGACAGTTAATTGAAAAGCAAAGTAAAAATGATCTAAAATAGGGTTGGGGTTTGAGAGTCGGGCCGACGTCCGAGTCTATTTTTTCGGGCTTCATTTTTGGGACACGCCCAAGTAGGCGCGCGGCCAAGTAGGCGCAAAGCCATAACTAGCTTGATAATTTCTGGACCGTAACAATTTTGGTACCATCTTTCTAGCTCGATGAGAGGATTCGTTTAATACTAAATTTTGAAAGAGTAAGAAATCTTGAAGCAAGTTAAGACGTTGCGTCTACTTCATTTTTATCGGACCGGACCACGGGCTTCATTTTTATTCCGCAAATTATCATGTTGTCTGCAAAAAGTAGCGTCCTCATAAAAATCCATAGGGAAGAAGAAACTCCCTCCCTCTACATCAACGATGGACCACACTTTTTTCAACCTGAACCCCAACCCGTTTTTTCCCTAGCGCGACCTCCCCTCCTCTAAACTAAAAAGCAAACCGTAAATTCCTCAATAAGTTCACATTGAATATCAAGAAAACACCTCGAAACAACATAACCTTCAGAAGCCAATCGTTTTTGTAATTCATCCACAAGTACCGGCATTTCCTTAGCATTTAATTTGTAATTCTTCCCCCCACTCTCTTGAAGGTGTAAAGCAACAAAAGAAGGACAATTTAAAATTATTTCTTTTGTTAGTTGACTTAGCCAATATTTGCGGCATCCTCCTTTCTAAAGAGGGAATTTTTTCTAAATTAATCTTTAAAAGAGACCCTTACATTTTCAAAAAGAGAACCAACATTCGAAGTAAGAAGTAGAATTTTGTGTTGAATCATCTAAACAATTTGTTAAAATTTAGAAGGATGCCGAAAGGCTTTTTTAATTAAAGGAAATTTAGGCAAGTTCACGTGACTCTAAATGGTTGGGATTAAATGTCATTTTTATTTTTTGTTGGCATTCTGTATTTTAGAAAAAAATTTAAATTTGAGGGGTTTAAAAACTGGAGTTTCTGACTACTGTAGTACCGAGTTGAGGTTTATTAAGGTTGAAATTGTTCAGAAGTTGTTCAGTTTGTTCAGATAATGGTCTTCAATCATTTCATTTTTTCCAACTTATTTAAATTATTCTAGAAGTAACTTTAGATGAAGTTTAGGACAAATAGAGATTAAGGATGTACTCTCGGCACTGATCTCTAAAATGATTCATACAACGTGTTTATGCCATGGGCTTAACCGTGAGCAAGATTTAGATCGAAAGATTTAGAGGAAATAAGATGGATATTGATAATTTGTGGATTAGGAGGAGTTCAAGAAATTTTGAAAAAAGATAGATTTGTTTTGAGTCCCTAGGTATAACCTAAAAATCCCATCCTTAGTGAAATTAAAATACATTTTTTAAATTAAGTTTTTCCTTTAATTTCATTTTCGTGAAAATTTTTTTCTTTTTAAATTTTTCTGTTTACTTTTTTAAAAGTATTCTTAGGGGTATTATCTATGTTTTTTGACAAAAGAATTTTAAATCTTTAAAATTTTATCGAGATAAAGCTTCTCGAAGGCGGTAGGGGACACTTCAGTCCCGGGACGTTTCAGTCCCTAGCTCTATAACTCGAGAAGGTTCGAGTAGTTTTTGGGACTCTTGGTATCGTTGGATAGAGGATTAATTAAGCTACAAAATAAGCTATTGATCAAAAAATTTGATCGTCAGGTACCAAAGTTATGATAAAAAAACATGCAAAAAAATGACTTTTTTAAAAAACGGCGGTTTTTTGACAATAACTTCATTATCAGTTGATAAGATTATTTTATCTTTGGTATCATTTTGTAGAGAATCTAATCCTCTATCCAATGATACTAAAAGTTTAATAAATTATTTCCATTTCCCGAGTTACATGCTCGGGACTGAAACGGCCAGGGACTGAAGTGGGACGTTCCGTCTCGAAGGTGTATGTGAATATTTTTACAAAATGGAACGCAAAAGAAATGGACCAAAAAAGGAGTTTTATCTATTTCATTGAGGCCCAAACACTCGGTTGCTTGTTTGGTTGTGTTGTACAAGGGATACTACCAAAAAAGCTCCTAGGTTGTTCACAAGCAAAAAGTCTCATAGGTTGTTCACAAGCAACAACTTTTTTCTTTTCAATTTGTTTTTCTTCGTTTAAAGCTAAAGACTCGAGTAAATGAATAGCAAGATCATTATTAAGAGATTTAAATTCTTTCCATTCTTTACTGACTAAGAAGCTTTGCCTATTAGCAGAAAGGAAATTGACACAGGCCTGTTGAAATGGTTTGAATATTTAAAATGTTTATACTAGGCATAGGTTATCTTTAGCTTCAGCAGAATTCCGCTTTTTTGGACCGCTTCCGCTTTTTAAAATCTTTTGATATCCTATAAGGTCAGTGTCGTATATAAAGATGGCGGTTCACAGGGAATCTCCGGATCAGACATGCACGAAACTCCAAAATTTTTTCAGACGAAACGAAACGAAACAAAATTTTTTAAAAATCGTTTCGTTAACGAAACGAGACGAAACAGTAAAAATTTAGCGAAACGAAACGAAACAAAACGAAACATTTTAACTTTCGAAAAATTTAATAAAAACGGTTTTATTTTATTAAATATTAGATTTTAGACACGTTAAATAGGCCAGTTATGGCCTATAATTGATCTAATAGCTTGGCGGGATCTTAAATTGTGGTCCCAGGTTACTCATACTCCACTATATCAGCCTTAATTCCACCAAATCAACTTTAATCGAATTATGTGTTGAGAATATGTGTATATCAGGGACCTGCCGACCCGTTTCCTGATTCCTTAAAATCGTAAATTAATTTTGTCAGAAATTCCTCTAAACCCGTTCCTGATTCCCGACATTTTTTTAAAAATTTTAAACCCTACAAATCCACCGATATCCCGTTTACTCTCTCCCAATTTCCTATAACACCAATGATCTAGCCAAATCCAATGATATTTCTCAACTCAGATTTTTTGTTGATAACAACGTTCATGATTAGCGTTTGATTCATGATTGATAACAACGTTCATGATTACAACGTTCATGATAGATAACAACGTTCATGATTTATTAAAACTAAACTTTATTGAAACTCTTGCGCCTGCCCTGATTGGCATTAAGAGGTAGATCGATTCTATATGCCTAATCTAGCATAGAATTTAAGCTTTGCATATTAAAAAAACAAAATCAAACGAGAAATTCTAAAAAATATAGTGAATTATGCGCCGTAGGTGCTTAAAATCCAGATTTCAGCGCCGCAGGCGAAAATTTTTTGAATTTTGATCACCAAAGGGGAAAATTTTTCAATTTTTGGGTAATATTTTGGTCTAAAAAATGGGTAATGTTTCGTTAACGAAACACAGGTGTTTCGTTAACAAAACGAAACGAAACAATCTAAAAAGTGTTTCGTCACGAAACGAGACGAAACAGGAAAAAACATAACGAAACTAACGAAACAACGAAACGAAACGTTTCGTGCATGTCTGGTTCGGAGCGCCTTAAAAATTGAATTTAAACAAACTCGACAAAAAGCGACCATCTAGCATAAAATGTCCGTGTTTATCTAAATCATATAATTTCCATTCAATTTTACAAGTAATTGATTCAAACTAAAAATAATTATTTATTTAATATAAAAATTAATTTAGAAACCGTTGACACATCAGAAATCATTTTTATAAATTATCTGAAATTAAAAAAATTTTTTATTCACCGATGTTTTTATATTTAAATTGAAGGCCTTTAAAAGCCTTTTTAAAGACTAATCATTTCTACTAAAACTCCAAAACTTGTATAACTCGCCCAAAGTTAATCTCGCATGGAATAATTGAGAAAATCAACAGTAAAACCCGTTTCAGTATAACCGTTTAAGTCTACGGCCGTTTCAGTATAGTTTCAATCGGCAGGACTCAGTCGCCCTCCGCCGCTAAGTGTACAGCCCAAATAGTCGTGCGGTCACCGAGCCATAACTTGCTAAAAAATTTCTGGCCCTAATCAATTTTGATACCAATCTCTTTAGCTCGATGAGAGGAATCGTTTAATATTAAATTTGGAAAGTTTCGGAAATCTTAAAGCAAGTTATGGCTTGGCGACCTTATGGCCGCGCGACTATTCGGGCATGTCCCGCCGCTAATTAAGGCTTGGACGGTTGGGGTCAAGTGAGTCCCGCCGGTTGAGTCACATTTTGGGCCATAACTTTTTGGATTTCCAACCAATTCGAATAAATCTTTTATCATTTAACAAAAAGTTACATTTAGATAAGTGCGCTCAATTGTATTTTTGATCTTTATTAGGCTGTAACTTTTTGTATGTTGATCTGATCAGATCATTCCAGTTAGATAAAATAATCTTTAGATCAAGAGCTTTCATTGATATATTAAACATCTAAATTAATTGAGAATATACAAAGTTATGGCCCAAAATATGGTAATCATGTAGAATCTTGGATACACCTTAAAAATACATTAAGACTTAATATTTTTGGTAATCCTTAAGATCATTGGTCCCTAGGAAAAAATGCTAAAAAAGTGCTCTTTCGATATTTTTAAGGCTTGCCAGTAGGTAATCGAGTGTGCTGGGTCCGAATATGAGCTTAGAATTTGTTTATTTCGAACCCCAAACCCGAATTCGACCATGTCGAATATGGGGTAAAAATTCGAAATTTCAAAATTCTTTATTTAATCGGATTCGTCTCTTCGAGTTCAATCGATTGGTATCAAAATCATTACGTTTCGACATCTTTAGACTAAGTTATGGTGTCTGATTTATATACGTAAGTCTGACCAAGCGTGTATTTAATTCATCATAACTCAGCCTAAAGTTGTCGAAACACAATAATTTTGATATCATTCGACTCAGCTTGAAGAGACGTGTCAGAATAGCATTAGTCTAATAGTTTCGAATTTTTACCCCATATTCGACATGGTCGAATTCGGGTTCGGGGTTCGAAATAAACAAATTTTAAGCTCATATTCGGACCCAGCACACTCGATTACCCACTGGCAAGCCTTAAAAATATCGAAAGAGCACTTTTTTAGAATTTTGATCTTAAGGATTACCATATTTTTTTCTGAAAATAATTTTTTATAGGTAATCGACCATCCTGAGTCCGAATCTGAACTTCGATTTTGTTTATTTCGAACCCCGGAACCGAATTCGACCAAGTCGAATTTGGGGTAAGAATTCGAAATTAAAAATTTAGGGCTAATCTGACACGCCTATTCGAGCTGAGTCGATTGGTATCAAAATTATTCAGTTTCGACAACTTTGGACGAAGTTATGATCAATTAAAACGTTGGGTTAGACTTCCGTATACAAATCAGACACCATAACTTCGTCCAAAGTTGTCGAAACTGAATAATTTTGTTCCAATCGACTCAGCTCGAATAGGCGTGTCAGATCAGCCATAAATTTTTAATTTCGAATTTTTTACCCCGAATTCGACTTGGTCGAAATCGGGTCCGGGGTTTGAAAAAAACAAAATCTAAGCTCAGATTCGGACTCGGCATGGTCGATTACCCATAAAAAATGATTTTCAGAAAAAACAAGCAAATTTTTTAGGTGTATCCCAGATTCTACATGATTACCCAAAATATAACCCCGGGTCAATCTGCGTGACTCGATTATAGATCGGAACGGGGCCGGGACCCGGACCGTTTCCCGGTTTTCGAGTCCCTTTTACCGGGTTTTTTGAAGCAACCGGGAACGGGAATTCCCGTCCGTGTCTCTCCCGGTCAACTTTCAGAACCTGTTTCCCGGACCCGGTTTTTCCAAAATTCGGATATACTTTAGTCTACCGGACGCGGAAAAAATACATGAAACCGGTACCATTCGATTCGTCTCACCAAGCTGAGTCGAATGGTACACTCTCCATCTGCGGAAATGCCTACGAGCCGAGATATAGGTCCCCGAAAATCGAAAAACCATAGGGGGGAGTAAGGTCAATTTTGGGGTAAAAAATCGATTTTTTGAATGATAGCTCATTCGAAAGAGCTCCTCGAGCTGAGACGAATGACACCAAATCAGCTCGAGATCTTAATTCTGAGCCAAAATAAACAGGCTCAAAATGGTCAACTAAACCTATGGAGCGTCGGCGAGGCGCTTGTGCAAAACTCCGCGCTTCGCGCGGAGTTTTGCGGCACGCGCCTCGCGGGGAGTCTACGGGCGCTGGGTCTGGGCTCGTAACATAAACCTATTCCTATCTCCCTTGCTCTGGACGTATTTGGGGCCTCCGTAGCAGCAAAAATCTCCATAGATGCCATAGGTAAGGAGCTAAAATAAAAGATCATAACTTTGTCCAATCAAGTCGGATTTCGTTGATTTTGGTGTCATTCGACTCAGCTCGAGGAGCTCTTTCGAATGAGCTATCATTCAAAAAATCGATTTTTTTACCCCAAAATTGACCTTACTCCCCCCTATGGTTTTTCGATTTTCGGGGACCTATATCTCGGCTCGTAGGCATTTCCGCAGATGGAGAGTGGTACCATTCGACTCAGCTCGGTGAGACGAATCGAATGGTACCGGTTTCATGTATTTTTTCCGCGTCCGGTAGACTAAAGTATATCCGAATTAAATTTTTAAAGAAACACTCGAAAAACATTCAAAAGATTTATTTGCCATTGCACATAAATACCAAGTAAAACAATTAATGGATGTTTGTGAAGATTATATGATCTCAACTATTGGTAAAAATAATTTTTACCTTTGTGTTTCATCTAAAATTTTAGCTGCTCAAAACTTTAGCCAGTTCTTTCTTTTTGCTGAATTATATCGTCTTTCAAAACTTGAAAGGGTAAATTAAGTTATTTTATATTTTTTTGACAATTGCGGATAATTTTAAATTTGCGGACAAAGTTTGCGGACTGTGTAATATACATTAAAGTATCCGCATTGGACGTCTAAAGGGCATTTTATTTTAAAAAATCATGAAAATTTTGATGGGTATAAACCAGAGATGGACCCTCCCGATTTTATAAAGCGGAATTCTGTGGAAAGCTCATCCCTGGAATAGTCGCCACTAATTTTTCAGGCTTGTGTTAATTTCCTTTCTGGTAATAAACAATGTTTCTATTTTTTACCTTAGTATTTTTCGGTTCCGGATCAGACATGCACGAAACGTTTCGTTTCGTTGTTTGGTTAGTTTCGTTATGTTTTTTCATATTTCGTCTCGTTTCGTGACGAAACACTTTTTAGTTTGTTTCGTTTCGTTTTGTTAACGAAACACCTCTGTTTCGTTAACGAAACATTACCCATTTTTTAGACCAAAATCTTACCCAAAAACTGAAAAATTTTCCCCTTTGGTGATCAAAATTCAAAAAATTTTTGCCTGCGGCGCTGAAATCTGGATTTTAAGCGCCTACGGCGCATAATTTACTAAATTTTTTTGAATTCCTCGTTTGATTTTGTTTTTTTAATATGCAAAGCTTAAATTCTATGCTAGATTAGACATATAAAATCGATCTACCTCTTAATGCCAATCAGGGCAGGCGCAAGAGTTTCAATAAAGTTTAGCAACTAATGGCAATGATCATGAATATGGTTGCCTTTTTTCGGGCCTGTTTCTATCGATTCGGGCAAGACGAGTCTTTTCGGGCCAAATATCTTAGGCCCGACTCGATCTTTTGGTCCGAGTCGGTCAGTTTTGCCAACCCTAATCATGAACGTTGTTATCAAAAAAAATCTGAGTTGAGAAATATCATTGGCTTTGGCGGGAGCAATGGTGGTATAGGAAATTGGAAGAGAGTAAACGGGATATCGGTGGATTTGGAGGGTTTAAAAAATTTACAAAAATGTCGGGAATCAGGAAGGGGTTTGGGGGATAGTAATTTCCGACAAAATTAATTCCCGGTTTTAGGGAATCAGGAAACGGGTCGTGATATACACATATTCTCAACATAATTCGATTAAAGTCGATTTGGTGGAATTAAGGCTGATATAGTGGATTATGAGTCAAACGCGAAAGTTTTTTAGCCTGGGACCACAATTTAAGGTCCCACCAAGCTATTAGATCAATTATAGGCCATAACTGGCCTATTAACGTGTCTATAATTGAATAATTAATAAAATAAAACCGTTTTTATTAAATTTTTTGAAAATTAAAATGTTTCGTTTTGTTTCGTTTCGTTTCGCTAAATTTTTACTGTTTCGTCTCGTTTCGTTAACAAAACGATTTTTAAAAAATTTTGTTTCGTTTCGTTTCGTCTGAAAAAATTTTGGAGTTTCGTGCATGTCTGTTCCGGATATCTAGAATCGAGAAAAGTCCGGATAACCGTACACAGTTTTTAGTTCGGATATCGGTTCCGGATATCCGGAGATTCCCTACGAACGATTCCCTATTCCTTATACGACATTGACTTTATAACATATCAAAAGATTTAAAAAGCGGGAGGGCCTAAAAAGCGAAATGCTTTGGAGGCGGGAGACAGCCCATCCCTAGTATAAACATTTCTTCAACTAATTATTCAAATCAATTTTACAGGCCTGTGTCAATTTCCTTTCTGATAATAAAAAAAGCTTCCTGGTCAGTAAAGAATGGAAGGAATTTAAATCTCTTAATAAAGATTTTGCTATTCATTTACTCGAATCGTCAGCTTTAAACGAAGACAAACAAATTGAAGAGAAAAAAGTTGTTAATACTTATGTTTGCTCGGATTGTGAACGGCGTAGGAATCATCCCTATTACCCTTGGGGTATTCCTTGTCCTCAACAGCAGCAATTAACCCAACAACAAGTGCATCCTTATCCTTACAGCACAACCGAACCCAAGCACACCCACTTACCTCAACAAAAAGGTTTCCAGTGAAACTGAAATAATTAAAACTTTTTTCGCTATTTCTTTCGTTTGCTATTTTGATAAAGATTTCAACTGTGAGAACTTGAAAATCTAGGGCTATAAAATTATGCTCGGCAAAAACAGATAATACGATCCTAACTGTTTCGGAATTTCGATTTTCGAGGGTTTTTTTCTTTTGATTTTGGCGATATTTTCGAATTTTTGAAAAAATCTGAATTTTTGGCGCTAAAAAGTAGAATTGATCTAGGCGCCAGATACAGGTTTATTTGAGTTTAATTGAAAGTTTAAAATAAGTTTTTAACTTAGTTGAAGTATGAAACCTCGCGCGTGAACTCGCGCTTTCCTTTAGAATTGAGGAACAATAAAAGGATTACTATTGAACAAGTATGAAATCCTATTGAGTTTCTTATTGCGTGTTCCCATTATATTCACTTATTTTTATTTTTACTACTCAGGATTTTCAAAATAAGTGATTCGACTTTTTTTCTAGTTTCGTTTAAATTATTTTTCAGAGTTAACTATAAATTTTATTTATTTTTCATCTTTTGTTTAGAAATTTTCAGCTTCCGTTCTACTACACATATTTTTTTATTTAGTTTGAAAATTTTAGTGTTGATATTTTGGATTTGACCTTTTGGGTCTCCATTTTCCCATCTATTTCCCCAGACTTGCTTATCGTCATTATAGTACTATGTCCTTTTCCACCCAAACATTTTACATTTTTTGACCTCTTTAGAGAGAAGCCATTATTCTAGTCCTAGCCCCATTGACTATGCATTGCTTGTATTTAATAGACAAATTTATATTAATATTTATTCTGGGTTTTCCTCTGTATTTCTGAGAGTTGGATTTCATAGGTCTTATCTGATATCCTCAGTAAATCTGAAAGAGATGAACCTAATACAAAGTTTTAAGTTAAGACAACATTTAAGTTTGTCTAAGTATTTAGTTTTCTATATATTAAAGCTCGGACATAACAGTGCCCAACTCTACTGTTTACTAAATTTTGCGGATTTAAAACAAGACGGGACTTGAATTTTCGCATACCAGAACAATTTTTCTCATAAAAATCTGATAAATATTAAATTTAGACAAAAAAAACTTCTTTCCAAATTCATACTCAACAATATAAATTTTTTAGATTTTTTGTTTATTTTTGTGAAGTTGAATTTGTTCCTTACAATATGACTTCACTACGGTCCTTAACTATGTTCAAAGAGGGAATACTTACTGATTGTGTTGTTGAGATACGTTTTATTTTTAATTAAGAGTAACTAATACTCAATAGGGGGTTTGAAATTGTTTAGGCTGTTTCGAAATTTTGATTTTCGGAAATTTGACTTTATTATGCTAAAAAGAAGGGATTCTGTCTATTGGCCTTCTAAAATTTTCAAACATTTCACCTTCGGAGCTAAAAGGAGGAATCTCTGATTTGCCAAGTTTCTGCCATCCCTAACTCTATATGGCAACCATTAACAAGTCCACATTCCCTTATCCGATTCTTCATTAATTCAAAAACTTGATTTTAATTAATTTCCAATTACAAATTAATTTCTAAAACCTACAAAAAATTTTTAAATTATTCAAATAAATATTTTTAGATTGGAAACGAATCAGTAAACACACATAATTTTATTTTGGCAAAAAACAGTGTTGTATTCCAAAGAATGTTTGAATTTCAAAAAATGTTTGAACAAATGGGAATATCTGAAGTACAGAATGTAATTTTTTAATGTTTTTAATTAATCGGTAATTAAATTATTTGCAATTTTTGCCTGTCACGGGAACATTAAGCAAGATTTTTTGAATTAACGCCCCTCTATACTAGACCCCCTCCTCCTTAATAAAGGAGGATTGTTGAAAATAGTGCCACGGGGAAATACGTATTTTCTTAGAGACGAAAAATCGCAGAGCTACAGGTCCGTGAAAACTGAAGTACCATAGGAAACTTAACTTATCTTGAGGTAAAAAATTAGAATATAAAAATGATAGGTCGTTCGAAAGAGCTCGTCGAGTTAAGTCCATCTCTGACATTTCGTTATTTTCTATGAAATTTTCTCTATTTATGTATTTAAAAATTTAAAGGGTAAAATCAAAATTGTTGATACTTCTCCAGAATGTTTTAAAGCAATGCTGGAATATTTTTATAGTGGGGAAATTGATAAAAGTATTTTTAAATTAATTGATATGTAGCTAAATAATTTTTAATGACTAAAAATTAAATATTTAAAGAAACACTCGAAAAACATTCAACAGATTTATTTGCTATTGCACATAAATACCAAGTTAAACGATTAATGGATGTTTGTGAAGATTATATGATCTCAACTATTGGTAAAAATAATGGTACTTATCCGTTATACCCCTCAAATTTTTTTCTTAATTTCCTTCTCCCTTCTCCATAAAATAAGTTAAAAATTTTTAGGTTAGATTCTCTGGCAATATAAGTAAACTATTCCCATAAAAGACAACGTTGAAGATGTCCCCGATAAGGAACTGAGGCCGAGAATCCCGACTATCACTAACAGCTGGGTACTTACGCCATGGAGTATGGTTCGTGCTTTGCAGCAATTTGGTCCATCAGGAAAATCTGGTGACATTTTGGGGGATGACGGATAAATACCAAAATAATTTTCAACTGTTTTTCATCATAATTTTCTTTTAATTTTAGCTGCTGAAAACTTTAGCAAGCTTTGTCTTTTTGCTGAGTTATATCATCTTTCAAAACTTTCAAAGGTAGATTGTTTAATCTATTTAGTGACAATTGCGGATACTTTTAAATTTGCTGACAAAATTTGTTAGGCGCAAATACTTGTCCTCCGTATTGAACGTGTTGTGTCCGCACTTGCAGAAAGAACATAAATGAAAATAAATAACCCAGCATTGGGTTGGATGGTGGCAAAGTCGGTTGTGCTTTCGGTTTGGGCTCATTCCATGATGGTTCAATTCCATCTCCCATCCACAATTTTTCCACAGTATGAACACTCGGACATGACAGAACGTTTAAAAATCTTTTTAAAAAAATCATGAAAATTTTGGTGGATATAAACATTTTAAATATTTCAAGTAATTTCAACAGGCCTGTGTTAATTTCCTTTCTGCTAATAAACAAAGCTTCCTGGTCAGTAAAGAATGGAAAGAATTTAAATCTCTTAATAATGATCTTGCTATTCCTCATTTTCATTGGAAAGAAGTGGATCCATTTGATATCTCTTTCTCAGATTATTTGAATCCACTACAATTTTCATGATAATTTTTTTAAAAAGATTTAAGTGTATTCGATTAGATTTATTAAATCAAAAAATAGAAATAACATTTCTGTCTCTCTAGCGCTATATCTAATATTTTTCAGGGATGTGTTAATTTTCTTTCTGCTAATGAAGTCTTTCTTAACGGTAGAGAATGGGCTGAATTTAAATCTCTTAATAAAGATTTGGCTACTCGTTTGATGGAAGAAAATATTCTTGGTAGAAAAGGTAAAGAATAAAGCTCTTGTTCAATCACATAGCGATAAGTACCCAGTTCTTAGTGTTAGAACCAACGGTCCTGTATCGTATGTACCGTACTTCTGGGTGAGTAGAGCTTTCTTCCCATAGATTTCATGGTAGTGAAGAACCGGGTGCTTAGCGCCAGTGCTTTACATTAGACATTTTTTTGATAGAAACTATTTGCAACAAGAAAATTTCAGATTCATCAAACAAGAAGAAGAAAAGTGTTAAAGTTAGGAGCTTAAATGAAATGCAGGTAAAGGATTTGTTTGGAAGTTTAGAACAAGTTATCTTCTTATAAGTGCTTCTGCGGAAAATTAACTTAGATTTCATCTACTTTTTCGATTCAAGGAATTTGAAATTATTTTTGTATAGTAACCAATAGGATCGGAAAACCATTGGGTCTTCATGAAAAATAAAAATGGCCAAGAATGCTTTCAATATTTTCTACTAATATTTAAATTTTTAAAGTTAGAAGCGTTGGAACAATCGTTTGAAAGTTGTCCATTTCCCGACATTTATACAAGAGAGGAACTTGCTACGAATATTGGAATAACTGAAGCTCGAGTTCAAGTATGGTTTCAAAATAATAGAGCAAAGAAAAGAAGAGAAAGTAGAGAAAGAAGAGAAAATTTAATGAATAATAATTAAAAAATAATCTTAATTGTTGCTGAAAGGCATTCCAAATATAATCATTTTAACACATTAACTCATCTTTGAATAATTTTGGCCTTGAATACATCATGAAAATTGTTGTTTTACTCATTTTTGTAATATTCAATTTCACCGGACTGTTAATTTATGTTCTTAATAAATATTTGATTATCCAACTTCGGAACAGTATCATTGAGTCTAGAGGTCGGAAATTCGGATATACTTTAGTCTACCGGACGCGGAAAAAATACATGAAACCGGTACCATTCGATTCGTCTCACCGAGCTGAGTCGAATGGTACCACTCTCCATCTGCGGAAATGCCTACGAGCCGAGATATAGGTCCCCGAAAATCGAAAAACCATAGGGGGGAGTAAGGTCAATTTTGGGGTAAAAAAATCGATTTTTTGAATGATAGCTCATTCGAAAGAGCTCCTCGAGCTGAGTCGAATGACACCAAAATCAACGAAATCCGACTTGATTGGACAAAGTTATGATCTTTTATTTTAGCTCCTTACCTATGGCATCTATGGAGATTTTTGCTGCTACGGAGGCCCCAAATACGTCCAGAGCAAGGGAGATAGGAATAGGTTTATGTTACGAGCCCAGACCCAGCGCCCGTAGACTCCCCGCGAGGCGCGTGCCGCAAAACTCCGCGCGAAGCGCGGAGTTTTGCACAAGCGCCTCGCCGACGCTCCATAGGTTTAGTTGACCATTTTGAGCCTGTTTATTTTGGCTCAGAATTAAGATCTCGAGCTGATTTGGTGTCATTCGTCTCAGCTCGAGGAGCTCTTTCGAATGAGCTATCATTCAAAAAATCGATTTTTTTACCCCAAAATTGACCTTACTCCCCCCTATGGTTTTTCGATTTTCGGGGACCTATATCTCGGCTCGTAGGCATTTCCGCAGATGGAGAGTGTACCATTCGACTCAGCTTGGTGAGACGAATCGAATGGTACCGGTTTCATGTATTTTTTCCGCGTCCGGTAGACTAAAGTATATCCTTTAATTTTTTAGTCATTAAAAATTTATTTTTAAAAATACTTTTATCAATTTCTCCACTATAAAAATATTCCAGCATTGCTTTAAAACATTCTGGAGAAGTATCAACAATGTCGATTTTACCCTTAAAATTTTAGACACGTAAATGAACTATTTATAATCACAGCAGATCAAAATAGTCAAAGGTATAGTGCGGGAGGTCAAAGGCGCTCAGAAAAATTTTAGGCAACTGAAACAACTGTAAAGCATATAGCTATTTAATTCCTGAGGCTGTGCAGTAGGCGGCGTGGTGTAATGGCTAACACATTAGTCCGGTCTACGGAAGATGCTGGTTCCCCAGCCGCCGAATAACTTTTTGCACTAGCTAAAGGAGAGAAATAGCTATAGCTCAGCTGCTTTACTTAACTTAGTCTGATCTGCTGTGTATAGTTAAAATTACATTTAGTGCTTCAGTCATTCCCATTTGTTCAAACATTCTTTGAAATACAACACTGCTGTTTGCCAAAATAAATTTATGTGTGCTTATTGATTCGTTTTCAATCTAAAAAAGATTTTTGTAGATTTTTAAAAATTAATTTGTAGTTAGAAATCGATTAAATTTTTGTTAAAATCTTGGTTTTGAAAACCCAATATTTATTGAATGAGATAATAAATAATGCTAGAACCCCCGAAAATATATTAAAAATAAAACTTACCTCAACAACACAATCAGTAAGTATTCCCTCTTTAAACATCTTTAAAGACCGTTGGGGAGAACTTGCAGAAGAACTATCCACAACCTCATTTTCGCATTTTATATCGTAAGTAAAGTCCGACATTTTAGGTCTAAAAATTAATAAATGGAGTTAGTCCTTATTTTTGGTTTAAGTCCTAATTTTCCAATTTGCCGTTGAAATTTCTTTATTTCTCTGCCATTCACTATTTCTTATTTCATTATGCCAATTTTGGTTTTTTCAAAAAAAAAAGCTAAAATAGGTTCAAAAGAGGCCAAAGTATGTTCTTTTCAGTAGAGGTCGGCACGGGACAGGATCCCGTACGGGATTTTGCGGGATCCTGTCCCGAAATCCCGTATTTTTAGCGACGAACGGGATTATCGGGATTACGGGATTTACGGGATTAATCCCGCGGGATCCTGTCCCGTAAAATTTTTTGAGAAGAATCCCGTTACGGGATCCCGTGAATTTTTTCAAAATTTACGGGATTTTTGATAAATCATGTAAATTGCCTGCGGCGCTGAAAATGGAAGAATTCTGGTCTCCTGGCCTTCCAGAATTCTCAAAATTTTCGCCTGCGGCGCTAAAAATGGAAGAAATCTGGTCTCTTGGCCTTCCAAAATTCTCAAAATTTTCGCCGGCGGCGCTGAAAATGGAAGATTTTTGCTCTTTTGGTTTACAAAATTCCCAAAATTTTCGCCTGCTGGATTCCCAGATATTCCTGCCTATCCCCGATATCTTTCGAATCCACCGTAATCCCAGTAAATCGACCGATATTCTTCTATTCCTTCAGATCAACTAATCCTTCACTTAACCACTCTTTATCCTTCTTCAATGTTAGCGCCGCAGACAACTAACAATGACTAACCTATTTTATAGTTCCCTGTTAAAGGAAATATAGATATCGATGTATCAAGAGGGATTAAAGGGGATATCGGTAGATTTTGAGAGATTTCGAAGGATCAGGCAGATATAAAGCGATTTGAAAAGATAATGAGGGATTCGAGGTAATACCGAAAATATCGATAAACTTAATCTGCCGGTAACAAACTTTCCTTGATCTACAGATCGCCCTTAATCCTCCTGATCCAGCTTATCCTACAAATCTTCATAAATCCACCGATATCACTCAAAATCCTCTTATAACACAGATATCACCACAAATATACCCAGATACCCTTTTAAATCCTCTAATCCCTTCAAATCCTCTAATATCCTCAATATTTTTTGCGTAAAAAATTTTTATATGAAAATCCCGAAATCCCGCGGGATCCCGTTAAATTTTTGAACGGGATTATCGGGATTACGGGATTTACGGGATTAATCCCGCGGGATCCTGTCCCGCAAAAATTTTTGAAAAAAATCCCGTTACGGGATCCCGTGAATGCGATTTTACCGACCTCTACTTTTCAGGTCCCTCAAAAAGGCCGGAATTAGATTTTTAGTCTCAAATAGGTCCAATGTAGAAACAAGATATCGTGCCAAATATGTGTTTTTTGGACTTTTTCAACGTTACAAAGTTGCAAAACTCCAATTATAAGAAGCAAATTCAACTTCACAAAAAAGAACAAAGGTACTCTTGTGTTATATGCCCGCATTTTCCTTTTCTTCTCCTTTTCCGAATTTGATCGGCTTTAACTTTTTTATGCTTGATTTTTCTAAATTAAATTTTGAAGAAAAATATTTTTTAGTTTCAAAAAGTGATTTTCAATATGTGAAAAAAAATGAAAAATGTATGTGTTTTTCGAGATTTTCTATATCTCGATTGTTGAAAAACACTTTAATGATAAGCACACTTCCCTACTATTTATCCGTATTTAAAAATTGTAGAGTCAATTATTTATCAAAAATTAACAATTCAAAGGCAGTTGTGATATTACAAAAATGAGAAAATAATTATTAAAAGAACACTTTTCTTGATCTGTCCAAGACCAAAATTATTCAAAAATGAGTTTGTTTAAATTAAGTGAGATTAAATTAAAATATTAGGAATGCATTTTAGCAGTATTTTTTAACTGAAATTTTTTTGTTAATTATTAATTCTTGAATTTTCTTCTCTTGCCTTCTGTCTTTTATTTTTAAACCATTCCCCAATTACTCTTGCTGGGAGTCCAAGATAATTAGAAAGTTCAGTTTTTGTACGAACGTCGGGATAACAGTTGGCTTGAAATTTTCGTTTCAGTGCTGTTAACTTTAAAAATATTAATTAAAACATTAAAATTCTTGGCCACTTAAAGATTTTTCGTGAAGATACCCAATACACTCTGTCAGAGGATTATGTTTACGCTTAAAATATCATCATTAGGGCTAACCAAAACATGCAAATGTATGTTTTGGATGCAGATATGCCTTGATGTGGGAAGCTCAAAAATAGTGTTTTTACAGGTGTCCGAGCACTTTAGGACCCGGTTCTTAATGCATATTCTTGCATATTTCGCCCTCTCGTGCATATTCGCATATTTGTGCATATTTTGGCAAATTTTGCATATTTTGGTCCATATTTCGTTATTTTTTTGTAAAATTTTGCCAAAAATTACCAAAATTTTGAAGTTTTTTTGGTCAAAAATTTTTTCGATAAATTTTTTTGGGAAGAATTTTTTTCAAAATTTTTTTTTGCATAAATTCTAAGTACATAAAATCTTGTCGAAGTGCTCTTAAAATGTAAAATTAAAGGCTAAATTAATGTTTTTTACTTAAAATATTGATTTTCAAAGCACATTTTCACTATTTTTTGCAGCATATTTAGTGCATATTTTGGCAAAATTTTGCATATTTCAGTGCATATTTTGGGCTTTTTCGCTGCATATATATGCGCATATTTGGCGATTTTCCGTGTATATTTTGGACAGCCCTAATCATCATGAATTTAAATATTTTTACGACTTACTTAGTCATATTAAGGAAAAAACAATTAGGTTTAAATAAATATGGGCAACTTCGTTTCTTTTGTACTTTCAATTGACATGACTAGATAAACTTACAAGAATTTTTGTAGATTTTTCGAACCGCCCCTAATATCGAAACTTTAAAGTGTACTTATAATTAAGGAAGTGGGCAGTTCCGGTTTCATTGTTTTTATTTGAATATGAATTAGAATCGTAAAAATATTTTAGACTATATTTTAAATTTAAATGTTTTTATTTAAAAAAAGTAGGGGGTGCTTATAATTTTCTGACAATGTATCTTTCCGATCCTCGTAATTACTATACAATTTCAGGTTTTTATAATTGTTCGTTTTTCTCCGATCCATTTTATAAGGAGAATAACCTAACATGCTTAAAATGCCTTAAAAACTAGAAATCCAAATTTTATTTTTACCTGTATTTCATTAATTACAGTACTTCCAAAATGTTCTTCCTTTTTGTCTGAAGAATCTGAAATTTATTTGCATTTTATTTATTTTGCATTATTACTAATTCTTGAACTTTCTCTTGCTTTCTGTCTTTCATTTTTAAACCATTCCCCAATTACGTCTCTTGGGAGTCCAATTTTCTTAGCAAGTAGGTCTTGCAGACCAACGTCGGGATAATGGCAGACTTCAAATCCTCGTTTCAATGCTGTTAACTTTAAAATATTAATAAAACATTAGAATTCTTGGGCATTTAAAATTTTTTCGTGAAGATACCCAATGCCTGTCAGAAAAACACCCCCTAATTTTTAAATAAAAAAAAGTTTAAAATATCATCATAATTTTAAATATTTTTACGACTTTCTTTTTATTCATATCCAAGGAAAAAACAATCAGGTATGTATAAATATGGGCAGTAGGAGAGTATATTAAAACTTGGTTTCTTTTGTATTTCAATTGACAGGACTAGATTACAAGAATTTTTGTAGATTTTCCGAACCGCCCCTAATGTCGAAACTTTAAGGGGTATGTATAATTAAGGTAGGCGGTTCCGGTTACCCGAAACCGAAGAAAGACCGGATAACTAAAATTTTCGGTTCGGTTCCGAATAACTGAGGATTTCCCAGGAACCCCAACATAGCTTATTTATCTGAAAGTCGTCGTGATTACTATACAATGAATCTCCGATCCATTTTTTAAGGAAAATAACCTAACTTGTTTGAATTTACTTTCAAAAAATCTAAAAATCCAAATTTTATTTTTACCTGCATTTCATTAATTACAGTACTTCCAATATGTTCTTCCTCTTTGTTTGAGGAATCTGAAATTTATTTGCATCAAATAATTTTTTCCGGAAAATGTTCTAATGTAAAAATTAAAAGAAATTCACTCCCAAATTATTAGGAGTCCCAATATGAAATGGGAATTCTTAACTATTTTATCCACCAACGTTTTCAAAGCTATCCAAGACCAAAAATTTTCAATGAATAGTTCGGGTAAATTTATTCAGTCAAGTTTTTGTCCATTGGACACACATGAAAAGTCGTGACAGATCAAAGACAAAACATTTAATATAAAAAATATGCCACGATATGAATTTACACGAGAGGGCCGAAATATGCAAATAGGTATATGCAGTAAGAAAGGGGTCCTAAAATGCACAGAAAACCCTCAAATTTGGGATTTTTACTTCAAAGCATATCAACATAAAAATATGCAATTGCATATACTAGTCAAGTTTTAGTCAGTTGGACACCCATGAAAAGTCGTGACATTTTACCAAAGACAAAACACTTAAAAAATTCAAACAAATCTTGAATGAATCCTAGACTATTTAATTGAAACTCGTAATAGATCTTTACCTTTTCTATCAAGAAAATTTTCTTCCATTAAACGAAAAGCCAAATCTTTATTAAAAGATTTAAATTCGTTCCATTCTTTGCTGATAAGAAAAACTTTATTAGCCGACAGGAAATTTACACATGCCTGAGAAAAATATTAAATATAGCCCTAAAAAGATAGAAATGCTAATTTCACAGCAGACTAGCAAGGGTCATAGCGAAACGGCGCTCCGACTCGGGCACAGTGATCCATTTGCACAGTAAGACTTTTGCACAGAGGGCATCTGCACAGTGGACGATTGCACAGTAATTTGTGGTTTAGTGGATTCGTGTTAGGTTTTACTTATTGTTATAAGGGAATAAATGTTACTAATTATTAATACCTTTACTAAAAAAATCTTAAATTGTATTAGAATTCATAAGAAAAATCTGTAAATCACATAAAGGATCAAATGAATAAAAAATCTAACTGAAAATAATTATTGCCCCGAGTCTTAACAACATTTTTTAAACAAGAAAAAACTTTTTGGATATGTATCCCTTTTAAAAAATATGATTTCTGACAACCCCAACTAATAATCTGTACAACCCCAACTAATATAGCAGACTCAGGACTACAAGGGGGTATGATAGCCTTTCCAACAAAATCTATTTTTGATATACATAACAGGTCGTCAAAAATGAGCGGTGTGAAGCAGCATTATTTTAATGGCAAACGGGGGGGGGGGGGTAATTAGCTTTATTGACTGTATTTAAATTTAAACTTATTAGAAAGTAAATTATTTATCATTAAAAATTAGTAAGAATTCATTTTTACAACAAATACTTGCACTCTTTAATAAAGATCTGCTAGAATTTGTCCACTTGATAAGCGAACGAAAATTTAGAATATGTAAAAAAGAATTAGGAAATACTTAGGTTAGAAAAAGAATTATGAATTCTAATACAATTTAAGAATTTTTTAGTAAAGGTATTAATAATTAGTAAATTTATTCCCTTATAACAATAAGTAAAACCTAACACGAACCCGCTTAACCACAAAATACTGTGCAATCGTCCTCTGTGCAGATGCCCTCTGTGCAAAAGTCTTACTGTGCAAATGGATCACTGTGCCGGAGTCGTGTCACCTAGCGAAACAAATGTCATTTATTGGGGCAGAACGCCAACTAATTAAAAAAGAGCTAAATTTATCTCTTTTTCTTTGTCGCTCTATTTTTTTCGCGTGTTATTTCGTTAAATATTTGAGATAAAATTTGTTTGCTTGAACATGTCAACTTCGAGAATCTTTATCTTTCGAGAATCTTATTTTTTTTAAATTTTGCTTATTTTAAATAATGAATGAGAGTCTTATCTTTGTTTTAAAACCATATTTATAGATTTTTTGAATATCTTAAAAAAGTTATGAATGGCCGAATAAATCAGGTTTAGAAAAATGCCTTTTACTCGTTAAAAATCTTGAAAGTTTTGGTCGTAACATATACTATTCGATTCGTCTCGACGAGCTGATTCGAATGCCACTAAAATCAGCTCGATTCTAAGATTCTGAAAAAAGTTACAGGCAATTTGTATTTTCGCCGGAATAACCGCTTTTGTGCTATATTGAGGTGAAGTCGGAAACTAATCACGGAGATTTTTGGTCTCATTCGACTCAGCTCGAGGAGCTCTTTCGAATGAGCTATAATTTGTATAGTCGAATTTTCGACCCCGAAAATCGGAATTTTAGGGACCTGTATCTCGGTCCACAGGCATTTCCGCACCCCATGATTAGTGTCATTCGACTCAGCTCGACGAGCTCTTTCGAATGACACCTCATTTGTCCAAATCAATCCAAATTTGCAAAAATTACATTAAAAAATAACAGCCGGCTTTTTTTTTAATTTTTCCCGTTTTTATTTTTAAAAGTTTAAAAAAATTTTACACACTTAAAATATTATTTAAAATGTTTCTTTTATGTTTTATTTAACTTATCTAATAGGAAAATATTAATTAACCATGAAAAGGTTCGAACCCGCGACCTATTTTTAAACGATTTTGTAGTCACCGCTCTTAGCCACTTAACCAAAATTTAAATTCCGCTATGTCCCCTCTTTTGCCTGCGCTAGTCTGCTGTGTAATTTATAAATCTCATTGAATAACCTTGAGTCCTCTTAAAAAATTTTAAATTTGTTTAAAAAAATAAAAAAAATCATGAAAATTTTGATGGATTTTTAAACAACACAAATTTGAAATGGAGGCTGGTTGATATGCTTGAAAAGTATGATGAACACCTAAAGAGATTGAAGTTGAACGACGACTATTTCATTTAGTCATTCTTCATCAAGAAGAAATTATTATAGGTAGATTATCTGAAGTTAAAATTTGAAAAATAAGCACGTTTAGACAATAGAACTGAAGGAGTACATTAGGAGCCCCGCTTACGTAATAAGGTTGGCGGATCCGGATATCCGGATCCGAAAAAAGGCCGGATATCCGGAAATTTTCGGTTCGGATACCGGATCCGGATCCGGATATCCGAAATTTTCGGTTCGGATATCGGATCCGGATCCGGATATCCGAAATTTTCGGTTCGGATATCGGATCCGGATATCCGAAAATTTCGGTTCGGATCCTAGAATTAGGGAAAAATGAAGAAATCTTGTCCAGTGGCCTTCCAAATTTCTCAAAATTTTCGCCTGCGGCGCTGAAAAATGAACAAATCTGGTAGCCCAGGCTTCCAAAATTTACAAAATTTTCGCCTGCGGCGCTGGAAAAGGAACATCTGATAGTCTAATCTTCCAAAATTCCCAAAATTTTCGTCTGCGGCGCTGAAAATGGAAGAAATTTTGCTTCATTTGCTCCCAAAATTACAAAAAATTTTCGCCTGCGGCGCTTAAAAAGGAAGAAAAGGGGTGTGTATGATAACGGAGGATTTACCTCTAAATCTCTCAGTATTCTCTTAATCCCACGATCCCAGATATCAATTTACCAAATTCAAAAATATGGAAATAGCCTATGTATCTACTACTTCCCCCAAATCCACTAAATTCTCACAAACCATCAGATAAACTACAAAATTTTCCACACATTGATTACACCTAGATAACTCTGTTAAGCATAAATTTTCTCGATAACACTGTTAATCCCCAAATCCAATCATAATTGCTCCTTATCCCTTTATCTTTTCCATAAGACTCAACTTTTCAGCGCCGCAGGCGAAAATTTTTAAAATAAAAATTTCGGTTCCGGATCCGGATATCCGAAAATTTCGGTTCGGATATCGGTTCCGGATCCGGATATCCGAAATTGGCTGTAGTGTAGTGTACCGGTGGTAAAAGTTCGGGATGTGACATATGTCATTCGATTCGTCTCGATGAGCTGAGTCGAATGGTACCACTCCCTATTTTAGGAAATGATTCTGGACCGAGTTATAGGTCCCGAAAAATTGAAAAACCAAAGGGGGGAGTAAGCTCGATTTTGGGGTGAAAAATTCGAATATGCAAATAATAGCTCATTCGAAAGAGCTCGTCGAGCTGAGTCGAATGACACCAAAATCAACGAAATCTGACTTGATTTGACAAAGTTATGATCGTTTGTTTTAGCTCCTTACCTATGGCATCTGTGGAGATTTTTGCTGCTACGGAGGCCCCAAATACGTCCAAAGCAAGGGAGTTAGGAATAGGTTTATGTTACGAGCCCAGACCCATCGCCCGTAGACTCCCCGCGAGGCGCGTGCCGCAAAACCCCGCGCGAAGCGCGGGGTTTTGCACAAGCGCCTCGCCGACGCCCCATAGGTTTATGTTGTTTACTTTTCTATTGTAACTTTGTCCAAACTTTTACAATCAAGCTGATTTTGATGTCATTCGACTCAGCTCGACGAGCTCTTTCGAATGAGCTATTACCTATATGCTTTTTCGAATTTTTGACCCTAAAATCCGCCCTATGGTTTTTGACCGTTTCGAGCCCTATATCTCGACTCCAACTTGTTCAATCAAGCTGATTTTGGTGTCATTCGACTCAGCTCGACGAGCTCTTTCGAATGAGCTATTATTTGCATATTCGAATTTTTCACTCCAAAATCGAGCTTACTCCCCCCTATGGTTTTTCAATTTTTCGGGACCTATAACTCGGTCCAGAATCATTTCCTAAAGTAGGGAGTGGTACCATTCGACTCAGCTCGTCGAGACGAATCGAATGACATATGTCACGTCCCGAACTTTTACCACCGGTACACTACACTATATCCCCGAAATTTTCGGTTCGGATACCGGATCCGGATATCCGAAATTTTCGGATCGGATACCGGATCCGGATATCCTTAGATTTCCAGCTATCCGCCAACCTTATTACGTAAAGCAAGACAACAGATACTTTATCACACGAAGAAAATACAATGAAGGTTGTGGCAGGTAGAAAAAGGGAGGGAGAACTATTGGCTGGCTTTTATACTAAACTGTTTAAGGGCTATCGCTCATAAACAACAGAAATGAAGTACAAAATGCATGTTTATTCGTACAAAACTCCATAAAGTGAAACACTCCCACGTTTTTCACAATTCGGGCAACTAACAACTCGTTTCTCTTCCATTTGTTTTTCTTCATTTAAAGCTGATGATTCGAGTAGACGAAAAGCAAGATCATTATTAAGAGATTTAAATTCTTTCCATTCTTTACTGACCAGGAAGATTTGTTTATTAGCAGTAAGGAAATTGACACAAGCCTATTGAAATTAGTTGATATATTTAATGTTTATATGTAATAGTGATAGGTTTCGTGCCGTACGGTATTCCGTACAGTACCACGATACTGAATATCGATAAATACAAAAATAATGTCGGTAGTACGTTACAACCCGAGCTCTAGTTTATACTAGAGATCGGACCGAGACGATATCTCGATCAAAAATTTCGGTTATCGGTATCTAGATCGCGCCACCTTAGCAAGACCATGAAAAGTTTTGATAGACATAAACAAGATAACATAATAGCAATTACTAATACTCTCAGATTTTTACATTGTGGCAAGGCATATTATTTAAACGTAGTCTAAAATCTATCGAAAAATGTCAAGCTACAAATGTTTTGAATAATTTCTTTCATTTTTGACTAATTTCTTTGCATTATTCACCAAGAAGAAAAAATATTTATGGAAAAATTATTTGAGGTTAAAACTGAAAATAAATAAGAGCCTTCAGCAATGAGTACCATCTAGTTGCATATTTATTTATAAGAAATAAAGGTGAATATGCATTATAAATAGTGTTCGACAAATAGATTTCTTCGATGCCGGTATCAATAGTACCGAAAAGTACTGGTCCGGCATTCTGTCAGTACCTCGATAGTACACCGAACCGTGCCGAACTCTAATTATAAGATATACGAGGTGAATAAGCTTGTTAATAAGGTGAATAACGTGATGAGTTCCTACGTTGTTCACATTTCGGACAAACTTGCTTCCCTTCAATTTGCTTTTCTTCCTTTAAAGCCGATAACTCAAGTAGACGAAAAGCAAGATCATTATTAAGAGATTTAAATTCTTTCCAATCTTTACTGACCAAGAAGCTTTGTTTATTAGCAGAAAAGAAAGTAACGCAGGCCTGGTGAAATTAGTTTACATAAATATTCAAAATGTTTATATCCACCAAAATTTTCATGATTTTTAACTCTTTAAACGTTCCATACGGATAGGATAAGCAATTGACTGTAATCCGAAAACTCTGTCCGCAAATTTTAAATTTTTTAAACGTTCCATAAGCAATTGTACTCAAGATAAGCAATTGTACTCTACGAAGTAACCCGAAAACTCTGTCCGCAATTGCCACAAAATTAACTAATTTACCTTTTTGAGTTTTGCAAGATGATATAACTCAGCAAAAAGGCAATCCTTGCTAAAGTTTTCAGCAGCTAAAATTAAATTATATGAAACACAAGGTTGAAAATTATTTTTACCAATAGTTGAGATAATATAATCTTCACAAATATCCATTAATTGTTTAACTTGGTATTTATGTGCAATAGCAAATAAATCTTTTGAATGATTTTCGAGTGTTTCTTTAAATATTTAATTTTTTAGTCATTAAAATTAATTTTTAAAAATACTTTCATCAATTTCTCCACTATAAAAATATTCCAGCATTGTTTTAAAACATTTTGGAGAAGCATCAACAATTTTTATTTTACCCTTTAAATTTACTATTTGCTTAAAAGTGAGAAAATTAAAAATATAAAAGCTATCCGTGTTATGTCCGAGGGTTGTAGAAAAAGACGTGCAAAAGATTAACAGTTTATCCAAAGAGCTATGTGTAGGCGAAGGGATAGAGTTGGAACAGACGAAGATCAGGGATTAGCCGGGCTAGTATGATCCAATTAGACTGACGCTTACATTGGCTTTTATAGTAGTGTCACCACTACACAACAATCAGACTCCGAACCCCTATTGTTTTTTTATTTTCTGAATTAAAGCCCTTCTCTTTAACTTTCAAAAGCCTGAGTCTGTGGCTAGAAAATGCTTATATACCATATTTTTTGTAACAAAGCCCCTTAGGCTCTATTTTTCAACCATCCTCCAAGGGGGCTCTATTACAGAGGGGACTCAAATACTTATATAAAAATGCGATGTTTGAATTCGGCTCGATGAGAGAAATCGGTTGGTTCCCATTATTTAAAACTTTAAATAAAATTACATCCTGAGCTTCAGACATCCCCATTTGTTCAAACATTTTTTGAAATACAACACTGTTTTTTGCCAAAATAAATTTATGCGTGTTTATTAATTCGTTTTCAATCTAAAATTTTTATTTAAATAATTTAAGGATTTTTTTAACGATTTTAGTAGGGATGAGGACCTGACAAACCTCAATCCTTAACTTTTTCGAGCGCGAAAGGTCCATGTCCACCCTTGATAATTGGGGTTTTGTCATGTAGTAGTCAATTGAGGTTTTGTCAAGAACTTCGTGTTCGCATTGTTAAAAATTGGCTTAAGTAACGGATGGAATGGAGACCTGGTTAAGGGTGGTCAAATCGACGGAAGTGCATATAACCACTATTTTTGAACGGGATAATAATGCCAAAAACCAACCACCCTTTTGGCTACTATTTCACTTAACAATTGTGTCGCAAGTCTAGAAAAAAGTAGGGTCGGGTTTAGCATTATTTCGGTCCGGGTTAAAGAAAGTACGTATTTCGAGTAACCCTTTACATCACTATACATACATTATACAAACAAACATTTAAAAATAAAACTTACCTCAACAACACAATCAGTAAGTATTCCCTCTTTAAACATATTTAAAGATCGTTGTGAAGTACTTTCAGAGGAAAAATCCACAATCTCATTTTCGCACTTTATATTATAAGGAACAAATTCAACTTCACAATAAAGCAACATAGCATCTAAAAATAAATACAAATTTAGACGTAAAAATTGAATCCGGCCATCCGGTCCCACTTACAAGGATAATCGTTTACTGCAAATGTGTCTTGTAATACCAGGAATTTGAAATACCAAGTCCCCAAAAACGCTTGAAATACCAAATCGTGGAAAAACGCTTGAAATACCAAAAGGTTGTTTCAACAGCGGGGATGTAGTGCCAACTAAGTTTGGCTTCGGATATCCGGATCCAATATCTGAATCAAAATTTTAGGATATCCGGATCCGTCAACCTTAGTTCCAACAGCGGTGGATGTTGTTCCATCAACGAGGGGTCAACTCCCAAAAGTTTGGGGAGTTTGACTTTCTCTTTCCGACTTACTATTGCAAATTGAAAATAACTTTGGGCCGAGTTATGGTCAGACAAATTTTCAGCCCTAGAGTGTGGATGAGTATAAGAAAAAGAGAGGAAAGTTCAACACCCGGAAAAATTAAAAAATAACCTAAATTTAAGGCTTCCGTTGAGCCATTCACCAAAACGTAATCTCCTCCATTCTCTAAATTTTCGCTAGACTTGCCAGTCGTTTGTGATTTGAAAACTTGATATTTATCTGATTCTGTTCCGTGTTTAAAAACGAATGTTGTGCTTCTAAAAACAGTTCAAATTTTTTTTTCAAAAAATATTTTTTGGACATACGGACAACAAAAAAGCTTATTTCCAGCACCGTCCAATGTATAAATATTAAATTGAGCTTTCAAAGGTTTTGAGTCTTTTAATCCTACTTGAACAAGAGAAACATAAATGCCGGCTTAAATTTTATAGTAATACAAAAAACTATTAGAAAAATCACCAGAATTAAGCTGCCAAATATTTGGGTAAACACGCAATTGCCATTTGATAGAAGGACATTTTGAATTGTAGAATTCCTTGCCTAAAATTTTGATTTATAATGGGATCTAGGTAATAGTGTCGTTTCCCAGCCCCCTTTTTTTCCTCCCCACTTCTTTGAAGGTACGCACAAAATATGGAAAGGCAAATTTGATGAAAGAAAGGGGAAAATTTGACCATTCCGTACAAACATAGGGTAGAAAATTGGGAGGAAAAAAAGGGGGCTGGGAAACGACACTATTACCGGGATCTATCCAGTAAGGTTGGCGGACAGGTGGAAATCTTCGGATATGCAGATCCGGTATCCGAAACGAAAATTTCCGGATATCCGGCCTTTTTCGGATCCGGATCCGCCAGCCTTACTACCCAGAACGTCAACATTCAGGTTTACACCAAAAGGCCGCTCCCAGCGATCAAATAACTCGAAAGATCAGCTCCCAAGGATCAATTCAACGCCAAATATTCGGGAATCTATAAGTGGCTCAAAATCAAACATACGTCCACCTGCTCCCTTTTACCTTATCCTAACAAGAGAATTTCCATTATTTCACTTAATCTCAACAAATCCATCTTGATACGCCAAAATCCATCGATATCCCTCAATACCCACAAAACTTTCCTAATCCGAACAAATACTTCTTTACCCGCCGAGATATTTGGAGAACAGGCCAACGTACCGCAGAGCTATAACTTCGATCAAAATAGACGAATCCGGGACGCTTTGGTATGGTTCGATGCATCTCGACGAGTTGAATCGAGCTATGCTAGGGCGTCTCGGATTTAACCAGTTTGAACGAAGTTATAGCTCTGCGGTAAGTTGGCCTTGCGGTACGTTGGGGTATTTGGAGTTATTGGAATATTTGGAGTTGATCCCCTGGGTAATTTGACCTTTTGGGAGTTAACTTTAATGTGATTTGATCACTAGCGAGTCGACCTTATGGACAAATTAGTAATTAAATCAAAACAAACTTGTCAAGAATTGATCATTATGCATTAAATGCCCGTGTTTATTTAAATTATATAATTTCCATTCGATCTTACAAGTAACTAATTCCAACTAAAAATAATTACTTATTTAATATCAAAATTTATTTAGAAACCGTTGATGCGTCAGAGATCATTTTTATAAATTATCTAAAATAAAAAATTTTCTTTAACCTTTTGAGTTCCTACATATTTTAAAGATTAATCATTATTACAAAACTTGATAACCAGTTTGGCTTCACCTGAGAACGAATAAAACCCCCGAAAATGTCCCATCCCAAAAATGACTCAACAAATTAAATGTCCCACTACTAAACTAATAAATGCTATAAATTTATAGGTTAACGTTGCTTATTTGTGTTAGCTTCAGTTTGTCTATATTAGAGGTCAGACATTTTTCGTCTAACAGGATTAATGTCTCTTCAGGACGCCTGTGTTGTGACCACTCTTTCGTTTGTAAAAGACGCAGAAAAACTGACCAGTGGTCGGCTGCGGTCAGAGAAGCGTCTCGTTGTCTGCTCTTTTTTCAAAATGTACAAAACTTTCTGCGTCTTTTCAAACCGGCTCCCCCATAAAATGTCAATTCCATATAATGACGAACCCATAAAATGGCGAAAAGGCCAAATACTAGAGTCCGGCAAAATCGCATTCCCGGGATCCCGGAACGGGATTTTTTTCAAAATTTTGTACGGGACGGGATCCCGCGGGACTAATCCCGTAAATCCCGTAATCCCTTTTCAAATTTCCCGGGATCCCGCCGGGATTCCGGGATTTTTACAAAAAATTTTTTACGTAAGATATCAGGGATTAGGGTTGCCAAAATGGACCGACTCGGACCGAAAGATCGAGTCATGCCTCGATGTTTGGCCCGAAAAAGTCTCGTACCGGCCCGACTCGATAAAGTTGGGCCCGAAAAAGACTCGTAACGGCCCGACTCGATAAAGTAAGGCCCGAAAAAGACTCGTACCGGCCCGACTCGATAAAGTTGGGCCCGAAAAAGCCTCGTACCGGCCCAACTCGATAAAAACAAGCCCGAAAAAAAATGCCTCGACCGTCGGCCCGACTCGAAAACGGCAACCCTATCAGGGATATTGGTGTATTTGGAGGGATATCAGTGTATTTGGAGAGGTATCGAAGAATTTGGAAGGATATCAGAGGATTAGTAAGGATATATTAGGATTAGATGAGATATAAGTTGCTATAGTTAAATCGGCGGATTATGAGGTCAGTTTGGGCGGATTAAAAGGTAATCATGAGGTCATCCTTGATCCACCTTAATCCTCCTTTCTTCGAATCCCCATTAATGCCTCCGAATCCACTGATATCCCTCTTAATCCCCCAATTTCTCTTGAGACTTCTCTTTATCCCTACAAATCCCCTGAGATCTCTCCAAATCATCTTAATCCCTGTAAATCTCTTATCCATCTTAATCCTCATACATATCTTCAAATCCTCTTAATCCCTCCAAATCCCTTTATAAAAATATTATAATTATTAGAGGCGGTTGTTAACTTGTTCTTCACATTTTTTAATTCTTTTTAGGCATACATTTTCTCAAAAAATTCTTTAATGTCAACACCTTCATTTATTTTTTACCGTTCACCATTATGTCGATTTTATGCTCTACCAAATTTTCACCGCAATTTTCACACAGGAGAATTACCTTTTAAAATTCCTGCTCCAATAAAGGTTTTCTTAAATTTAATTTTTTAAATTAAAAAAATATTTTAAGCGTTCTTCAACCGATATTCTTCAAGCAATGGCTGATACAGTCAAAACGGATGAAAATGCCCCTCATTTTGCTTATATAGATGATACGGCGACTATACCAACAACCACTTTACAAAGGAAAAATTATTTGCTTGCTAAGGTTTTTATTTTTTATGGACCCTAAAATTTTTTCAAAAATTTTTCCTTTTCCCATTTCGGGGAGAGAGGCCCATCCCTGCCTACCCCCACTGGCTACGGGCTGTTAGCGTTTTAGGTTTACTCTTATTTTCGATAGTTCTCCGTTGAAATTTTTTTACTAAATTAAATAAAATTATTTTACGTCTTTCCTATCCCGTTTTTAGGGGAATTCTATATACGAATGACTTTGTTATTAGATCATTACTTTAATTCAAAGGATTGATATTTTTTAAGAAAAAATTGTTTAAAATATTTAGATTAAGGTTTTGATTTTGTAAAATCCGCAAGTCCGCAAATTATTTTTTAAACCAGGCCCGTAGCCAGGATTTTTTTTCGGGGGGGGGGGGGGGGGGGGGCAAGGGGGGAAATTTTTTATTTTCAGAGCCGCAGGCAAACATTTTGAGAAGGTCATAGGCCAATAAAATTCACTTTTTTGCCCCAGCCCTTCCCAAAATTTTTTCCGTTTCCCCATTTCGGGGGGGGGGGGGATTCCCCCCCCCCCCCCCCCCCCACCTACCCCCTGCTACTGGCCTGTTTTAAACAGTTATTTTCTCATTCCCTCGTTTCAGTTCTAGCTCAATCATCAATTTTTACGGGACTTATTGTTAGCCTTTAAATCCTCTTTAATTTTAGTTCTTTAATATAATTTTAGGAATTTGGTCGTCGTACAGCCCTTCGTTTGGTCGAGGAATGGCCAACACTTTTTATGTTAGACAGAGACCAACCTAGATTAGCTGTATTTCGCCCTCAAAAACCTTTAAATCCTGAACTTGTTGAACCAACTGAACAAAATTTATTGCATATGATTACTACTAGACAAGTTGTGGATGCTGTAAAATTGTATCAACGAATGGGGGAAAATGCAGAAAATATTGAAATTAGTACAAAGGTTTGTTTTTTATTTTTGTTGTTTATATTTTTTCCAAAGGGTTTTGGTTTTTAATTGAAAAATCCGCAAATTAAGCTCGGAACTTATAATAGCTCATTCATAAATTTTCAGATGCTCGTGTTAGACAGGCACAAGCTGGGTAATGTATACGGATATAGCTAACAAGGAACCTTTTTACTTAACTGTAACCAAAAATTTCGCATTTATTTTTGCACCATTGTGTATAACGTGGTCGATAACCTATTGGAAATTTTCGGCTTTTTTGGCTCTGACCCCCATTTTGAAAAGTTATATGGATTACTGTTTAAGATGTTGCAGTTCAAGATGGTTACAGTTCAAGAAGTTTCCTTTTAAGTTAGAAATGCCTGCGGATATCCATCTATCCGCCATAAATATCCTAATAGGATACCAAAATCCAAGTCCATTATCAAGTCTGGACAGGCATATGTCCAAAAGAATTTTCTGGGCGGAATCGAGGCAGGAATCGTCGTTTAAAACGGGTCCGAATTTTTTTACCTTCTCGCCTAGGCCCGTAACCAGGGGGGTGAGGGGGGGAATTCCCCCCCCCCCCCGAAATGGGAAAAAGGAAAAAATTTGGGGAAGGGCTGGGGCAAAATAAGTGAATTTTTTGGCCTACGGCCTCTGAAATTTAAAAAATTTTCGCCTGCGGCGCTAAAAAAGGACGAAATCTGGCTTCTTGAGGTCCAAAATTCAAAAAATTTTCGCCTGCGGCGCTGAAAATCAAATTTTTGGCGCCTGCGGCGCCGAAAAAGTGAATTTTTTTGGCCTACGGCCTTCTAAAATTCTCAAAATTTTCGCCTGCGGCGCTGAAAATAAAAATTTTTGGCGCCTTCGGCGCCAAAAATTTGGCGCAATAAAATTCCCCCCCCCCCCCCCCGAAAAAAAATCCTAGTTACGGGCCTGCGCCTAGGTACGTGTTTTCAACATGTTATATATTTCTTATAAACCTGCTGAATTGAAAAAATTTTTATCCTTGTATTCCTAAAGAATTTTATAGCACCGACCTTGTGGATTTTAAACTTTTTTTTAATTTTTAAGATGGAATTATTTAAACTGCTTTGTTATTACAATGAAGAAAATATTCCTCTGGATGAAATTGAATGGGCTGCTACAAGAATTTATTTTGCAGAAGAGGAAATAAGAAATACTGAATGGAAAGGGTTAAAGGTTTTTTTTGAAAATTTTTTAAATTAAAAAATAAAATATTTAAAGGGAGACATTCCTTGTTTGGCTGAACAACTCTTTAATAAATTACCGAAAACGGAAGAAACTTATTCCTATTTAATTTGTGGATTGTGCAAATTTCCGACTATTTATTCTCTTACACAAGCTAAAATTCTTTATAAGGTTTTTTAATTTTTTAAAAAGTATTTGGAATTCTTTGGGATTTTTTATTGTTAGGAATTTTGGCAAATTTTAATTAAAATAAATTGATTTAAAAAATTCAAAACTCGCATAAAGGTGGGGATATTTTGTCCTAAACTTTTTATTTTTCTAAATTTTTTTTGTTTTGGCTAGGCCCGTAGCCAGGATTTTTTCGGGGAGGGGAGGGGGCCAAGGGGGAAATTTTTTGCGCCGGATTTTTGAATATTTTAAGAATTTTAGAAGGCTCGTAGGCCAAAAAATTCATTTTTTTGTGCTAAAACCCTTTCCCATATTTTTTTCTTTTCCCCATTTAGTGGGAAATAAATACCCTGCCCCCACTGGCTACGGCCTGGTTTTGGCTTTTTTTTTTGTTAACTTCTTACTCTTCAATCTATACCAGTGAGCTATGTATTTTTGGGGTTAATTTTGAATTTCGAAAATTTTTGGTTTTAATTTTAGTGTCTAAAACCCAATCCTTATTTTGGGACAAATTTCAAATGAATTTTGGCATTTTTTAATAAATCTTAAAAATTAAAAAATAATTTGTCAACTCTTTAGGAAATGATTTCTGCTGGTTTCACTCCTTTTGAAGATGTTTTCAATTTGATGATTAAAAATGAAGTAACATTGGATGAAAATATAAAATTTGATTTAAAATTTTGGTTACAAGAAATGTCTAAATTTAATGTTCGTCCATCTGTAGCAACTTTTAATTATATTTTTCAAAATTTGGCAAAGGTTTTATATATTTTTAAAATATTTTTTGGATTTAAAAAAATTTAACCCTAAAACCCCAAAAAATTTTTTTAACCAAAAAATTTTTTTTTCATCAATTTTTTGCAATTAAAGATTTTTTTCATTTTTTCCCGAAGATTTTTTGAAAGTTTACTGAAAATTTTTTAATAAAAGTTTTTGAATATTTTTTCCAACAAACAGAAAAATTCGCACACTTTCTCAAGACCCTTTAAATACATATTATCATCTTTTTCAGAATAATTTCTCAGTTTCTATTTTTTCACGTTCTTTTATTGGGTATCTCTTGATTTTGAAACCTTATTTTTATTGACTTGCGTTACTATTTTCGGTTCGAGCCGACGTTCGGTGCATTTTTTCGAGCTTGGTTTTTTACGATTCGGTTCGTTTTCAAGCTGAAAAGCCTCGGCGCTTTTTCGAGTTTCAGTTCAAGCGAGCTGGCAACCCTACTCTTGACGATAAGATTAGTCCAAATTTTTTAAGTTTTTAATTTTGCGGACAAAACTTGCGGATTTTTTCATTTTTTAAATAATTTATAATTTTTAGAATATAAATTTGGAAGAAAATTTAGAAAAAGATTTAACAAATATGGCTTCATCAGATACTCACTTTATTGATACCAAAAAGGATCCTTTAAAAGATGAAGCATTAAATTTATGGAAATCTGCAAAAATGTTTATTAATGAAATGAAAGCTTTAAATATAGAACCTAGTTTAATTATTTATGCAAAAATTTTGGAACTTTCTCCTGATGATATTGTAAGGTTTTTTTTAATTTTAATTTAGTGGGAGGGGGTTACTTAACAGTTTTATCAGCGATCTAAACCGAAAAATCCTCGGTTCTTAGTTTTGGTTATGAACCGACACCTCTGCATATTTATAATAGGTAAGCTACTTGTTCACAAAAGATTCTTGAAAAAAAATTTTTTGACATAAAGACTAACTTGACTTGTCCAATCCCGGAGAATTTGGGTCCGGGGTCAAATTCCGAATTCGGGTTTGGGATTCGACTTTTTCAAAATCCGAGCATTTCTCCTGTTTTTAAACTTTTTTCGCAGGGACCCCAATTCTCCGGGATTGCCCTCAACTTGATATCAAGTCATGATATCATCACCAAATCTTGAAATCATGTCCCTTTCATTATCTTCATCAACTTTTTAAAGAAATTTCTCTGCAAGTTTTTTTAAAAAGTTGACAAAAGCTACTACGAAGACTTATTGTTAGATTGATGTTATACAAAATAAAAAAAATTTTCACTTTTAGAATTATCGAATAGCTTTGTTAAACGAAATTTTAACAAATTTGGAAGAAAAATTATTTAACGGAAAAGAAATTAAAAACACAAATGTTGATGATCACACATTTTTTTTCAATTCATTGTCAATTGCCTCAACTGCTCAAAGTGAAAGTTTGTTGGATAGAACTTTGGAAATTTATAATGATAGAAATAATCGAGTTAAAATTGTTAATGCTAGGGATGAAATTAGGTTATTTTTTGAAATTTTTTTTCTAAATTTTTGAATTTTTTTGAATTTGGGGAAAAATACCTATTCCAAAAGAAGTGGGGAGATAGAAAATAAAAATCCTCAACTAAAATATTTCTTTCATTTTGTGAACATTTTCCAATTTTTATTAGGGTTTCGCCCGAATCCTGAGGTCACGTTTTTCGGGGAGCGTTATAGGATGACTGACAATAAATTGTGAGTGTTATTCTGTTAGTCATCCTCCAACGCTTCCCGAAAAACGTGCCCTCAGGATTCGGGGCGCGCAACCCTAATTTTTATTCACATAAGTGAACTTTTTCCCGTGGCACTTATTTTCTTCTCGTAATTTTGGTTATTGTTAGGCTTGGTTGGACCAGTCAAAAGTTGAACCAGAGAAAAATTAAAAATTTGGTTTCCCTGATTTTTATCGGACGCTTTTTCACCTCAATTTCCTGGTTCTGGATTTCTTTACTAAATTTACCCAAATTTTTTTGACGTAATTTGACTAGGGTTGTCAGTTCTTGGAAAATTTTCGGATATCCGTAACCGAACCGAAGCTGCGTCGAAATTTCGACTTTCGATTTTTGACGTTTTTCTACCGATTTTCGCATTTTTTCATAAAATTTCGATTTCGATAATTTTAGTTTTTCGATTTTCGTTCGATTTTCGATTTTTTTTTGAAAAATTGCATTATCTTTTCTCTTAATATTTAATACCTACGGCGCCAAAAATGAAGAAAATTGGCTACTTGGCCTTCCAAAATTCTCAAAATTTTCGCCAGCGGCGCTACCGACAACCCTAGTAATGACACTTTGCCCGGAATTTTATTTTTAATTTCTTGTCCAAAAATTTAATTTAAAATTTTTTTTAGATTTTTTGAAAATTATTTGATAGCAAAATTGTGTTGCCTTTCTTTAAACAATTTCTTTTTGGTCTACAAAAAATTTGTTCCAAACATAATACCACTTACAGCAATTATTTTTGGAACTATAAATAATCAGATTAATAAGGTTATTTTTTTAATTTTAAAGAAAAAAATTTTTTTTTAATTTTTTAGAGGAAACCCGATGAATTTTGTTGGCCTTTACTTAAAAGATTAACAGAAAATTTTATGAATTCTCGTTGTGCTTATATGGATAAATTTGGTGTTTTTATGATTGAACAGTTACGTGAAGTGAGGCCAAATGTAAGGAGGGGAGGTTTTTTTCAATTTTAATTTGGAAGAGTTGAGTTAGGGACTGGGTCGTTTTGGCGCGGGGCCGTTTTGGCGCGAGCTTATAAGATAGCGAGTTTGTTATCAAAAATGATAAAATTTTGCAATAATAACTCTCTTACCTTTATCTATGTTCTCCAAAAATTTCAGAAATTTTGATCTTTAAAAAATTTTTTTTGGGGGGGGGGGGGGGGGGGGGGTTTGTGGTTGAGGGTTTTATGGTTTACTGGGTTTTATGGTTTACCTTTATTACGAGTTTATAATGCCTTTCCACAACTTTTAATTGCTTCAAATCTTCCCAGTTAACTATCAATGAGCTTTTTTTCATCTTAAAAATTTTATACACATTGTTGCGGTCTCATTTGGGTCAAAAATTATTATTTTTTAAAATTTCTCTTGTTTTTTGGACTTTTTTAATTTTTTTGTCAATAAATTTTTTTCATTTTGTCCACTATAATTAATAAGAAAAAAGTCCAATTCAACAAATAATCTTTATTTTTTATTTCCAGCAACATTTATCAATCGAAGAAGCAAAAGAATATTTTAAATTATGTGAAAGATTAATTAACGTAATTGAAGAAATCGATGCTCGACGTGAATATATGGAACAAAAAAGAAGGAAAGAAGAAGGAATTTTAGCAGAAGAGGAAGAATTAAATATAGCTGCTGTAAAAGAAGAAAATATTAAAAACGAATTGGTTGAAGAAAATGTTTTGAGTAATGAATTTTATGTTGAAGATAAGAGATTATTTTAGATAGAAGAAGATGATATTTGTTTTTATTTTAGTCAGACCTTATTACATGTATGATACACCTTAATAGAGATTAAGACTCTTGGTCTTTTCTTGGGGTTTTTTCGATCTTGGTCTTTGGGTGAAATGGTCTTGAGTCTTGGAAAATTTTCGGTCTTGGAAGTCTCTACACCTCAATAAAATAAATATAATCTCGATTTAAGATGGGTTTTTTAGTTTTTGGTGAGAATGGGGAAAGTATATGGATAGGTTGAGGGTTAAGAAAAAAGTAGGGTAGGGGTAGATTTTCAAAATTTTCTTCGGATAGGGTTTTGTGTTGTGAGAAAGTCCTTTCTCTCCTCCCCTGATGGAGAGGAGAGGTAGTTGTCTAACAATAAGCTATACTCCCTATTTTTCGACCCCCAAGAGTGTATCTTATAAGTGAGGTCTGAATATTATTTTTTGTTTGTTTTTTTTTTGAAAATTGTTTTTAGAAAAAAAAGAAATACTTTTTTGAATTAAAAAAACTATTTTTCAAATATTAAATACCTTTTTAAAATTTATTGTTTAACGAAAATTTTTTTTGAAAATTTAGATTCTTCATAATATGGCTGAACAACCAGCAAGAATCAGAACAATGGGGTTTTGTAACCGCCCGGGCTCGCCTGTGCTTAAATCAGTGCATAATCGATTACAAGAAATGCATACAGAGAATGGAAAGGTTTGAAATAAAATCTAATTTTAAAGAAATCCCTATGAGGCAGGCAGAAACTTGCAGACCGACTTTTGCGGACCCGACCAATTTCTCAAAACATAGCTCATTCGAAAGAGCTCGACGAGCTGAGTCGATGACATCAAAAGCATCGTGATTGTACACGCTTGGACAAAGTTACGATAGAAAAACAAAAACCTAAACCTATGGTCCGCAAAAGTCGGTCCGCAAGTTTCTGCCTGCCTCATAGGAAATGAAGAAATCGTACCTTTCAGTAACTTGGATAAAGGGCGTCGCTTAATTAGATCGCCCACCAAGTGACCAACAAATTTCAAAAATTATCTTAAATTGGGGGTCTTCTAATTTTGGAAATTGCTGAATGGAAGGTGTTCTGAATAATCAGAACAAATCGAAATACTGATTCAACAGACCAATAATTGTAATTCAAACCAGAACAAAATTTTTTCTGAAAAAATCAGAATTTTATTTTCATTCTTATGTCCGCAAATTTAGTCCGCAAAAATTTTTTTTTAATTTTTCCAAAAATTTTTTCTATTTTCAAAATTTTCTCAAAATTTTTCCCTTCAGATTCACCGAATAATCCCAAAGAGTCAGGCAATATGTCTACTCGCCCATATCGACTCTCCAAATTGTATTTGGTTCAAAATGGTCAATAATATAACAGAACAAATGCAGTTACACAAATCTGCTTATTTGGAACCTTTAAATAATTTAAATGAAGTAAAAAGTTATATTTATGTAATGGCACCTATAGAAGAGGGAGTATATGCTAGAGCTAGAATTCTGCATGTACAGCCTGTTAAGTATAAAGAAACCAGATTTTCTTTTGTTTTTGCGCATTTTATTGATGAAGGGTATGGGGCTTGGATGTTGGAGGTTTGTTGGGAAAGTTAATTCTGATTTTCTGAAATTTTTTTGAAATTCTGATTTTATTTAAAATAAATCAGAATTTCTGATATATCAGAATAGAGTCAGAACTTTTTTTTGAAAAATCAGAATAAATCAGAATTCTGATTTACTAACCAGAAATTCTGATTCAGACTAAACAGAATTTTTTGTTTTGAATAATCAGAATTATTATTTTTTGAAACCAGAACAAGCCGTATTCTGGTCTTGTAATTCTGTTTTATATTCTGGAAAATCAGAATTTCATTTTCAGAATAAACCAGAATTTCTGATATATATCAGAACGGGGGTTGGATTTTTGCAAATTCGTTCTGGAAAAATCAAAATTTGATCTGATAAATTATGATTTAAGAAAAATCAGAATTTTAATTTAACTACAAAATTCTGATTTGATAAAGCAATAAAAAAATCAGAATTCTGATTTTCAAAACAATCAGAATTTTTGTTATATAACAACTGATTCATAATTTTTTCGAGCTCGTTCTGAAAAATTAGATTTCTGATTTAATCAAAAAGTCAGAATTCTGGTTATTAATCCGATAGAAAATCAGAATTTAATTTCAGAATAATCAGAATTTTTATTTAATTTCTTTTTTTTAAAGGATTGCCTAGCAAAAATGGATCCACAATTGCAATGGCATCCTTGGCAAGCATTCCCTGTGTCCCTATTTAAATTTGATTTGCCAAAAAATTTGGAGTCTTTTGAACGTTTAAATTATTGGCCAGAAGAGATTAATGATGAATTAATTAAAATAATGGGGGAATATGAACAATTTAAAATTGTACCTGTTCAAGGCAAAATGACTAATGATTATTGTGAATATACGAGGGTACTATTTTGATTTATAACTAAAAAATTTTTTTTAATTTTGCGGACAAAAATATTTAACGGATTTGCATTTGCGGACAAAAAAATTTTTGCGGATAATAATTTTTTGTGGGTAAAAATTTTTGCGGACAAAATTTTTTTTTGCGGACAAAATTTGTGGATAAAAATTTTTGCGGACAAAAAATTTTTTGCGGATAATAATCTTTGCGGACGACAAATAGAATGTAGCCGAACCTCATTATAATGTAAACTCAATATTAGGTATACCCCAGTTTAAGATATGTATCTATTTTCAAATTAGGCTGGCCACTGTTTGTGGAGCCTTCTAAACGATATCCTCTATTTAAGTTACACCTCATTATAAGCTACGATTTTTTCTGACACGAGGGGTTGTCCAAAAATGAGGTCAACTATTAAAATTCCAAATAAAAATTTTTTTAAGGCAGAAATATATGGTTTAAATTCTGATAGAGACAATGAAAGAGGACAAGGAACAGCAGAATCTATAGGGCATCGTTTAGCTATCGAATTTCAACCCTTAGAATTGCTTGATAGAAATATGTTTCATGTAAATCAACAAATAATATCTAAAAGGGATGGAATTAAACCTTTAACGGTTTGTTTTTGTTTTGATTTTTTGGGAGAAAAAATTTTTGAAGCAGGAGGGGTTTGCTTTGAATCCTTTACTTTATGCTCTAATTAATCCGCAAGTTTTATCCGCAAGTCATTCTATTGAAGGAGAGGAGATTGAGTTGGTTAGTATTTTATAAACGCTTACTAACGGAGTTTTAAACATTCTTAAAAGAGAAAGTGAAACGTCTCAGTAACTCCCAATCAGTCGGCAGTAGAGCACTTGAACGTGGTAAATGAAAGCTCCTAGCAATAACTATTAGGGGGTCACAGGTTCTTACCCACCCTTGGCTAAAATTTAACCTCTCTCCTACTTTATGAAACCTTTCTGGAAAATATTTATGAAATTATTTTAAAAAATAATTCAGGAAACGTGCATTTCGCTCCTATATTTTTAGTTACCATATTTTACATGTGTATGATTTGCGGATAAAACTTGCGAATTTTTAGTAACATAAAGGATAAATAATCTTAAATTGCATCTTCTGTCCTTAGAATCTTTTAAAAATTCTCAAAAAATTTTTTCTTTTTCTTTTCTTTTTGCGGACAAAACTTGCGGATTATTGTGAGCATACAGTCAAAGAAAATTTTTTTAATTTTCAAAAAAAAATTTTTTTTTCAAAGGTGGGTGATGCAATCTTATTACTCCAACAAATGCCAAAATGGAGAAGGACTTTTCCTAATGACTTCTCAATTATAAGAGAAGAAATGCTTCCCGAAAATGAAGAAGAGAGGGAAGGACAACTTCCTCCTCATTGGCAAAAAATTGCAGGGCAATTACCTTTAGTGGAAGATTTTACTTTTAATTTATTAAGAACACATTATTCTACAAATGAAGGAAAACAAGTTGTGTGTATTGAATGGGATTCTTTGGTACTTTTAAATTTAATTTCTAAATATCCCCTTTGGGCCGAAAAAATCATACCTCATAATGAAGTGTTTATAAATTGAAGTAGTCCTTCAAACAACTGCTAATGTATGTGAAGGGCGTAGCCGAGAGTCGATTTCTGTGGAGGGGCTAAATCCTCTCCTCAAATTTTTTCCTTTGCCCGTTTCGGGGGGAGGGGGCTTTAACCCCAGAAGCCCCCTGGCTTCGCTCTTGGTTTTTAAGGATAAATAAAAATGAGACTTGATTGTAATACACGAGTGCCTGTCTTTATTTTATTGAAACTCCTCGTACTCTAACCTCTCCATTTTACTAGACCATTTTGTACTTTTACTTCAGAGATGTCCCACATCCTTAAATATCACAATTTTTAAGATATCCCATCTACAGGGTGACAAAAAAGTAATTGGACACTTTATTTTTGCCATAACTTTATTTAAATTAAAGATAATGAGATCAAATAAAGATGAAATTATAGAGAATTAAATGGAGAATAAGATATAAAAATCTTTTAGAATTATTCCTATTCTATTTTGAGATAAGGTTAAAGGAAAGTAAGAAAAATTATTGCTCCAGGTCGCACCTTTTTTTGAGGCATTTTGCCTATAACATTAGAACAGATTGGAGGAATTACACAAATTTATTTTGGCATGTAGAGCAGTCTTTCATCTATAGAAATTATAAAGCAAAAAATTTTTTAGATTAACGCCTAAAGAGATATTCGATTGCGCGTAACCCTCCCAAAATGAGAGAATCGCATTCCCCCCAAAACTGATTTACATCTACTCAGAGCCATCCATGTAGGAGTTTGGATTTTCATCTTTCAGATTTGTCCGGTTCGCTAATGGTCTTAATTAAATTCTGTTGAGATCATCCCGTTTGGACTTCTCCTTTCTGAGATACAGAAATCAAAATTTTGGGGGGAAAATTTTGATATGGTGTACCTAAAATTACATAACTTTCTTAATCCTTAATCAAAAAATCTTTAATTCTACAATATGATAGAGAAATAAATGTTCTACAAAATAAACTTGGAATCATCTAAAAATGTTACGAACAAAAAAAGTTATAAAGGATAGAAAAGTGTCCAATTACTTTTTTGTCACCCTGTATAGACATTAAAGTTTGGATCAGACTCTAGTGTCCAAAATTTTCAAAAAAAATTTTTAAATTAAAAAAATTTTCAGAAATCTCCTTATGAATTTTATGCTTTTCCATTAAAACAAACATTACCAGAAGAAAATAAAAATAAAGAAGTAATAATAGAGAAAAATCCAATAAGACGTCTCTACAATTTACAATCAGAATTGGCTTTAGAATTAAATAAATTTTATGGGGACCCAATAAATAGAAGAAAAGTTGATCCAGAAGAAGTTTTTACAAATTTAGCTGTGGGGCCATATTTTGGAATTTATGAGACAAATGATGAAATTAGGGATAGAAATTTTAGAAGAATTCAAATTCTTGCAATGAGAAATAGGAGAGGGCCAGAATGGACTAGTGAATTTTGTAGAATACGCTATTTGGATGTTGGGGGGACTGAAATTGTGCCTTTTTGTTGTATTTTGCGGATACATACAGAGTGAGGGGATTTTGGGGTTTTTTGGGAATGGATTGGAGATTAGAGTATTTGTCTTTTTGGGGTATATTAGAGACTGGGAAGTTCAATCCTCATTCACGTATACAAGGTTATGAATTGCCCCTACTCCTATTTTGACTTTTTTATCACATATTTTGACTTCTTTACAAGAAGTTTTTACAAATTTAGCTGTACCTATTTTAAGGTTCCGGGCCCCCTTCAGCCCCCTTCAAAAATTCGGGCCCCCTTCAAAAATCCGGGCCACCTTCAAAAATCCGGGCCCCCTTCAAAAATCCGGCCCCCCTTCAGCCCCCTTCAAAAATCCGGGCCCCCTTCAGCTTTGTCCTGTTTTGCTTATCATACATTCCTGTTTATGAGGGAGGGGGGAGGTTCTTAGTTATCCTATACATTAGAAATCGACATTAAAAATAATTTTTCTTATAGTCATTGTAACAAGCCACCTCTATGTATTCAACTTTCCTTACAAACTATTCAGCCAACAAAGACTAAAAATTGGCATTTGGTAGTTTTGCAAGATTATTAAAATTAAAGATTCCTTTTGTTTTTTCAAGGATGAAATACGTTTTTTTAAAAGTCAGATTCGTGTAGACATTCCAGCAATATGCAAATTGCGTTTACTCAAGTAAAGTTATATATAGACTGACCTCGTTTTTAAAGCCCCCCCCTTTTAGGCATAAAAAATCATGGCTTATAAAAGGTGTGTCTTGGATAAGAGGGTATTGTTCAAGTGGCCTCCCCCATCTGGCCAATAATTTAAAAATTGAGAGATTTATCTAATCGACACGAGACGAAATCTCTCGAACAAAAATTTCGGTTATCGAGAATCGAGATTTTTCGAGATCTCGATTCTCGAACCTAGTATTGTGGGGGTATTTAAAAACGAGATTCGATTATAGAGTTGAAATTGAAAGAGAAAGATTTCCAAATTAAAAAAATTTCTTTTATCCAGTCCTCACAATGCTGTTACCGACTACAATTCATTACCCCAATCTTGGCCTGGCGTTTATGGTGTTTACGAATTTAATATGGGTAATGTCAAATTGGAGGCTAAAATGGTAGAGAGTGGAAATGCTGTTTATACAGAAGCTGTTAATCGTAATGGGAATTGATTTTTATAGGAAAAATTTTGGATTAATTTTTAAAAAAATAATTTTTTTAAGTTGTGGAAAGTGCCTTTACTTTTAAAAATATAAACATTTATAATAATATGGACGGACCTCGCTATAAGATAAACCCAATATTAGGAACCGCTCTGTTTAAATACACTTTAAATTTGGTTATTGGGTTGGGGAGCGCCTAGGCGATACCCTTTATTTAGGAGATACCTTCTTTTTAAGTACCCCCAATTTAAGACACTCCCAATTTAAGATATGTACCCTCTATATAAGGATACCTTCTATTTAAGAGATAACTTCTGTTTAAGTTACCCTCCATATAAAATACCCTCTATTTAAGATACACCTTCATTATAAGAGACGATTTGTTCCCAAAAGTATATCTTATAGTGAGTTTCGACCAATTTAAAATTTATTCTTTTTTCCACCTTGATGACTTTCTTTTTTATACCACTTAAGATATACATACATTTACTTAATTTATAATTCCATTTTTTTATATTTTATATACGTTAAAAGATTATACAGTCGGATCTCGCTTATACAACACCTCTCTCTAGGAAAAAATTTGATATTAAAATCAGGTGTCGTACCAACAAGTGATATTAAAAATTAAGTGTCATGCAAGTAGGTGAGGGTTAAATTTCGTTTTTGTGCCACCTTTCATGCAGAATTTTCTTTTCAGAAATTTGACGTTAATATAGGAGTCGTCCAAGTGAGATCCGTCTCAATATTAAATTTTATTTTTTAATTAAATACGTATCTTTAATAAAAATTTTACTTATTTTAAAAAATAAACTAAAATACATAAATAAAAATCTTCCAAAATTTTTTTTTCCATTTTATCACATTTTTAACATCCCAAACATTTGTTCCAAATCCTCACTTAACGAAACAGAATAATTTCGCTGTCGGTTATCATCAATAATATTTAAATGTCCTTGTTGTGGTTGTTGTTGCCTATTTTTAATTTAGAAAATAATTAAAAAAATTTTCTTTTAAAGGCTAGTAGGCTTCAGAAATATGTTTACTCTCCTTCCTTAACTTTCTCTTTTATTTTCTAAATTAGAATTCATTCACTTAAAAAATATAAGACACCCAGCGGGTTCGAACCCACGACCTCTTAAGCCTCAAGCAGTGCTCTTACCCACTTGACCATCGTTGCTTAGAATGACCTAAAGCTTTCTTCCTCCTACCGTCCAAGAATTAAAATTTGTCACGTCAACAATCCTCAATATCTTTCACTATAGCCAAAGGGGTTCCAAAAACCTTTTATAAATCCCTAGTTTCATAAAAAAATTCGATTTAAAATTTACCCATTATTTCCTTCATTTTCTCTTCCAATTTCCATCCCTCCTGCTAAATTCTCTTCATTTTCATAAGACTGATTAGAATGCCCAGAAGAGTCTGAACTTCCCTCTCTATCTTCCTCCTCTTCCGGAATTAAAATTTGAGGAATGCTAATTTGGTGTTCTTCTTCCGAAACATTTAATTCCTCATTATTTAAAGTCATTGGAAATACTTTAGCTTTGGGTATTTCTTTTTTATTATTTAATTTTTCCTCTTTTTTATTTAACTTTTTTTCATGATTTTCGGTCACTAGTTGTTGGCATTTTTTATTTTGACGTTCCACAAATTTTCCAAATAATTTTTCATGTTTTTGTTCCAGTTTGTCTATTTTAGCCTGCATTTCTTGAAGTTGTATAAGTAATTCGCGATTACAAGAAGAGGAAAAATCAGAAAAACAGTGGCGATCAGAATTTCGACGTCTAAAAATTTTTTCTTAATTTTAAAATAGAAGAAAAAAAAATTTGAACTCAAAAGGATTCGAACTCACGACCTTAAAAACCACACAAACTGCGCTCTTACCCACTAAACCAACTGATTAGAATGCCACATTTAAGTATCATAATTTTTCTTGGATCTAATATTGAACGAGCAAAAGAGAAAAAGTATCAACCAACGGGTCTGAATCTACAAGAACTGCGCTTTTATCCACTAGGCTAAAAGCACTTTCGGACCTATTATAAATCACCTTTCCGGACAATTATTGTCTTTTAACCGGAATTTCCTTCTTGCCAAATCATCCATACAATCTTCTTCAAAGTCTTGCAAGTCTCTAAGTTCATCCGTTCTTAGTTGGAATTCTTTTAAATTTATTTGAAAAATATTTAAACAAAAAATCACCGTTCAAATTGGTTGATTTGTGTTGTTGTTCATCATAGTGAAATGGACATAACATTCTGGACTTGAAAAAAATTTTGCAGGCGAACCTCATTTTTAGATAACCCCAAATGATACACCTCATTATAGGTCTGTCTGGTCATGGATGCCCGAAAAAATCCGCAAAATTTTTGCGGATAAAAATATATGTCCGCAATTTTTGCAGATAGGAATTTCTGTCCTCAAAATTTTTTCTCCCCAAAAAATGAACCGATACCTCCAATTTAATGTAACCTCATCATAAGATCCAATATTTTTCTACACCGACAGGGGTATCAATAAATGAGGCATCAGGGTTGTGCGCCATGGCGTTGCGTTTTGGCGGCCATTTTTGGTCGATTTTGGCGTTTGGCGTGTTTTAAGAATTTGAAAAATTGGCGGTTGGCGTGCCACACGAAAATTTTAGCGCACAGACCTGAGGCCCAACTACATTTTCTTCAATTACCTTACAAATCCTTCTAAATAACATAAAAATATGAGCTATTGGAGTAAATGGAGGAGGTAAAACTGGTGTTGATTTGTATTCCAAAACTTGTCCATATCTTTGAAACATCCATACTTGTCTAGACATTGCATTTGTTACATTAAATATATTACTGTATTTAATCAATGGATTTTTTTAATTAATTAAAATTACTTAAATATAGCAATAAGCATATTTATAAGTAAAATATTTGCAATTAGAAGAAATACAGTCATTAAAATTGGAGGAATCCAGTGACCAGGAACACAATTTGTACCTGAAGAGAAAATGGAATACGTTTCTTATTACATGGATATAATTGTCCGCAAAAAAATTTTTTTGTCCGCAAATATTTGCGGATTGTCCGCATAAAAGCTGCGGATTTTTTTGAGTCCGCAAATTTTTGCGCAAAATTTTTTTGTCCGCAAATATATCTTTACCTTCATCTCCACAAGTATCAATCTCTCCGGCATATACTTCTCCATAAAGCATAAAATAAGGCTAAAAATAAATTTTCATGAACTTATTTCTAAAACTTTTACAAACTTTGTAAAAAATATTTCGCACAAGTATCCACGACCATTTTTCATGTGGAAAAGTTATTGACTGGCGGGCTTAAAAAATATATTTGTGATTTTTCGGAAGGCTTCAATTACTTAAATTTTGGTTACCATTTGTGTCCCACTGATTTAATCAGACTCAAATGTCCTATCAAACAAGTTCAGACTAGGGTAGCAACCCGACCCAGAAAACTCCGACGGATTTTTTTGGTAAAAACCTCGACCCGAACCCCAAAGGGTCTACCCCGGCAAACCCCGATCCCCGATACATCCGACCTGACCAATCGGCCTATAAGAACAATCCAGACTCAAACTGCATAAAACACCTAGACTCAAAATACACTTAGACTCTAATTGCACTAAATCTAAAGATTTACCTACACCAAAAGCCATTAGAGTAACCATTAATAAAGCAATAATATAAGACATTGCTAGAACCATTTTGCCAGCCATGGTAATATAAGGCCCAATTCGGGGGTGTACAGACATGTAATCAAAACTTGAAAAAAGAAATTCTTTAACAAGAACGTCAAACAAACGTTTTCATATGCCAGAGAACCGAATTAACAGCCAAAATCACTCTGCTGTGACTGTGTACTCTAACAGGGTCAAAACGAAAAGCAAAACCAACAAAATAAGATAAAATGGCTACTGTAGTTAACATATTCCAATATTTACTGTAGAAAATTTTAATTTTCTCTAATATGGAAGAAGCTTCGAGTATGAGAAGCTAAAAAATGAATTTTTGGGGAAGATTTTGTTATTAATAAGGGGGCAGTTCAGTATGGGCTTATAACCAGGGCTGGACGCAACTAAAAAAATTTTCCGCAGCCGCAATTTAAATTTTAAAATCCGCAACTGCAATCCGCAAGTCCAAAAAACACGCAATCCGCAGTATTCAGTTGCGTCCAGCCCTGCTTATAACTTGATTATGAGAGGTTTGACTATGTATTTTTAAAATTCTGAAAATTCGAGAATTGTGTAGTTTACGTCCCATAAGCTCCGCCTTTTTCTTATTTCCTCCCTTTCTTATAAGGAGAAGTAATGGGCTGAAATAAATAAAAATATTGACCCAAATGTCTCTTTTCCTATAAGAAAAGGAAGAGAGAAGAAAAGAAGGGTGTGGCTTATGGGACGTAAACTACACAAGTACCAAAATTCTCCCTCCCACCTTCCTAAAATGTTCCATTCCCAAAGCCAAAACATAAGCAAAAATAAGCCATTCAATATAAGTAACTTGGGCTGGAAATTCAATTAAAAGAACATAAATCAGAAGAAACATAAAGAATAGAAAAGAGATTGCCCAGACCCAAAAAGAGGTTATTGGTGCTGAATAAAACATTCCAAATTTTGATGAACATAAACACAGGGGATTTTGATTTTTCTTTAAAAATGAAAAATAAATCATAACATTAAACTACAATTTAGCTACAGGTTGGTCCCCGACATGGGGGGGGCACGGGATAACTTTTCGTAGAGGCAGCGCCACAGGAAGGGGGGGGGGGGCACGGGGATAACTACTTTTCGGGGAGGCAGCGCCACTGGGGGGGGGGGGTGGGGACAGAATTTTCAAAAAACTCAAATTCCACGACTTTTGGGGACCGGGACCAACCCTACAATTTAGCTAGAGGTGGTCATGGACCTAGCTAGAGGCCCTTTATAGGAGAAACAACTTCCCAAAAATCAGACTCTATTGGGTAGGATTAAACTGCCATATTAAAAGGGTGACAATAGAGTCTGAATTTTTACCAATTTAATGTGAGACTCTAATGGCATCGCCCTTTTACCTTCTCAAAAGAAGCGTCATCTACCATTTCCTTCAAATTATCATCGCCAACACAATCATTTCCCAAAAGAGGCCTTTCAGACTCTAATGAACCAATAAATGTTGAATGATTGTTTCTTTCGGTATTTGAGGTATACAAAGGTGTTTTGAAGTCGAGAAGAAGAATGCTTGGTGGCAATAAAAGGCCAAGAATTACTTTGATGTTTGATTGGCTTAAATTTTGGGAAAATCCTTTTCTTTGGCGTTATGAATTTTTTCATTTTTATTATTTGAGTCTTGAGGATAGATTACTACTTTTAGTCATTAGAGTCTTGATAGCGTGTGCAAGACTCAATATTGAAACCAGGACTCTTATGAACCTCAAAGGACTCTACATCGATTCCCAGACTCAAATGAACTAGAATTTAAGACGGAGTCCCAGACTCAAACGACCCTTTTCCAAATAAAATATCTCTCCTACTTTCTAAGACGTAGACCACCATGCCACAATTCAGCAAGCAAAATTTGACAACAAGGATGGGCAAGAAATCTCTTATTGTTAGCAATAACAGCCAATGAAAGACAAGATTGTTGCCCCCAATTAGGCAATTCTGCACCTAATAATCTCATAGTCATTCTTTGGTCTTGTTCATGACAATGATTTAATAATTCCAACGAATAATCACGAAATTCCTGAAAATGATCTGGTCAATCACTATCCCTATGAGTCTTAAAGACCGAGCAATTTTTAGTCGTTTCAGACTCTAATGATCTCCTCAAATACTAGACTCTAATGGGCGTTTATTTATTAAGCTGTTGGTTGGTCTCGCATAGAGGTCGGTAAAATCGCATTCCCGGGATCCCGCAATGGGATTTTTTCAACATTTTGTACGGGACGGGATCCCGCGGGATTAATCCCTTAAATCCCGGTAATCCCGTTTTCGCTGAAACCCGTGATTACGGGATGGGATCACGTAAAATCCCGTACGGGGTCCCGTTCCGTGCCGACCTCGAGTCTCGTACATAAACATCGAAGTGACACTAGAGTCTGGCGACTAAAAATTGACTTAAGAATTTTACTGCCCAGACTCTTAATGTCCCTATGATTAAAGAAACAGAATAAACACCTGCGCGCACTCCCTCAACTGGTTACTAACTTCCATTTCGGCATAATCATGAGCCACCTCCCTACTCATACATTTATATAATCCAGGGCTCCGATCGACAAAATGCCACTCAAAAGTATCAAAATCTTGTAAAAAAAGTACATAGGGAGAAAATTTACAAATAAAAAGTACACTCAAAATTAAATTTGAAAATATTTATTCGTGATCAGATCTTTTATATTTCTCTCTTAAATTAATCTTTTCTAATAATTTCTTGTTTCAACTGAGCATTTTGTTGACATGTCAAAATTTGCTGTCACATGAAGCAAAGCTCTGACAGTCTTAACCTCAAGCGAGTTTCTTTCTTTCGTCCATTGAATGTTTGCCATTGAGAAGCGCCGCAGGCGAAAATTTTTTGAAATTTGGAGCCTAAGAAGAAAGATTTCTTCTTTTTCAGCGCCGCAGGCGAAAATTTTAAGAATTTTGGAGGTCCTTAAGCCAGATTTCTTCGTTTTTTCAAAAATGTTGATAAAAAAGTACATACTTTCAAAAAAGTACAAATTCAATTTCGGAAGTACGAAGGTCGATAAAAAAGTACAATACTTTTAAAAAAGTACGAATCGGAGCCCTGATATAATCTAATAGCAGCCAGAGCTTTAGCTAAAGGTTCCTCTCCATGTTGCCAAAACAATTTGGCCATTTCGTGTCTTTTTGTTAAAACAGCCCAAAGCATTAGTTCATTAAACGGAAAAGAAAATTCTGGGTGTTTTTGAGTATTGCTAGAATTTGTGCCTGTGTCTCCTTCCTCTTCCCAGCCAAGTGGAGACATTGTTAGAGCACTTTTGCGCTTCAAAAAAAATTTTCAGGCTTTTAGAGTCTCTCCCTTCCTCTCCCCTAAAAATTTTCTCTCCTTTCCCACCTTAGGCTGTTTGAGCCCCTCCTCTCCATAGTCACTACTCCCAGACAAACACATTTGTAATGAAGAAAGTTGTTTTGATTGACTCGTTTTAAAAAATTGTTTTTGGCCAGACAACGATTTTGCGCGTTCATACCGTAATTTAAATGTTCTGGTTGTGTAGGTGGAGCGAAAGGCATTTCCCATTAAGCGTTCTATAGCTGCCCCTATTTCCGGTAGAGAGAAGGCAGATTTTCCGCCTTGGATTGATCCGCCTTTAGGCTGTTGATTACTGCTGGACATTAAGGGTATTAACAATGAAGGGACCTTAAAATTTTTCTTGAAATTATGAAGAAGGGACATTAAAGTATGAAGGGTTATTTGAGTGAGTCTTTATAGGATAGCCGTATGGTTATCTAGACCAGTGAAATTTTTTGTGGTGATAGCTGATAGTGTTAACTAGCCCTTCCGGCAAATCAGAATTTTTTCAGAACATAAATCAGAATTTTGTTCTGAGAATCAGGCAAAAATCAGAATTTTTCAGAACAAAAATCAGAATTTTTTCAGAACAAAAATCAGAATTTTTTTTTGAAAATCAGGCAAAAATCAGAATTTGTTCTGACCAAAAATCAGAATTTTTTCACTCAAATGGCTGGTTGTACTCCAATATCCTCCTTCTTAGATATAAAAAATCGGAATTTTCTGATCTGTTATCAGAATAAAAATCAAAATTTTGAGAGGTCCCAATTTAAAATATTTTACAGAAAAGTTCTGAAGAAACTCACAGCATTATATAAATATTCAAGTCGTTGGAAAGTTAAAAACCGTCTAGGAGACAGACCTTGCTCTAAAAATAAACGAACAAATTCAACTTTAGAAGACAATAGAGCCTCCATCATTGGCTAAAATTTTTCTTAAAATTTTTGGCATTCTGTCAATTTAAAATTAATTTACTTGAATTAACCAGTCAGGATCTGAAGGGTACAAACTAGATTTGTTAAAGATTTCACTTTTGGCAATATCCTCACGTCCCCAAGCCAAAGTTAGTAATAACTGGTCTACTGGGGTTAAGTCCTGTCCATGCAACAGGGCACGAAGTATAACTCTATCCATTTTGTGTTCGTCCGGTTGGAAATGTTGTAAATGGTTCTCTGGGACGCGGAAGACTGTTAACTTAAAAATTGAGTATTTTAAGACTCAAATAGGTTGGGGGAAAACCGGGTATTCCCGTTCCCGGTTTCATCCCGGTTGCTTCAAAAAACCGGAAAAGTGGACTCGAAAATCGGGAACGGGTCCCGGACCCGTTCCGATCTCTAGTTGAGATGGACAGTTGAGTATGAGAGTTGAAAGCAAGTGGACATTTGAGTCTAAGGGTTTTAGCAAAGACATTTAGTTCATACGAGTCTAATCATATTAAAGCCAACCAAGTTATTCCTTTTCTCTACACACTGAGAAATACGGTAAAGTAAGGCTTCTGGTGAGTTACAAGGATTCACATTATTAACAGTAAGCTTTCCTGCCAGAGCTAACAAATGAGCACGCATTTTCGGAGGTAATTTACTGTTTAAGAGTTGAAATTATTTTATTTAATTTTAAATACCCATTATCACCAAAATGTCGAACACCTAATGCAAGTAGATCACAAACGCGACCACTTCCTTCACAGACAATTACCTTTAATTTAGTTATTAATTTAGATTGAAGGAACGGTGACTCCAGCAAAAATTTCCCTTATATGCTACGGTACATAAAAATCGCGCGCGGCTTGCGACAGATGCTCGGCAACAAGACACCACCGAGACGCTGGTATTGTAGTCACATAAAATCAGCGTTAGTCGCTTTGCACTTTTCATCTTAGCGGAAAACGTCCATTTTATGTTACCACATCACTTGCGTCTTTCGCTCGCATCTTGCGATTTTTATGTAAGCATGAGGATTACGGAGGGGAGGGAAGGGAGGATTACGGATAGGGAGGTGGGGAGGATTACGGACGGGGAGGGAAGTGAGGGTTACGGACGGTGAGGAGGAAGATGTTCATGGACTAGATAACGGGACTTAGAAGGGTACATGTTATTTGCCGAATAGAGGGATTAGCAGGATAGAAAGGTAGATGAGAATATCCCTCCAACAATCCCATCTCCCTGGACAAAATTCAAAAATCACCCATACAGGAATAGGCGGTTGTCCAAGAAGACATCTATAAATAGCATTTAATGTACATATTCCCCCTTCTAAAGCAACACAAATTGTAGGTATTCTTCTTCTATTCTCTCCAACATTTTTAGCTAAAAACTCTTCCAATCTTCTCCTCAAAACAATTTCTGCTCCATAACGATTAGATGTTCCATTATCGGCGAGCAGAAAATAGGAGCCTCGATCATTTAAAGGAACTCCCCCAAAAGTTGTTTTTGGCGATTCTCCTCTTTCGTTAGAAGGGGAAATTATTGGAGTATTAGTTGAATTTTGACGGTCATAAACAACGTGTGTGTCATGTCCAATTAATTGTTCTCGGCGTTGGAGCATTCCCCATGGAGCGATTCCGACAGTGACTATACGTGAACGCATTCTATAAAAGAGAAAAAAAATTTGGGCGAATGCTCTAGATAATTCAGATTAGCTTTGATTTAGAGCCATAATTTTTAATTAATTTTACTGAAAATTTTAAACGACGTCCGAAAGCTCTCTAGCTGAGGAGAGAGACTCTCTCTCTCTCTCTCTAACCTTTTCACATCCGGACGTATATTCTGAATTAACAAGAAGTTACCCGATTGTAACATTTTATAGTGATCGGAACAAATTAGTCCAGTTATGAAATAAAGTAGGATCCCCATAACTACGACCTTAGAGTAAGAATTATTTGAATCTGTCAAAAATCGGGAAAGGCATAGTCCTTCTCCGAATCACCCTTTAATTTGGGGATGTGTGTGTCTCACATAGAAACATAGAACTCAAAAAACTACCTAGCAGAAATTCCAGCTTCATCCAATGCCTTAGCAACGTGTTTAACTACACCAGAATCCAATCCAGAGGTTAATACCCAAGCGCCAGTTGTTTCTGCTGCTTTCAGAAGACCTTCTCGAAAGACTCTTCCCAATTTTTCTGGTACACTTTAAGGGAATACAAAAGAGAAATTTTTAGAGACACTTTAAAATTGTTACTTAAAATCAGAAGTGCCTCCATGTACAGAAATAACCAGTCGAGGCCTTTCCAATCCCCACAATCTTTCCATAAGGTTCATGATGTCGGCAGGGTCTGAATCGAAGGATAGACGCAGATAACGAGCCTTGTGTACGTGTGTTCCACCCTTTGAGAAAAAAATAGAAGAAGAGTAGGACCTTCCTATAAGATAAATGTCCAATACTAGCAATTAGGAGGGGGGGGGGAGTCTTTCTAAAAGTTATCCTCTATTTAAAATACACCTCATTATAAGACAAAAACCCTATGCACAAGGGCATAACTCATAATGAGGACCAAACTACACCGGATACCCCTGATAAAATTTTTTAAAATTTAGTTGCCAACTGGGAGGTGAACCATATAAGCGATACTTCATTTAAGATACACTTCATCACGATATACCTAATTTTTTCAGTTCTAAGATAGTGGGAGCTATATATTGGATGGTAAAAGAAAAGCGTCTTATTTGTTTTTTTTCAGTTCAGTCTTTTTGATAAAGCTATGACCCCCACCATAGATACTCTCTCCTACTTGAAATTCCACAGTTCCATAAGCATCTGTAGGAGTACAGGCAGTACAAGTTCCAATTGTCCAATTGCCTGAACTTTGACCAGCAGAGGACAAGTGAAAACGCGCTCCTCGAGTAACTACCGAACTTGTAAAACGGGAAAGAGCAAGTTGGGAATGTTCGGCACTAACTCTCCCACAACAACAACTAGAGAGAATTTTATATATAAATTTAAATTTTTTCATTTTTACCGATCAGAGTGATCGTCGGCAGGTATAAATTTAATACATTCACGGCGTTGAAATACTCGTTCTAGCCATGTACTAGAAATATGAGCTCTTTTGTGGTGGTGAGAGTCTTGCTAAAGAATATTTTCAAAAATTCCCTGCTTGTTTTTGGGTAAAATTAGACTTACCCTAGACATTCGCCTACCAACTGCACTAATTCCACTATCATTGAGATGTCTAGAAAAGATAAGATAAGGAATCTATTGGATTTGTATATCTTCCCAAAATTTTAATTTCCAAATTAACCCAATCAAAGTATCAGAGCGGATACTAGTTTTAGATACAATGTCACGCCATCGGGGAGAAACAATCCCCAATCTCCTAGCCAAATCTGAATTTTGCCAAAAAGGATAGTGTTTATGTTATTTTGGGGGCCTATAACTCGGTCCCCGGTACCATTTAGCGGAAATGGTGGTAGGGTATACTTATTTAGGGTATGATCTACCTGTCTGCAAAATTCCATACCGAAGTCCCGCGGACACCCCAGGCACTCTTCTTTGTTAGCTCTTTGTTGACTCTCCTTTGTTGACTCCCGCGAGACAACGAACAATAGTCCGGTCTCCAACTACAATAGGGAGTTACCTATGGTCGAATATAAGTTTTAGCATTTTGTCAAGATTTGGATTTGGCGAGATATGAGGGAGCCAGAAGAAGCAAAGGTCTTCCGACCATCCCTCACCGCCATAGAAACCAGTCTCCATCAAATACCTGCTCGACTGTAGCTGTTCACATTCCCCAACTTCTTCAGAACCCATAAGAGCCGATGACGGCGAAGAAAATAAATAAAAATCTAATGAAGGAATTGCAGTTAATCTACTAATATTTTGTTGTTGATTTGGTCCCCCAGCAATATCGCTAGTTGAAGATGCTGTAGAGAAAAGGAGGCCAGAACATAGGGAACGATTTCGGGGCGGGGACGTTAAATTATTAATTTCTTCATTTTCCATTATTTAAAATTTTGGAAGAATTTATGATTAAAAAGTTGATTAATTATTAGAAAATTAATTCTTTGAAAAAAATTTTTTTAGTTAATTTGGAAAAAATATTAAAATATTTTAAATTTATTTTTAAATTTATTATTAAATCTCACATATTTTAGCCTGAAAAAATTTTTAAAATAAAATTTAAAAATGAGCTAATCAAAACAGCTTGATATTTTAAACACTGATAATGATAATAATTATTTTACTGATATATTCATTAAATTTTATTTTCTTATAAAAGAAGAGAGGGGTTGTTTGTTAGCTTCCCAAGTCTTTAAAATTAACGTAATTTGTGTTATTTTTCGGAAAAATTGCAAAATACTGATAGACAGATCGATACTTTCAAGACCGGTCTAATAGGGTTGTTCCCCGACGGGGGGAGGGGAGGGCCACGGGGAGAACTTTTCGGGGAGACAGCGCCACGGAGGGGGGGGGGGGGTGGGACGTACGATCTAATATAAGACCCTACGATCTAATATCAGTAATAATATCAATATAGAATCCAGAACAACCTCATCTCTCCTGTAAAGGGGAGAATGATCGGTTGGTGTCGTTATTTTGGGGGTAACTATGGTTAAGTATTGTTATAACCAGATAGCCTTATAATCAGCGACGCAATAATGTTGATTATCATTTTATCATTTCTATTACATAACAATTTTAATCAAAAAAATTTTTTTAATGCGAAAAGACAAGAGAAACTGGGGAAAGACCAACCGCAGTTTAACATAATAATCCCCCTCTCAAATATTGTCAAAAAAAATTTCGCAAACCGATCGATCCTTTCAATAATTATATAAATATTCTATCAATACCCCTCCCCATCTTTTTTTTAAATAAAAAGCCAAGAAAAAAATTTATTTTTGGTCGGAAGTGATGACAGTCGAAAAAATTAAAATTAATTATCTTCACATATTTTTATTACTTTTCCCCCAAGTTTTGTTAAATTAGAGAGAAATTTTTTTTTAATTTTTATAATTCTTAATAAGAATTATTCTTCTTTTATCAAGAGTAGGGTAGCCGTTTTCGAGTCGGGCCGACGGTCGAGGCATTTTTTCGGGCCTGACTTTATCGAGTCAGGCCTATACGAGTCTTTTTTGGGCTTTTTCGTCTCGATCTTTCGGTCCGAGTCGGGCCATTTTGGCAACCCTAATCAAGAGGATTCCTTTCAGCTTCCGGCAGAACATGATTTTAGATATCTTTATTTGTCCTTGCTAGTAGCACTGACATGGAATTTCAAGGAATTTTGGCATACTTTTTTAAACTGTCCATTAGAGCTGTCCAAGAATGAAAATTTTCCAAGACAGACAGAAAACTACGAAAAGTCTTGAGTCAAGATCAAGAGTCCATGACGAGTTACGATTGTGGAAAACATTGTGGTAAAACATTCACCGTTGATGGACCAACATCCCCCATGTACTTTCCTCAACAACATACTTCACGCCAAAATATATACACAATAAAGTAAAACAGAAAAATAGTTGTGGGTCTTTTGACTGTGGTCTTCTGTCTTTAGGTCTTCTACGTCGACACGAACGTAAAAAGTTGCAGGTGTCAATTAATTTTAACAAATATTGAATTTATTTAATGACAGATGTATTCATGTTTAACGTAAACATAAATGGACTAACTTAATAATTAGTAATAAATAACAATTTTATTTTATAATTTAATGTTGCTTAAGCAGATTTTTTACTTGCACTTTATTAAAAATTGTATTGAAAAATTTAAGTAATTATTTTAAAACAAAATTATTTTAAACAAATTAATTTAATTATGGACGGCAAAACTTACTATACTGTAAGTTTATTTATTTAATAATTTTCCGAGGGTTGTCCGAGATTTAACTAATGTCGACGTGCACAAGAATAACTGTTTATCCAATGTAGAAATGTAGGCGAAGGTGGAAAAAGTGGGAACAGACGGCGGAGGTCAGTGCCTAGCCCCGCTAATACGATCCAACTAGACTGAAGCTTACACTGGCTTTATACTATAGTAACACTACTACACAACACAGTACAGCTAGAGACTGGACATGACGGTACTTTATTAATATTCCGCCCCCACCTCTATTTGAGTCTTAAATTAATTTCCCTTTTTATTTCTCCTGCCTCGGAACGGTCAAATTTCCTTCTTTATAAATGTTAAATTTTGCTGTTAGACACATTTTTGCGGTTGGCATCTATTATTTCCTTCCTAATATTTGCCTTTTACCTGTAATGTTCGAAGGAGAAAATGATTGATAGTAAAGGAAAGGAAAATTAATCTGAGACTCAAATAGGGGTGGGGGGGGGGGGGGCGGGATATTAATAAAGTACCGACATGACAAGATCTGAAAAGAAATCTCGGTTATCGTGATCGAGAGATTTTGTGACATGTTTCTTGAACAAACTTCCCAGTCCGGTAGTGAGTCCTAGTGACTAACAGAGTAACACAAAAATAGAATAACACATTTATCCAAATAGTAAATACAAGAAAAACGAAGGTGGCAAGAGGCAAACATGACTAAGGACAGGCAACGGTCGGTGCCGATCAAGACTGATCTCTACTGACTGCTTTTATACTAGACCCACACATACCTAACACTAATTATTATAAATTATGTCCACGCTAAATTCTTTTCAAAGGAGGATAGCATGGTCCAAGATAGATTTTTATGTATTAAAAATTTTTAACTGAAAACTGATAAAATATTTGGAGTTTGTAAAATAAATCCAATAATATGTACAATAAAAATTTAATTTAAAGCCAATCTACTCGACGTATAATGAAACAAGATTTAGGCCAGAATTATTTGTAAATGCATTAATTGTTTCTTTATTTTCAATAATTTCAATTATAATGAATTTAAGTGTGTGTTTCATTACAACTAAATATAGGTATAGATATACGAAATTTAAACTTTAGTGCCCGTAATTGAAGAACAAAAAAAGGGTTGAGGCAGTTGTACTGAGATCTGGCCAACATACCTCGAGCCCTAGGGACCGCAGAACTATAACATAAGTAGGGTAGCACCTCGTCCTCATAAACCCCGACCCGAACCCCGAAGACTCCACCCCGACAAACCCCGATCCCCAACGCCTCCACTGTGCGGGCAAAACACCGACCCTACCCTCGAAACCCCGACTTTTTTTTGGCAAAAACCCGACCCCAGAAGGCTCTATCCCAGCAAGCCCCGATCCACAACAATCCCACCCCCGAAGCCTCAGGGTGCTACCCTTTTTCAAAGGTACAGTTCCCCATTTCTCCTTCCAATTTCCAGTCTTCTGAAATCAAATTTAATAAATGTTTCTAAAATTTTTGACATTTACGTTATAAGTTAGCTTCTTTTTCAAATACCCTTCCAATTTCCAATAGCTCAGGCTCTTCAGTTTGGTTCGAAAAATTATTTTTTTTTAATTTTTGATTAATTTAGGCAAAAATATCCTGCATTAAGGAGTAAAACAAGTATTTTGCTTGTAATCTACTCTTTGGCCGAAATTATGTTTAATACCTCAGTATTTTTTTATTTGGCAACATCGACAACTGGAATTAATTTTCTTCCACAGTGGCTAACTAAAATCTATTTATTTTATACAGCAATTACGTTTAGTACTTCCAATTTCATTTTATTTTTAATTAGCGTTGATCGCTTACTAGGCGTTACTTTACCTATATTGTAAGATTTACAGTCTACTTATTTAAACATATAAACAGAGAATAGAAGGATCTATTAATATCCTTTCAAGATCCATCCAAATATCTCCTATATCCTTTCAATTCCCTTGATATATGCAAAGGTTCAATAACACATAAAATCTTTTTTGGAACAGAGAAACGTACTCACCGTAGGTTGTGGTACACACGCACAGAATCGGACCATATGTTCTAATATACATAGCTGGTAGTGATCGAAATGAGCCTGGACCAAGGCCTGGGTTTTTCCTGTACCCGAGGCATTTTTTGACATTCCTGTGTTTAACCTTGGTCTGGGTTTTACCTGGACTACAGGCCCAGGACCCGGCCCAGGTCAATAAATCAAACCCAGACTTTTCAAAAATCTCGATTACTAATAGCTGGGTACTTAACTTAACGGTATGTTTGACCAAGGTATACTGTTTTTTGGATAAAAGATGTTTTTTGGATAAGGAAAAGAGCTGGGAATATACAATAGAGGGTTTAGAATTTGTTAAAATTAGGGTTGCGCCCCGACTAACCCCGACCCCGACCCCGAACCCCGACATTTTTTGACCTAAAACCCCGACCCCGACCCCGACATTCCCAACCCCGAAAACCCCGACCCCCGAAAGTTCGACCCCGACGACCCCGAACCCCGAAAAATTTTTATACCCCCGACTCAAACTGCATTAATTAACAAGAGATCGGAACGGGATCGGGACTTTGATGTTAAATATATGAAGGAAAAGGGAAAGGAATATTTATATTTTCTCCTTTTTCCTTTTGTTGGTCGGTGGTTGAGTGGTTAGGTTAACTGACTTCACCCATTTAGCTATTTTGATAGGGATGTTGTTCGAATCCATGGATGGGAATCAGAGCTGCGTCGAAATTTCGATTTTCGACTTTCGATTTTCGAATTTCGACGTTTTTTTCTACCGATTTTCGATTTCCGAATTTCGATTTTTTTCATAAAATTTCGATTTTCGATTTCGATAATTTTAGTTTTTTCGATTTTCGTTCGATTTTCGATTTTTTTTTGCAAAATTGCATTATCTTTTCTCTTAAGATTTTATTCCTGCGGCGCCAAAAATGAAGAAATTTGGCTACTTAGCCTTTCAAAATTCTCAAAATTTTCGCCTGCGGCGCAGAAAATGGAAGAAAT